TACGCAATACTTTATTTTCAAAAACCTTAAGACGCTGCTCATCCCTTAATGTAAGCGGCCAAGTTTCGCACCCATAAAGAACTGTAGGCAAGATAATTGTTTTATAGATTCTAATTTTTAAGTTCCGGGACAAGAGGCGCGAACTGAGTAGTTTTGTCACAGAAAAATAAGCAAGCATTTCCCGCCTTCAGTCTAACCTTAATCTCTTCTTCAATTTCGTTTTTTCTAGTTATCGTAGAACCTAGATACCTAAACTTATCTACCTGTTCAAACATATTACCATCTATATCGATATCACCAGTAGTATCGCCATTTTTGCAGCTAACCATATATTTTGTTTTATCCACGTTTATTTCGAGTCCTAGTTCTTTACCGGCTTTCATTAACGTTGTCGTATTTAGTTTTATAGTTTCAAGGTCTTCGCTTAACAGTACCAGATCATCAGCATAGCCCAGCACGGATGTTGTCCCACCCAGATCCAACCCTTTCTCGGTACGCATTACCTCCCTAATGGCATGTTCTAATGCCAAATTGAACAGGACAGGCGAAAGAGAATCCCCCTGTTTTAAACCCGAACGAACCTCAAATTTTTCGGACAGATTATTACCGATTCTAACTTTATTGAGTGTCTCCGTCAAGCACATCCTGACTAGATTTACTAATTTTTTAGGAATCCCCTGCTCGATTAGAATATTATACAGTTTCTGGCGGTCAATAGAATCGTAAGCCTTTTTAAAATCTATATACAGCTGGTGAACAATACCGTTGTACTCCAATTTTTTCTCTAATATTTGCCGTAAAGAAAATATTTGATCAATAGTCGAACGATTCCGTCTAAATCCGCATTGGTAGTCTCCGATAATTTCCTCGGCGTATTCCGTGATTCGACTGGTTAAGATTAAAGTAAATATTTTATAGCATACCGGAAGGAGTGAAATTCCTCGATAGTTATTACAATCCGCCCTCGGACCCTTTTTGTGAATCGGAATAAGAATAGATTCTTTCCATTCTTCAGGTAATTTCTCATTCACCCAGATCTTTTTAACCAACCGATGTATTTTAGAAACTCCAGCTTCTCCGCATGCCTTAATTAGTTCAGTAGGAATATTATCGATTCCCGCTGCTTTATATGATTTTAATTTTCCGATAGCTACTTCAACTTCCTCTTTACTTGGTCCTTCTATTAATGGTTCAGCACTCTGGTACTCAGAAGGAGGACACAGATCATAATTTACCGTATTTAAAATATTGTCAAAGTGGTCCTTAAACTTATTCAATATGTCAACCGGATCGGTCAGAATATTGTTATTATCATCCCTAATTCCAGACGTTACGGGCCCTACATATTTACGTAATCTGTTTATACCTTTGTACATGTCTCTTACGTTATTTTCGATTCTATCAGTTTCTATTTCAATTATTTTATTTTTAAGATACTCCCTTTTTTTATTTTTGAGCAATTTTGTCGTTTCGTTCTTTGAGGTTCGGAAGTATTCCAGATTGTCTTCGCTAGGATTATTTAGAGCTTTTAATTTAGCGGCTTTTCGTTTTTCGCACATGTTTAAGCAATCTTCATCAAACCACGGTTTGTTATTCTTATTTTCCTTTTTTCCTAGACACGAGTTACCGACCGCTTTAATATTATCCCTGATCTCTACCCATAACTTGTCAATATCCTCGTGGTCCTCGTCAGGAAGCTCTAAAGCTTCAAACCTATTCTTAACATCTAGCTCGAATTGGGTTCTAATTGATGGATTTTTTATAATTGGTAATTGGTTGACTGTCGTGGATAATGAAGAGAAGAATAGTTGGGGTGGTCAGTCAAAAATGAAGGCAAAAATAAATGTTAATATTTATTTTTTACATATGCCGACGTTTCGACCTGAAGTTCAGGCCTTCATCAGGGCTAAGAAAATAACCAGATAACAAGGTATGAGAAACATAAGTTAGAAGAAAGACGGTTGTTATCTGGTCGTTGGCCCCGTGTGGATAGATTCATAATTGGTAATTGGTTGACTGTCGTGGATAATGAAGAGAAGAATAGTTGGGGTGGTCAGTCAAAAAGGAAGGCAAAAATAAATGTTAATATTTATTTTTTACATATGCCGACATTTCGACCTGAAGTTCAGGCCTTCATCAGGGCTAAGAAGAAGCTTTTCTTATACGATGGATTTTTTAATTTGTCCAAATTAAAATTCTCAAAATCGAAACGGTTTTCTTTTCTCTTTTTTATATTAAGTTTTTGTCGAAGTTTCGAGATTACTAATTCATGATCCGACCCACATTCTGCTCCGCGATAAGACCGTACATTAATTATACTGCTTTGCCAGCTATGTTGTATCAAGACATGATCGATTTGATTTCGTGTTTGCGAATCCGGTTATGTCCAAGTATATTTATGAATATCCTTATGTTTAAATGTCCTACTTTTAATTATCAGGTTTTTCGAGATGGCAAAGTTTATCAGACGGATCCCATTATCATTACTATATTCGTGCAAACTTTCTTTACCAATCGTCGGAATATAAACTTCTTCCCTTCCTACCTCCTACCTTTGCGTTCGCGTCACCTATAATTATTTTCATGTAGTTTCGCACTAGTTTATCATAAACCCATTCGAGTTTATCATAAAATTCACTTTTGACTTCATCGTCACTGTCTTCGGTCGGACAATGTATGTTTATTAATGCGATTTTAAACCAACGTCCCCGAAATGTAGCTACCGAAATTCTATCACTAAAGAATTGTACGTCCCTCAAAGCGGATAGTAATCTACTCCTAATTAGAAACCTGGTACCCAAACAATGATTCCCGCTTCCTCCGTACCAAATAGTGTGCTTTCCTTCCCTCATCGAGCGCTCCCCTGGCCAGCGAACCTCTTGCAGAGCCACGACATTCAAATTGTACCCATTTACCTCATTCGCGACCGATTTTAGTTCCCCTGCTGTGTTTAAACTCCTTACGTTCCACGTACCAATATTTAAATCCCTATATTCCAACTTGCACCATGAATCCCCTAAAGCAGTCCCCACCCGGAGACCCGAACGGGGGACTAGTTAACCTCCGGATAATGAGCGTTTTACCTTAGGGAGATTCATGACTATTTGTGGTGTTTGGTGAACTAAAGATATGTGAGTAGGACGTTCAATCCTACGTCACACCCTCCAACAAGTCTGGTGGGCCCCTACCTCCAGCAAGTCTGGAGGGCCCCTCTCATTGTTGGTCAGCGAGTCCATCGGGCCGGGAGAAACTTCCAAGGAATTTCCACCGACCATCCCCACATCCGCCACCCGTGGGACGCTCCCCATACGCGGTAATGAGCCCGCGCGAGGCATGAATATTTATCACCCATTATATTTATTTTTATTTTTGCCCCAAAGTTCAGGCCTTCATCATGGTTGGTCAAACGAAAGACAACCCCTGTTGCAGACAGACAGACAGACACCGAACCTAATTTCATCATTGATGTCTGAAATGTTAAACGAGAGTGGAAATTCTTGATTCTGGGCCCAACATTTTTTTTAACATCTTGAAATACAATGCTTCTCTAACTTCGATAGTGACAAAGAAAAATGCCTAAAATGTAAAGTTATCAATTAATCCATCTCAATAGGATATGCCAAATACAGAATCCATACTGCACTGGTTGCACTCTTTTCATGGACAGAAAAATGGGCCCTCAAAATAAATTCCAATAAGAAGGCACTACACGATCTTCAGTCTGTCAATAAGTACCAATATTCAAATCCCTATATTTCAACTTGCGCCATGAATCCCCTAAAGCAGTCCCCACCCGGAGACCCGAACGGGGAACTAGTTTACTTCCGGATAATGAGTGTTTTACCTTAGGGAGATCCATGACTATTTGTGGTGTTTGGTGAACTAAAGATATGTGAGTTGGGCGTTCAATCCTATGTCACACCCTCCAGCAAGTCTGGTGGGCCCCTTTATTAAAAACTTTATTAACAAGTACAAAAATTGTGATAACTTTAGAACGTCCTGAGAATTTATGAATGCTTTAGTTATTGGCTGGGAAAAAATTCTTCTAATGAAATCAATTATTAAATTTTGCAATTTTTTATTTCTTTAAAATTCCTATCTATGAGTTTCAAAGAACACTTAAAACGAATCTAACTTACTTTTCATAAAAAAAATTTATTTAGTCTACTTCTACTGGAAGCACCTTTTGGTTTTTGTGATTTATGATACATCATAACTCATTTAATACAATAGTCAATATTTTTTTCTTATTTTGCACAACAAAAAAAAATTGATTGATATATAATACGCTAAAAATTCTGGTAAAGCAAAGGCAAAAATAAATTATAGAAATTGTATTTATTATTTTTTTTTTTTACGCCTATGGCCCATTGAAACGAATGCCCTAAGTGTCTAATGGGATAAGTCTCTTTTTTTTAATGTAATATCACCATAATAAATTTGGTTGAAATCGGTGACCTAAAGATTTTAGGGTCCTTGGATAATATAAAAAGATGGTGGATAACCTTTTGAGTTATACTAATCATCAAGTGTTATCACATTATAGTCAGATAATAATTAATAAATAATGTAGTATTTACAGATATGATACATGACAAATAAAGCCTAAATTTCTATATCCTTCAATGACAACATGAATCCCTCATTGATCCCTGGCCATCTATTTATTCTAGGATTAAATCAATAATGATATTTAGATTCATTTCTTATACTTGTATTCTCACCTCCATCACGTTTTGTAATTTGTAATCTGGGTGTTAGCACTAATGGTTTCTATTACTTTTTGATGTTATTCTTGTGTCACTCATACCACCATCTTGATTAAAAAAGTTTCCATTCATCTTATCTTGTAAAAGATTTTCTCTTTTTATTCAAGAAAGTTAGGTTTAAAAATAATGTAATTAATAGAAATATATGTCGTTCAATATTTCTGCCAGTGTAAACTTTTCAATTTTTAGTAATTTGGTGTAATCATTACTTTTTTTTTTTATCTATTACAGACTGATGAACAAGAAGTTATTACTTTCCTCTTGACTACAGAGATTATACCTCTTTGTTTGCGAATCATGGAATCAGGTTCAGAATTATCTAAAACAGTGGCGACATTTATATTACAAAAAATATTACTAGATGATTCAGGTCTATCTTACATTTGTCATACTTACGATAGATTTTCTCATGTTGCAATGATTTTGGTGAGTTGTATTTAATTTGGTTTATGTTTTATAATGTCTATATTTATTGTTGATAACTGGTATAAACTGATAAGTTAAGGTAGGTGTCCCAAATTTTTTCTTCTTTAAAACATCTAAATATATACATTTTAATTTAAAATTTAATTTTAGGATGATGAATGCCTAGTTTGTGTTCAGTAGATATTAAAATTAAATATAGTCTATTGTTATTATTATAAAGAGGAGTGAAGGAACATTGTAATATTTACTTAGAGCCCATCATTCTTAATGAAAAATTAATGAATTCACTCAAACTTATTAAAAATAGAAATATCTTTACTATGATCACATGACACGTATCATCCTTAGTCAATCTCAAGTTTTATAAATTTCTGTTAAAGATTACTCAATGATAAGCAAAAATTTGAGTGTTCAGTGATGCATAGTAGTACAAATCTACAAATAAAATTTTTAAAAAATAATTTTTTCTGACTATTATATTGTAACCAACACATTTTATGTAATATAAAATAGATGGACTGTAAAACATTAAAACATATGTAATTATTATTATTTATTGAATATTACAACATTCTGTCACTTGGACATTAGTTATAGTGAGATAACATTCACACTATATGTACAAAAAAATATAAAATAAACAGAAGCAAAATAACAAATAAATAATAATTAAAATTATATACAATAAATAAAATATAATAACTAAAAAAAATAAAAAAAAACACATACATACCTATATACAGAGAAAGAACTCGGTGGCAGGCTTGTCCCTCCAACTAAGGGCAGAAAAGCAGGACTCCAGGAGATCCCTGCTCTACTACCTCAACCGCATCACTGGTACTAAAGCCAGTGGAAACAAAGCATACATAATAATATTAAAGCAGTGTAATACAAAAATAATAGGACTGGTGTTTTTTCAGGATTTTATTCAACAAATGACAAGGTGTCTTGAAAATGTCTTTAAACCAAAACCATTAATTGTAATATTATAATATGAATTGTACCTCGTGCAGGATTATTACTGCGTAGGGGAGCATCCTATAGGTGGCGTATGTGGGGATGGTCAGTGGAAATCCCTTGGAAGTTCCTTCTCTAAGTCTGAAGGACTCATTAGCCAACAATGAGAGGGGCCCTCCAGACTTGCTGAAGGGGGAATAATAGTGACGTTGGATTGAACGCCTTACTCACATACAGTGGCAGATCCAGGGATTTTCTCAGGGGGGGAGGGAGATCACCTGTGGAGCAGGTGATTTCTCTACCCCTACCCATTCCCCCACCACTTTCCATCTCTCCCCACTCCTTAGCTGATTTTAGCGGCTCAAAAGTTCTCTTTAAATGGTTTCAACAAAAGCAAACACTATTTTTATTTAAAGTAAATTTTGTCTAGTTTACAATGAAGCAATCGTTAATTACTTAAACTAAATAGTTTTTTTGTTATCATTTCCTATTCAACAAAAACGTGACACATTGGGAACTGTCCTGTCGCACCTGGTTGTTGCTAGTTTTGGTATTTATTTCTCCGCTGCCTGCCATATCTGGTGAGTATTCCCTTATCCACCACCTGGGGAGGCGTCCGATGGGAGACTATCAACTCCTCAGGGATTATTATTATATAGTATGAATTGTATATTATTTGTTTTCAGTATGCTATATCTTTAAATACTTCATCATATAATCATACTATCTGTGTTTTAATACTTCATTATAATTAATGATTGAGCCATCATTTTTAAGATTATTTTCACCAATACTGATGACAAATGAACAATTCAAAATAAATATTTCTTTCCAAATTCAACTAGAAATATAATCTGACAAGTCCAAAATCTGCTTTTTGGATGATTTAATTTGAAACATGTATGTAATACGAAAATATTTAATTCAACATTAGATAACCATTAAGTAACTGATCAATATTTCATACGAATTATTTGCTTGAAGCAATTAGTATTATTCAAAAACATAAAAATCTATGGTATTTTCTATTTTGGCCTTGATGATTATTTATATATATATATATATATATATATTTTTTTTTTTGTTAATTCTAGGGTAAAATGGTCTTATCGTTGGTCAAAGATCCTTCTGCAAGATTGTTGAAACATGTTGTCCGTTGTTACTTACGCCTTTCAGACAATCCAAGGTAATATTAATAAGTTAAAAAATTGAAAATTGCTTATAACAAGAGATTTTACCAACACATCATATGTTTCAATATGGAACTTATGTGACATTACTCACAAATTTCAACTTTTCAGGAGAGCCAGAATTGCTTCTTCCTACTTAATTTATAAAATAGAGTTTTTAATAAATAATGTTTTAAATGTTTCTTATTATTAACATATTTTTTTTTTAAACCCCTAAACTTTTAAAAGTTCAAAGGGTTTCTTAAGTGCATGTTGATCAAAATGCTTTTCATTTAATCACTGATACCAGTTCTATACAATCAATGGAATGAACAAAAATGTTTAAAAAATTAATTTTTATAATTCAGTTTTATACTTTTGCTATATGAGTGGTCTATGAATTTCACAAACTTTTGTGACACTCAATTTTTTTGATAAATAATATGTAAATTTATATTGTTTTTGCCAGTGTTGTATAAATGAATTATTATATTTATTTATGGGATATTGGTTTTAAGCATTATGTATTTTTATTAATAATGACTGGATTCATGTCTGAACCTAAAAATATTTATTTATTGTAACATTTTAGATTGCTGAAGAGGGATACAAAGCTTTCCTCGGAACTTTAAAATAAATTTACAATCAAAGACTAATTTTGATTAATTTATTCCTAACCAATAGGCAAATGAACCACTATAAAAAGAACAAAGCTCAAACTCCATAATGAAAAATAAATTAAATTACATTTTCAAACTATCTTTAAAGATTTAATTAGCAATTAGTTTTGCATAAAATCAACATTTAACATAATGCGATAGTGATGTTAATCAGGATTTAAATTTGACATTGTGTAAATTTTATCCCAAATAGAGGATCATGTCAATAAATTAAATTACATGTTAATTTTTTAAAAATAAAATTAATAAGAATACTCAAATAGTAAAAATCTGGATATAGAGTTGATGATCCTGGTCAGATCACCTTGTATAGTCTAAGAACATTATGTTCTTATCAATTAGTGCACTAAAAACTTTTCATCTTGGGAATAATATCACAATTGTTTTTTTTTTTTAAATGTGTTTATTAATTAATTAAATTAGGCTCATTTGCTTTTATTAACTAACAAGCTTGTTTATTCTCTCTTTATAATCTAAATTTGTAGTCTGAAAAGAAAAAAATCTGGTGCGTGCTACACACAACTTTCACTTACCCGCTCTACTTGAATATAAATTATTTTCTGGCAATGTTGGGCTCTTATAAAATTTTTGAAGTGCATTTTAACTGAGCTAAAGCTTATAGTTTATAGCTTATAGTTGACAAATCATTAATACCATTAAAATAATAAAAATCTTATTTCATATATTATAGGTCAAAAGTTTTCACACTAATTGTACATAGATAATGTTTTGATTTCACTAAAGGGAAAATTCATCAAATCCATTTACTAATTTAATTTCCTAAAAGTTATATGATCATTTTTCGGAATAAATGGACGATAGATACCTAATTATTTAAATATAATATCAGATCTAGAGTTATTAAACTACAGTAAATGCATTTAAGGTTACATATCCATAAAAAATTTTTATGTTTCACTTTTTCTTTCACACCAATACAATGAAATAGTATTTGAAGCAATGTTATTACCTTGAGTTTGTGGATTTTAAATACTTTTTCAAACTTAAAAAAAATTTAAACATTTACATTTAGTAAGAAAATTCCATTTAATTTCGTAAATCATAGAAATGTCTATCACCGTCGATATAACCAGTTATTCAGGTTTTATTATAACTGATTGATCCAGTTACCCGATTTCAACAAAAAATTTGCTGTCACATCATATACAAACCTTAAATACTCACTTTAAGTTTCGTACAACTTTTTGTTTTTGAGCTTGGCTGTTCACATACAGACCATTGTGCAGGACTTGGTTATTTTGACTCGGGGAATCTCAAAACATGCATTTCCGTTGAAAACTGAGATTCGAAAATTTTCACGATCCCTGTATTTGCCCTTAATATATATTCTGTATATAGGTAAGTGAAAGTAAAAATCATATTAAGGCAAGGTCAATCAAATAATGGTCCTTAATAATTTCTAATTTTCTTACTTCAAATAATGATGCTCCTTATATTGTCTTCAACATTTTAGATATACTATCCATCATTGGATTAGTATCTCTAGTATGTAGTTGAGAGGTTATATGTTGTATTATTATCAGATTTAAAGTTCAGTACAAATTCTAACTGTTTAATACTGTATTAACTGTAGATGCTGTAAAAACACGTGAGAAAAGTAAATTACTCACAAAATTTAATCCCTAGGTATAAGATTAGTTAAAGTAGCACAAAGTCAGAGAAGAGGTAGGCACTGTTGGACGGTAGAGGCCAGGCTGATTTTTGGTCAACTCTTAGCATTTTGCTACATAAAAACAATTCAGCCTTTACTAAGATATCCAATGCGTAATTTTTGTACAATTTGTACTTTCACTTACCTATATATGTAATATATAGTAAGGATAAGTATTGCGATCATGAAAATTTTTGAATCCGAGTTTTCAACGGAAATACACGTTTTGCCGTCCCTTGAGTCCAAATAACCAAGTCCTGCAAAATTGTCTGTGTGTGTGTTAACAGTCTAGCTCAAAAAAGAAAAGTCATACAGAAGTGAAATTACATATTTAAGTTTTTATTTGCTAGGGATGTTACAGTAACTTTTTTGTCAAAATCGGTTAACCGGAAGTGACACTTTATATAATGGACTAAACACATTTTTACGATTATCTTGAAAACCGCTCTAACGATTTTGATTAAATTCATCATATCAGTATAAAATTAAGCAGTTTTAAATAAAATGTGGTCATTATTCTGATTTATGTTCTCTAACAGGGCTTAAATGGCTAATTTTCAATATTAGCTTCCTCTAAAGTACCTTTAATTTTTTTTATTTGAAACACTTGACCATTTCACATTCATTTCTAATATGAAAAATAGTCAAATATAAAATAAAAGAATTTGATAATTAACTAGAGGAAAAATAAGAGATTGTAACGGAGAATAATTCTAATTGAGGAACCAAGGAAGACGAACACACCCAAGCTCGCCTAAGAGATCAGAAATGCTTCCATACGTATCATGAGATTAATATAATACGGACTCCGACAATATTATATAAATATACATATGTGGCTTTCATAAATGCCATTGTTGGTATTATTTACAATTTAATTGTATAGATTACAGTTATATAAATATTAAAATTTGTATATATGAGGGTACTTATACAAATAAAAATACCCACAATGAAATATAAATAAATATAGAGTCTATAATTTTTACTTTTGCTTCACTTTGTCTGAAAATACTTAATTCTGATAAGAAAAGGTGATAAGTGAAAGTTGTGTAATGGGTTAAACTCGGCCGTAATGGAGCCCAGAGGGCCAGAAATGTCAATCAAGTTTGGGGCGAGATCATCATTAAGAGTGCTCTGTTCGACAGAAAAAATAATCAGGGAACAAATGTAGGAAAGTTGTATGAGTGAATACACCTGATATTTAAACTAGTATTCGTATTTCTAAAAATATTTTGTGCAAGTTTCCATGGAAGCTTGTTTACTTTTTTAATTGATAAATTTATTTGAAATCTGTAACAATGTCTGAGTTGAAATATCTGATATTTAATCATGGAATACTTTTTATAAGTGATATACTACTATTATAAACATTAATAATTAATATTTCTTTGTAAAATCTAGACAAGTTTAAATAACCCAAAATGAAACTGCTTTGCACTTGAGCAGTTTTACATTGAGGCCATATAATTTATTTAGGCATATTAAAACTTGATTTTTGATCTTATTTAGTAAGATATATTGATGTTACAGGGCTAGGGAGGCTCTTAGGCAGTGTCTGCCTGATCAGCTGAGAGATTCTACCTTTTCAGCCTGCCTCCAAGAAGATAAATCAACTAAACATTGGCTGGCTCAATTGCTGAAGAATTTGGAAGCTGTTGTAGGGATGTCTCCCTTGGGGCCTACACCTGTTTAAGTAACAATTATGTTTACTCCATCATCTTGTGATATACCTCTTGTAAATTATATATAGCTTTAAAAACATAACAGTTAGGAATATATAGTTTTTAAAAGAATTATTGATTTATCTTGAAAGACTGTAATTATTATTAGTTGTATTATAGTAAAGTTTTGCGAATTTATAAATTAATTACAAATCTTTGTTCTCCTTTAAGCAGCCTTATCTTCCAGGAAAACTTAGAGCATAGTTAGTTAATAAGTTTTATGTTTTGCCTGATACAGGTGACTGGTAAAGACATTGTTCTTAATATTTATCTTCTGATTATACATAAATCAATTGTTTGGTTTAGTTCTTATTATTTGACTTGGTGAATTTTCCTGGTGTTAATTTAAAATAAAATTCATTTAATAAATTCAACCACAGAACTATTAATAATGTTATTACTATTTCTTTTTTTTTTTTTTTTTTAAGAGTTGCTGAGAGGTACAATTGGTGTAATGTAACCAACCATTTCCACCAATTGTAAAGTTGTTTAGTTTACTGCCTAAAACTTGTTTTATTTTTTTAATCAAATTAGATTATAGAATTAAAGGAACCACCATTTCCACACATATATTTTATTATAATGTTTTGCCCTTTTTATGTGTGTTAACTCTCCTCCTTCCCCATAATTTGTAACCAACAATTTTTAATAAATACTGTATTTTAAAATTATTTCTTTTTATAATCTTATTCTAACCTGCACTCCTAACCACTGATATAAAGACCCTAAGGTGTATAATTTCTTTACTAGATATGGATTAAAATTCTTTTCATTTCATCACTGACCATTTCTTAGAACAGCTATGCTCAATGGATGGAAGGAATAAAAGATTTAAAGAAGGGAAGATGTAAAGCATAGAGGTAACCTAGGAATAACATTGCTAAATTTATACTAAAATATAGCAGAGTAAGTGGTTCAACTAATATTGTCTATTGGAAGAAACAGTAAGAATGAAGACTTTCAGATTGGTACAAGGGGTTTAGCTAATTTCGTGCTTAAAAGTGATAACAATTCAGACAATTTTCTTTTCTTAAGAAATATGAAGAGATATCTTTTAATAATAAAAATTTAAAATGTTTTGAAAGTACTCACCTTTAACTCAAAAAAAGTATATTTTTGTAGGTCCAAATTTAGAGATTGATTAAAAAATGGTATAATAAAATTGTATCCGATTCTATCCACTTTTTTCAAAAAATACTTTTGCAACCTACATGAGAGCGTATTTAACTTACATTCTATACTTCAAAACCAATTTTTTCCACTTAGCCCAAAGTTTGAGAAAATTCAGGGAGAGGTCTGCAAATGGTTTATTATCAAATTCCATTTAATAATTAAAATGAATGTATCTAATTAAGAATATAATAGCTGAGAAATGTGGGCGGCATTGAACATAAGGTGTTGAGGTTAATATTTTTTCAACAGACTGTAACACCTACTGTTGATTTGATATGATAATATTTTCAGAGATAATGAAAATTGATACCTTAATGATCCAATATTGATATCAGATTCTATTTCTTTCCCTTTGACACACATTCTTGTTTATAAGACTATACTTCAAAAAATAACTTTCTCCTTTAGTTTATTCTTAAACAAATGTTTCGCAAAACTTTCTAGAGGAAAAATCAGAGAGGAAGAACCTACAAAAGTTGAAATAAATCAAATATTAAGTAGCCCTCTGAAAAAAAAAATTCGAATGAGTAATTAGATAGGTATTCTGTTGGTGAAGCTGTTAGCCCTGTCAAATTAGACATGTTGCCTTGCAAAAGATCAGGTAATTCAAATTTATTTTTTACATTGGTAGGCATATAGTGAATATAAAAAAAACCAATAAGTAAAATAAGTTTTCGCCCTTGAAAGCCTTCTGGGTTCGTTGCAGTGTTCCAAAAACCATTGAAATTTCCAACTTTTTTTTGGTTTCCACTAAATATCTCCTTTTTAGAGCAACATGGATAAAGATGGTTATGTTCAATTTTTACCAACTTAAAATTATTTAACATTTTTTTCTAAACCCAACAGGAAGCGATCTATCGAGCTTTCAAAATTTACTCCTTTCGATTTCTTCGCAATACTGCTGTATTAGTTTTGAATGAAAGAATTCTGTAATTCCATTTTAAATCTAGTCTAGGGAATTAGGAGTTTTTTCTTGAAGATAATGAGCCATTGACTGGAACAATAGATGGCAGTTGGCAGGTGTTTTGAAAAGTATATTATGTTGCACAGTGGGCCAGACCCCTTACCAATTTCTTTACCAAAAAAAAAGCCAATTTTCCCATGAAAAAAGTGGTTGCACTGACCCAAAATAGCAGATTGACGTCTTTGACTTGAGTTAGTTTTTCAGTCACTGAGATTCGGCATTTGGCTCAATTTTGTCATAATTGGCCTTTATTAAAGCTTAAAACATGAAAAAATAATAGGCCTTGGAAATAAAAACAAGTTTTTCAATTCGATCAAAGGAAACGACAGTAATAGAACTGAACAAATAATAACATTTCTAATAAGGGTAAATTTAATGAAAGAGCTATAATAATAATTACTATTTATCTTATTTAATTTATTTTCATATATATATATATATATATATATATATATATATATATATATATATATATATATATATATATATATAAGATAAAGACCGGAGACTGGCGGTATCAGCCTTAATACTATCTGGTAATGTAAATAAACAGGCTAAGTGTATATAAGGAGGCTTATGGAACGAATAAAGCAGTGTTTATTCAGAAGTCGTGTATGTTACATCTTTCCCCTTTTCTTTCTTTTTTTTTATTTCTTAAGTCCGACGACGCTTAACTGGTGCCGAAACCCGGGACAACGTCAGGGAAGTAATTTTTTTTTAAGTAGATATTTTTTTTTTGTTGGTGTTTAAGGAAAAGGTGAGATGCCGACAGAAGGATTGATTAGACCGGGAGTACTAAGCGTACCGGAAATTCCTCAACCTCAGGATATTCCACAGATCAACCAGGTACCCCAGATCGCGCCTCAGGTACCTCAGATACCTCAAGTCCCTCAGGTAGCACAGATCCCTCAGATCCAGGAGATCCCTCCATTACCAAGGGACACGTTGGCAGAAGCACACGCCAATGCCTTGGAATGGATGAAAATAAGAGCAACAACCACGCAGGACTTACGGAGGGCCATTGCGGACCTAGAACGATTCGGAGGCGAGGTAGGCGAGCTCAACCATTTCTTGAAAGGCGGAGATCGCCTTATGTCAAGAATCGAGGTAAAGGTGGCGGAGGACCTGGTGAACCTAGGGGACGCGGAAGAACTAAAAGCAGCTCTTGTGTGCCGAGTAAGGAGGAACGTCCTGAACCAGATCCAAGCGGACGAGGAGACTCCGTGGCCGGTGATTAAGGAGCGGCTGAAGAAGGCTTTTGGAGGAGGTAGGTGGACACCGGAAGAGGACATATTCCAAATGTTTAGGGAGCGGCGGTCCCAACGACAGTCAAGGGGACAATATGCGGGGGTACTCGTGGCGAAGTACAATCGCATAACCGAGAAGATGCGGGAAACAATGAGCGTGGGAGAGGTCGAAGCCAGGATGGAGTTCCTGTCGACAATATTGAAAGTCCAGCTGGCTAAAGAAACGGGGAAGAGGGACGGACTGCCCAGAGAGCGATCGTTCCTCGAATGCGCCCAGGAGATGATCGACCTAAGTGCCAGAGAGGAAGAGACACGGATGGATGTGGAAGAACCGGGTTGGACCCGAGTGACGGATAGACGACCATGGACAGCCCCGACAGGTTGGAGGAAGAGGGACACAAGGCAGCCGAGTGGAGAAAAAGCCCCGACGAGGGAAAGAAGATCGGGACAGTCGTCGAGGCCGAGGAATGGGCCCCGGAGGGAAGAGAGAAAATGTCACGGGTGTGGGAAGCCGGGACATTTAGTAGCGCAGTGTCCGCGCACCAGATGCTTCGAGTGCGGGACGGAAGGGCACATAGCAAGACAGTGCCCATACATATTTCACAGGAGGGAGAGACCTCAGGACGAACCCATGGAGGTGAATGTACAGAGGATGAAAAGGCGAGCCAGGGTACATCAGCGGGACGGATCTTCGGAGGAGGCAACCGAGGAGTCAGGAGCGTCGGGAACGGAGACGGACGAACCAGGCAGCAGCGGAGGTGAAGGAGGTAGGCGCAGCCAACGGAGCGAGCAGCGACGAGCGGCGGCAGAAAGGAGGAAGCGGGACGACATCTGAGGAGTGTGTCGGCAGAGAGGCGACCGCACAGCAATATGCAACAATGTCCGAGGTAAGCCATGCTGGTTGCCAATTATTGAAGTAGACGGGGGAGTAAAGTGTCTTGTGGACACGGGTAGCTCGAGCACTATTATGACTCGAAGGGCGTTAGGAAAAGGGTGCGGGAGCGAGAGGGTACTCCGGATACAGAAATGTGACTGCCAGCTGATCACTCTGGGTGGTCCCTGTAGTGTAGAGGGTGAGGCGACAATTGGGCTTGATCGGTGGACAGGGAAAGAGGGTGAGCTAAGGGTGCATGTGGTGGAGAACATGACTCGGGAATACCAAGTCATAGTAGGGTGCGATTTGTTAGGTCAGGTAGGGGCGAGCATTAGAAATCGTAGAGGAGTCTGGAGCGTTAGGTTGGGAAAGAGGAAGTTCGGATGTATAGGGGTCGCGAGAGAAAGAAGGGTGCGGATAGGAGCGGTGAACAGAGTGGAGGACTGGAGGAAGTTGCTACAGGAGGAGTTTAGGGATATCTTCTTCAGGGAAGGTGAGGTATTAGGGGTAACAGGGAGGACGGTGCATGAAATCCCACTGAAACAGGAGAGGGTAACTTACGTGAAAGAGAGAAGATACCCGCAGGCGTTGAGACAGCATATTCGGGAGGAGCTAGATAGTCTAAAAGAACAGGGAATCATAGTTGATAGCACCTCACCATTCAATAGTCCCCTGTGGGCGGTGAAAAAGAAGGCAGCGCCGGGGGATAATAAGGAAAAATACAGGGTGGTAGTAGACTATCGTAAATTGAACGATAACACGGTAGACGAGAAGTACCCGATCCCGAGATTCGAAGATATACTCGATAGGTTGAGTGGGGCCGTGGTCTTTAGCACGCTGGACCTCAAGGCGGGATACCACCAAATACGGATGCACCCGGAAGACCAACACAAAACAGCGTTCACATTTGAAAGGGGGCATTATGAATTCACCAGAATGCCGTTTGGTCTGAAGAATGCGCCCATAACATTTCAGCGTCTGATGGACGAATTTTTGAGGGGTATCGATGACTCGGTATGCCAGGTATACATGGATGACCTGCTGATTTTTAGCAGAACGGAAACCGAGCACGTGGGACATCTGAGGGCAGTATTCGAAAGGCTCCGGCAATTCGGGCTGAAATTGTCAAGCGAGAAGTCTCTGCTGGGACAAACGCGGATCAATTTTTTAGGCCACACTATCTCTAGCGAGGGGGTCAGACCGGATGCGGCAAAGGTGGAGGCAATCACGCGGATGGCGGTACCACGGGACGTGAAGGGGATCCGTAGGCTTCTCGGGACGCTGAATTATTACCGGAGATTCGTACCCGAGATGGCAGAGTATTTGGTACCCATTAACAATTTGCTGAAGAAAGGCGCGAAGATTGTGGTGACACCAGAGATGGAGAATAACATTCGAAAATGTATGAATAGGTTGCTGACAGAGCCGGTGTTAGCGTTCCCGGATTTCGAGAAGCTTTTTAATATAACCACCGATGCGAGTGAATACGCGTTAGGGGCCGTTTTGTCCCAGGGGGGGAGTGAGGGTGAACGACCGATAGCATACGCGAGCCGTCGGCTTACGGGTGCGGAATCAAGGTACAGCGCTTTGGAGAGGGAGCTACTCGCGATAGTATGGGCTATCGACCATTTCAGGCCATACGTATTCGGGAGAAAATTTCGAGTCCATACCGACCACAAACCCCTCCAGTGGGTAGGAAAACTCAAGGAAACCTCAGCTAGGGTCACGAGATGGAAGGAGATCCTAAGCCAATACAACATAGAGGTGGTGTATAAGCCGGGAAAGGAAAACGTGGTGGCAGACTGGCTCTCGAGGGCCATCATGATCAACGCGGTTGAAGAGGACAGGGGAGGACCATCGCAGGACGTGCGTCAATTCTTGAGGGAATGGACTCCCGATGGCGAAGGGGCAAATGATACCGCAGGGATTGAGGACAGGGGAGAGTCCCCAGAAGAGGAGAGCTCAGCGGAAGAAAGGGCAGCGGAGATGGAAGAAATAGAGGAGATCGTGAACGACAAACACCGTCAGCTGATTTGGAAGACACGAACAACCGGAATCATGAAAATCGATTTCAGAAGGTACGGGAGAAGTAGGATCCGCGTCATTTGGTCGCAACCCGGGGTCAGCGAAGAACAAATCTGTACGGCACTGAGGGATGCCTCGGAAGCGGGTAAAACGCACTACCTATACGTGGGAAACAATACGGTATGGGATAAGATCAAGCGAATGTGGAGGTCCGAGCGAATAGGTGTGGACAGGACATTCATCCGGTGCAAGTATGCTGTGGAGACGGTACAGGACGAAGAGCAGCAGCAAGCAATCACAGTAGCATATCACCAGGGGAAAACCAATCACCGAGGCGTTAACGAGACGCTGCAGGCATTGCGTCGGAAGTATTTCTGGTGGGGCATGAAGAGGTCCATCCAGGAAGTCATTGGGAAATGCGAGATATGCATGCGCACAAAATACGATCGACACCCCCCCAGAGGAGTTCAGGAGGAGACACCTACAGGGAATATGCCGCTACAGGACCTTCAGATTGACACGTTCACCTGGAAAGGGTTTAAGTGGGTCACGGTAATCGACATATTCAGCAAGGTGGCGATGGCATACCAAGTGATGGAGAAGTCAGCCAATGCAGTTGCGGAAGCCCTACAAACCTGGGTGCAGTTCTATGGGGTCCCCGAGAGGATTACATCGGACGGTGGTAGGGAGTTCGACAATGCCGCGATTAGGGAGGAGGTGAAGCGATTGGAAATTGCGTGGCATTATAACACCCCAGGACATCCTAAAGGTAGAGGCGGTATTGAACGGCTGCACAGTACATTAAGCGACCACGTCCGTGTATATCAGGGTGAAAAAGGGTTGGAGCCGGATGTGGCAATGAGGAAAGCGGTAACAGCCTATAACCACTCGATCCACTCCGTAACGGGGTTTTCACCCATGGAAGTTCTATTCGGGATGCGCAGGCCAAGGCGGGATTATGGGGAAACTACGCTTACCGAACCGTTAGTGGATCAAATTCTCAGCAATAGGGTAGAGGTAGAGAAAACATGGGGAAAGATAACGGCGAGAATTAAGCGGGAAAAGCAGAAGCGGGTGGAAAGGCAGAATGTACAGGTACGCGACCAAATGGGGGAACTAAAAATAGGAACAATAGTTTACCGGAAATTGGGAACCAACAGAGGGAAACAATTGCTACGGTACGAGGGTCCATTCAGAGTGGTTGCTATTAGGGAGCATAACCTGTTAACTATTGAGAGCGTGAATGAGCCCAGAAAGAGGAGAACCGTTCATATCGAACAATTAAAGCTCCCAATGATAGAGTCGGGACATAGACCTACGGATTCGTAGTACCCTCACCGCTGTAGATAAAACAGAGAAATATGTTTTTTTTGTGGCTGTCAAAACAAAACAAATTGTGAAAATTTTTTTTTTTGTATTATTTCATGTATAGAGGAAATTGTGTTTTTTTTTGTTGTTGTTAGGAGTTCTCAAGTGGTAGGAGTTCTAAAGTGTTGTGTTTAGTTTCAGTGTTTTTAATTATTTTTTTTTATTATTTTTCCAGTTGAGTGGAAGTATTTTATTTTCTTTTAAGGATATACTGTAAAACCAATTGTAAAGTGTTAAGGCTGGTCACCGTGGGCTCCGATCTAGGAATATTTAAGTTTCCGAAAATCCTGTTCGTAAACTGGTGGGGGGGAGATAAAGACCGGAGACTGGCGGTATCAGCCTTAATACTATCTGGTAATGTAAATAAACAGGCTAAGTGTATATAAGGAGGCTTATGGAACGAATAAAGCAGTGTTTATTCAGAAGTCGTGTATGTTACATCTTTCCCCTTTTCTTTCTTTTTTTTTATTTCTTAAGTCCGACGACGCTTAACTTATATATATATATATATATATATATAATCTTCTTCGCCCATTATTTTATTTATTTACTTTTTATATGTATACAATCGATGTCAAAAACTGCTTTAGGGAGAGGGTGGTATGGGCCAAAAAGTTTGGAGACTCTTATTTTTTCTGGAAAGTTGCATGTTATTCTTTGTTTTTTGGATGACTTCCAATTAAACAACAATTGATTTATTTGTTGTATTTCCAAATAACAAGTTAACGTTCCGGGATATTTACCCCCATCTTCAGAACTACAATCCCAATGTTTTTATGTGGATTCATGGCTAAAAATTGAATCAAAATATAATGCATGTAAAATACATGTTAGAATTGGGTTGTTACATAAATTTTGTAATTACCTTTATAGTTTGGAGACTCCTGCCTTGGAACACTATAAGAATTTTTTAGAAACCAAGTTTCACTTAGGGATACAAAAAAAAAGTGCCTGGATAAGTAGAGCAAATTTTAATTGTATTGTACATCTATTTATTTACAGCATTGAAATATAACACAAATTTATGATATTAAAAAGAAATAAAGTTCCTCTGTAGGAGTTATGAGACATTGCTACATTATTATTAAAGCATTTCTCATTTCTGTCCACATTTAGCACGTACTCATAAGAAGATATCCTGGAACAGGTACATAGCTTAATAAACAAAAAAATTCAGGGGCATTTTAATAAGACGAGATTACTCAATCTGTCAAATTAAAAATAGGTACATATATTCTACAAAAATAATACCATTTCGTTAGATAAGATTTCTTTAAGCCTATAATAGGAAACATTTATGATAGGGCAGCTAATACAATGTATGTTAACTATTACACTTGATAAAATTATAAAACAATACTCAATTCAACAATAAAAAACAAAATATTTTAATATAGACTATCACATGTTTTTCATTAATCACATTATTGACTATTCTCACTTTGAATAAATTTACAGTAAATATTTAAGTGAGGATAGAAACTGCGCAGGTATGGTGAAACTTAAAGAAAAAATTATATTTTAAATAGAAAATTGTATACATAGCACAAGTCATCTATACAATAATAAACAGTTCAAACATGAGGACGGAATAAGCTTCATTGTGTCTTATCCATCATTATTCCATGAATAATATCAAACATTATTATTCTTTTGCATGTTAATATATGTATGCTACTACTACATCGATTACCTTTCATGAGAAACAGTTTTTAAGGAATCAATTTTCATTAATGTTATTTCAAATATTAAAAACAAACAAGGAAAATTATGTTAAGATTTATGCCCAGTATTTTAGACGTATCTAAGGCAGAAAGTACAAAGGCTTGGCCACAGATACTCCTGCCTTACAGAATCATAATAGGAATAAAATGTACAAAACTTACACATATTTCTACTTTAAAAAATCTAGGGTCAGCTTTATACTAGTGCATACAATATTAAAGTACAATTAATGCTGAATAAAAGTTAAATAAAAAAATAAGATTGCCGGATATTTTAAATACTCTTAATTTACTGTTTCATTTAATAAACAAAAAAGTTATTGGAAATTCTGACAAATTGACAGTAAAGTACTCAACCAAAAAAAGTACCATAAAGTAAATGAATATTATAAGTTGATAAAACTATTTCAAATAAATAAACGCAGCAACATATATAGAAATATAAAACAAAATGTTTATATTATTGTCAACAGCCTTATATATATAATTTAGTTTTAAAGAATCTTATGCTATTGTAAAAATTAAAATATGATATGTTTCAAATCAATGCAGTTTACTATTTTATAAGCTTAGTTCTTTATGCAACATATTCTTTGTATAAATTCCACTTGTTGAAGAATGACAAGATTATGTATTTTAAGCAATAAAACATATTTCAGATTAAATTATGGATAAAACAGAGGTAATATTACTTTTTAGAGATGTTTTCTGAAATATAGATTTAACAAAGAATAGTAATTATAAATGGAAATGATTCTGAGCAAACAAATAAAAGGACAAGATAATATCAGAAAAAAATTTAATACACAGCACCATGATATATAAAATAGCGGAACCAATTTGCCTAAACTAAGCTAGTAAATGCAATGAGAAAAATATATTGTCCAAACTCCATCCAAGAAGAGAATTGAACATTTGAAATGGATATAATAAAATTAAATTAATCCTTATTATTTCTCCAAAATTTTCGAAGTAAATGATTTAATTTAAAAAAGGGTTGTAAAATATCAGAGATGCAGATAAAAGCAATACTTCAACTATGATTTAATCTATTTAAAATTCTTTCCACATTGTTTTTTTTTTTTAAATTTGATTATTAAATACAAAGTAACAGTATTCTACTCATTAAGTTTAATAGATAAAACCTAATGCATTTCATCAGAACAAAATTATATAAAATTACAGAGTTAGAATAAAGTTGAGGAATAGCACAAAGCTAAGACTGTGAGGGATTAACATAATCAAAATAATCTATTGGTGGTGGCTCATCAGCTTTCTGTTCTTCCGCTTTAGCATCTTCTGATTTGGGTCTCAGTCTGACGGGAACCATCACACTCTCTTCCCTGTAACAAAAAACATTAACTAAAACTCATTCAGAAATAATAATATTAATTAGAATGGACTAGTCGGGGAGGCCAAGCAACTCTTTATGTGGCCGCTCTAGTGCATACTATGGAAGTGCTTTAAATATTTTAAAAAGTAATCATTGGTTTAGAAAGAGAAATATATTCCCCAGATGTTTTATTTCAGTACATTTTGCGTTATTGTTGGCCGTTTAATTACAAACTCATATTCAAAAATTTTCACAATCGCAATACTTTCCCTTACTATATATTACACATATAGGTAAGTAAAAGTAAAAACAAAATTGCGAAGGCGGACCACCAAGGGATAACTTTTTACAGCCTAAAAAGTCAGATTTTTTCTATCTTTTTTTGTTTTTTAACTTATAACTCCTAAACATGCATCAATGTGAAAAATGTTCTCCCTTAGTAATTAAAGAATGTAAAATCATGCATCGAACAAGTACCTAAACTTAATAATTTGGTAAAGTGGTACGGTGGAAAATCACAGTTAACCAACGCTGATTATTACCAAATTTGTCAAAAACAGAGACGAATTACTATAAATAGCCCAGTAGCTTGGAAAAGAGTTCCCTAAAAGGAAAAATTCTTAGAATCAAATTTTGCACCCACTTAGTACTAAAGTTTTAATGTAGGTCACTTACTCCGAACAAAATCGGTAATCTCCTGATGGCTAAAAATTAATAAACACTATAGGCGTCTATTCTAATGAAATGAAAAGAAAAAATAATTTTATTCTGGGACTACTGTCCCCTAAGAATAATAACAGAGTTACAAATTTATGTATCTTAGTCTGACATAATAAAAATACCAACTAATTTACTGTTAATTGTTATTTTAATTGTGCAATGGATTGAAATTAAACATTGTATAGATGCAAGTAATTTTACATGTTAGGGGAAGTTTGAATGTGGAGTAGGTGTTAGAACAGGAGTTGTTTGAACGAATTTGTGGACGAGGATTGACGCATGGAGGTAGGAAGTGAGTTCCATAAGGAAGCAGCACGAATGACGAAGGATTTGCTGAAGGAGGAAGTTTTATGGGAGGGAATATATAAGTCTAAAGGTTGAGACCTAGTATTGAGAGAGTGGATAGAGGAGCGCAGAGTAAGGAGTTCCAGGATGTAGGGAGGGTTTTTGGTTCTGAAGACTTGGAAAAGGAAAATACCAAGGAGGAATTGTCGTCGGGAAGTAAAATAAAGCCACTTCAACTCGGTGTACCAGAGTGAAACATGTGTACGCTTGGGGATCCCGAAAATGTATCTTATGAAACGATTCATGAGTCTCTTTAGTCTCATTTCCAGCCTGGCATATATCCCTCCATAGACCAAGTAGCCATAGTCGAAGTAGGGGAATACAAGGGAGGTTACAAGGAGCTGTCTGGTTTTTAGAGGAATACAATCACGGAATCTTAGGAGTTGTTTAAGGGCAGTTATGGATTTTCGTATGGGTAATCTGGGAGATATGGTTATTCCAGGAGAGATTCTGGTCAAAGGTTACTCCTAGGTTTTCGACTGTAGGGAAAAAATGGATGGGATGGTTATTGAGGTTAAGTAGAGGAAAGTAAGGAAGGGAGCTGATGAGATGTCTGGACCCGATGATAATAGCCTTGGTTTTATCTGCATTCAGCTTTAATTCATTTATTTCTGTCCATCTGTTGATGCAGTCGATGTCCTCTTGTAGCCTCCGGGCAGCCTCAGGCATCTCAGAAGGTTGGAATGATTGTTGTTCTACTGAGTTATTCTTGCTTAGAGTTTATTACATGTAGTATAAGCCTCTTTACCACCTCTCAGCAGCGAAGGATTTAGAAAAACCATGTGTCAAAAGAAATCAAATTTCATGAAGAAATAACAAATTCCGATTTGAGATATATATAATTGACCCATATTAAAAATGTTAGTACTCAATGGACGCAAAATTTGATGCTTTCCCTCTTAGGGAACACATTTCCAAGCTACAGGGTCATTTCTGGTAATTTGTCTTATTTTTTTACAAATTTGGTAAAAATCAGTGTTGGTTGACCGTGATTTTCTACCAGACCACTTAACTAAATTATTAAGTTTGGATACTCGCTCAACGCATGATTTAATATTCTTTAATTTCTTAAAGAGTACATTTTTCGCTTTGATGCATTGTTTAGAAGTTGTAGGTGAAAGAACAAAAAAATCTGGCTTTTTTGGCTGTAGAAGGTTTTACCTTGGTGGTCCACGTAAGAAATTTTGTTTTTTACTTGTCTAAACCAATAGATACAAGTTAAAAAAATAAAATCTTTTTCCACATATTTTGCAATAAATTTCCTGTTTCAATTCTCAATTTACTAGCCTAACATTCTTTAAATTAGCCGCCATTTTTGAAAGCAGCGGCTCTGGAATGGCAGATTAGGTTCATTTTACTTATGATAACATCCCTCAAGTGATTTACATTCAAACCTTTGCCTACGATGAGATCGATTTTTGGGCCCTGGCTCCAGGGGTACTAGATTAAGCATACAAGGCCTCAAAGCATGGCCACCACGGGTTTCAAAAATCATACTTAAACCACTAAGTGTGTACTAATAATAAATGCACTTGGAAAAAAAAAAAATTGAAATCAATTTAGTTTTGAAATAAATTTACTGTTATGATGAAGTTTGGCATTTTTTATGCCTAATTTTTTAGAATATTATTATGTATGCATGTTAAGGAATCAACTTTATTTATGATGATAGCTGTTTTTTATAGTAAAGCTCGATTCATTACAAAAATTTAAATTATTATCACTTACTTGCTATCTTTTTTTAATGATGGAAGCAGAGAAGGAACCTTCCTTTTACCCGCCGCACGTTCCAGCATCTCCAGAACTGAGTAACTAGGAAGCCATGACTAAAAAATAAGAAAAAAAAGTTAGTGGTTTTTGCAGTTAGTGGTCACAAATGAAAAGCAGACTGAACTTGGCCTATGTTATGCTTAATTAGCAATTTTGGAAGAATTGCCTATACCTGAATAGGCTAAGTAGAAGAAACTTTTTTTTAAAGTCTAATAAAATGTATTTATAAAAAAGAAGTAATTATGAGTATTTTCTTTACCTTATCCTTGTAAGCTGTAGCGACTACATTACGATTAGGTTCTGCATCATAGGCAACACTTTCAACCCCAAAATGCTCACTATACTCATGTATAAACTGTCTCTTTTCAGATTTCATAGAGGGGAAAGAATAGCTTCTGCTTTTCTGCTTTGACTAAAAAGAAAAAAAATATAAAAGTACTACATGTTATATTACATCAATAGATGTTAAAATCAATACTAAAGTTCATTTATGTCTTTTACATGAGATTGAATATAGATACAAGGTTCATAACAACCACAATGGCATTGTTAACTAACTAATTCAATTTTTTAATTTTACTTTGGAGTATACATACAAACATTTATTAATTTATAATTCTGTTAACAACAAAAATACTAAATCAAGACTATAAGACTGAGTCTATCAAGATAAAAAGATGGAAAGCACAAAAATATAATAGTAATATAAACAAAACATAACACCAAGAAATAAATTTTTAAAAATTTTTATTATTGAAATTTACAAATGCATAATGATAAATACAACTAGTAAATTTGAAATAAATAATTTGACTTGTACAACATGAAGAGAAACTACCCATTGGTAGCACTCCAATTATATTTCTATATTAGAAGATCCCGAAGCCATCTTCTTTTCAGACGCCTCGGAGGGTTATCAGGAATAGAAGAGGAAGCAAGGTTGGAAACAAGAGGGTTCGGATGGTTCAGAAGTTTATGGAAGGATAGGTATCTGGATTGAGCTAAATTGGAAACATATGGTACGTTAAGGTCGTTATGGATGATTTTATTTGTGACAAAGTAGGGAGCATTAAGGATTTTACGAAGGATTTTCGACAAGGGCGCACAATATTAATATATAAGGGCAAAGCTGATATAAATAATATCTCTACCTGGAGATCGATCACCATATATTTGATTGTGCGCCGAATCAGAGAAGGTTCTGGACCACGAATTAAGAAAGCAGGTCACCTTTCACAAGAGTCAGAGAGGCTTTATAAAAGGTCTCCCGGGAACGCACGTCAATGCGAGGATTATCGACGCAGTATTAAAAGATGCACAAAACATGATAAATGACTGCGATAGTTTTCCTCGACGTTGTCGGTGCTTTTGACAATGTTGGCCACAAACACATCGTGAGCTCCCTAGAAGCAAGAGGTGTGTCACCGAATCTTACAAATGTCATATCGGCTCTCCTTAGCACGAACACCATAAAGATTAATAATGGTGTCCATGCAACTAGCCAGATCAAAGTGCTGCACGGTGTGCCCCAAGGCGACCCCCTGTCGTCTTCACTCTTCAACGTGGCCATCGATCATCTCTACCGCGACCTGTGCGATGAGGACTTTTCCAAGAAATTTGGATACAAATTAAGAAATGAGCAGGATTGAGTGGTCCTCACAGGTTTGGCGGATGAGCAGGCTGTGTCGACGCGAGACAAGGGGGCTGCAGAAAGAGTGATTGACAGCATCCAGAGGACATTTAAAGAAATTGGTCTGGCTATAAATCCTCAAAAAAGTATGGGCATCGTTGTAAATAAAGGAGAGCTGGAAACTACGGTGCTCTCCCTTGAGAATGGCGAGTACATAAAAACATTGAGGAATGGAGATACGATTATTTAGGATGTACATTCTCGGGAGAGCTACAATTCAACGAAGATTCGGTGACTAAATTGAATGATAATTTAAACAAGCTGGTAACCTCTTGCTTACTCAAACCTGAGCAGAAACTCAACATTGTCAATCAATATCTGTTCCCGGGTCTTACTTACCCTCTCCAAACTGTGCCCCTAACAAAGCTGCGTCCTGCTATCCTGGAGGGCATCGACATTATGATTCGCAGGAGCGTAAAGGCCATTATTGGACTCCCTGCGAATACTTCCACAGCGATGTTGTATGCCTCCAGAAGATACCGAGGATTGGGATTAATCCGCTGCCAATGGGAGGCTCCTCTTCAACATTGGTCCATTGCTCAGCGACTGTCCAATGTACCAGATGCCCTTTTTCAGTCTACCTTCGATTATTCGGCTGAAATTACTGAATGTGCCGAGAGATTGGGGGTTGATCAGGGTCATCGAAATGTGAAAGCTCTACGGCAGTCGCTACGAGAAAATGCATTTGAGGAATGGGCCAACTGCAGGTGACAGGGTATTGGTGTTCGCCATTTTAAAGAGACCCCGAAAGCGAATAGATACATCTACGAAAAGCAAGTACTTTCTGGGTCTGAATGGTCGAATACCCTAAAACTAAACATTAATTATGCACCACCCCTGCGTGGAGTCCCAGGAGTCAGCGGACAGGTCGGAGAAGTTGGGTCCCTCTGCCGTAAATGCGGCAGAGAGTCTGAAACACCAGCCCATGTGCTGAGAAAATGCCCCAACAACTCCCTCCTCATAACACGTCGTTACCACTGGGTCAAGTTCGAGTTGATGAGGCTCCTTAGGGAAAGGAAATTCACCTGCTTGACGAGGTATATTGCATCGATAGTGAAGGCTCTACGAGATACACGGATTTCGTCGCATTTCCCAAGACAGGAAGGACAGCGCTGATCTTGGAACCAACTGTCCGCTTTGAGAGCAATGACCTCGATCAGGCAGGTGAAGTGGAAAGGGAAAAGAAGAACACGTACGATAAATGTATCCCTTTCCTAAGAGATAAATTCCATGAGACCTTCGGAGAGAGAGAGAGTTCACCGTGAGAGGCCTCTGGTTTGGGTCTCGCGGAACTATCCCAAAAAGAACAAGGAGCTTCCTCGAGGAACTAGGTGTCGACATTAAGGACGTAGCGAGGTTGGCTGAAAATATAGTCCTCGACTCCCTGGGAATCATTCACCACCACATACATGGCTAGCCCGAGAGTTTTAATTTATGTATTTATTTAATGAATAATTGAAAACAATAGAGATAAAGAGAGAAAAGTGAGAGAAAGGGAAACTAAATGTTAAAAAAAAAAAAAAAACATAAACAATGAAAGGAAGGAAAAAGGAAAAAAAAAAAAAAAAAAATGGAAAAAAAAAATAAAAATGTATATATATATATATATATATATATATATATATATATATATATCTATTTTACTAATATTAACTAATACTTCTGTATATTTATATATAAGTTCATATATTGTCCTAAGGATAGAAGAGTATGCTGTGTGTATAGCAACCCAATATAATTGGGCAGCAATTCTTCATATTTTATATTTTATGAAAATAAAGTGTTTCTCTCTGTAGGGATTGGATACGAGAGGAATTTATGGTTTAGTAGAGCCCCAAAGCTCGGATCCCGTAAGTCCAAATAGGCCTTATTATAGTAATATATATGAGTCTTTTGTAAATAGTTGGAAGTTTAGAGCGTTTGTCTAGTAAGTGCTGCAATAGTTGAAAACATCAGTTGGTTTCTAGTCGTTTCAGAATGGTGAGGAGGTTCCAAGTGAGTCGTTTGTCCAGGTGGAGTCCTAGGTATCGGATTTGTTCAACAGGGATAAGTGAGCTATTGTTGAAGGATACTGTAGGACAGGAAGTAATAGGTTTACGACGAAGAGTAAAGGTAATTTGATGGGACTTATTGGAATTTATTTCAATCCTCCAGTTTTGACACCATTTTTCAAGACTTGTGATGTGTGATTAAGGAGGTTGGGATGCAATAGATGGGTCATTATTAATTAGTAGAATACACGTGTCATCGGCATAGGTGGTGATGACAGTGTTGGATTGGGTTGGGATGTCAGCTCTATAAACTGTGTAAGGGATAGGACCTAGGATACTACCTTGAGAAACACCGGCAAACTGAGTAAAAAGAGATGAATAAGGATTGTTATGATTGACTTTGAAGTATCTGTCAGTAAGGTAGGAACGGATAATGAAGAAGTATGTAGGTGGTAGGAATTTACGGAGTTTGTACATCAGTCCCGGATGCCAGACTATCAAACGCCTGCCTGTTCAACGTCGAGAAAGACTCCCGTGCAGTACATTCCGCTTTGTGCTTTTTCACATGTGGTGATCTGGGGGGCTTTTTTAGGAAGCAGTTTTAGGATCTGGGATGTGATTAGGTTATGGCCAGGAGCTTTGCAGGAAGGTAATCTATGAATGACACTGGATATTTCTGAAGGATGAAACGCTTTAGGTGGAGGAGTCAATTGGAGTGGGATATCCAATTCTGCTTCAATAAACTCAAGGTGGGTTAGATTAAGGATATCTGGGTGTGGATTAAATGTTTTGAAGAGGTGCTGAGCAAATATTTGAGATTTTTCTTTGTCAGAACTGGGTTTTGTAATAAATGAGTGATTAAAATCTTTGAATTTAAGGAGCTTTTTAGTGGTCAACCATAGTGATTTGTCAGTAGTTGTAAGATTTTCAGTTAGGTTAAGTAATTTTTGAGTTTTGAATTTTCTGATTTCTACTTTGAATTTGTTAGTCAATTTGTTATAGCAAGTTTTATCTGTAGAATATCTAGTCCTGTGTCACTTTGATCTTGCTCTCCGTTTTTCCCTTAATAAGATTTGAATATGTTGTAACAAGTAAATATGTCGTGTGTTTTTGTTTTTATTGGTGAATGTATTATCATTTATACTGATTGCTATTGATGTGTCAAGTTTTTCTATGGCTTTGTCAATGTTTTGTCTGGTCTTAAGTGGAATAAGGTCCTTACGAAATTTGTCCCAGTTTACTCGTCCTGTAATCAGTATTGGAGAGGATGAGGGCTTAGGAGCGAAGGTTGTATGTAATGAAAGCAGAACTGGAGAATGATCTGAGGAGAGATCATCCAGGGATTTGATTGTGACATGGGAAGAGGAAATCTGGGAGGTGACAAATATGTCCAGGATATCAGGACGTTTGTTGAGGGATGTTGGCCAATAGGTAGGATTCATGGGAGAGAGGACTATAGCAACTATAGGAAGTTGAGACAGAAGATAATATGTTACCACAGGAGTTGGATGATCGACAAACCCATCATTGGTGTTTAGCATTGTAGTCTCCTCCAGCAATAAAGCGTGATCCAAAGGATTGAAATAAGGATTCAAGTAAGTTGTAGGTAAGAGTATGACCAGGAGGACAGTATACAGCTGAGAGTTTTAAATGGAAAGGAAGAGATGAAATGATTACTGATGTTGCTTGAATAGCCTCAATTGGAGTAGAAGGAATGAGAGAATGGGAAAAGGATTTATGGACAAGAATGCAAGAACCGGCATGGGAAGTGTTGTCGGGGTGGTCTGATCTATAAGTGATGTCACATATGTAGAAATATGAACATTGAGTGAAGTGAGTTTCTGTCCGTAGAGCAATATCAATGTGGTAGTCATGAAGAAAAATGTCAAGTTCCTCTCGATAGTTGTGTAGTCCGTTAGCATGCCATAAAAGAACAGCTAGGGGCTCTATGCTCATCGTGAGAGATTGAAGAGAATTTCGTTAAGGATTCTTGTGAGGAGGGTGTTTAGTGGCTTGATAGTCTCTTGGAGATCTTTCAGGAAGGACGTAAGGGTGGAGTTTATTAAATCGATAGGATTTTGTTGGTCAGGTTGGTTTTGATTAGGAGTTCGTGAGGGAAAGCTCTTATGATAAGTAGTGTCTGATGAAGGATGTACCCTTCGTGATGCATGAGGGACTGAATCGTAATTAAATGAAACTTGGGAAGGAGAGTAAATATGAGCAGTAGTATGGGAATAAACGAGTTGGATGTTCAGGCAGTAATTTTACACGCATAGGTATCTGATGAGGAGGCATTTGCTGACGTGGAAATTTTGAATGAATGTGGGAGATGTGAGTCTTGGATTTGGAAGTCTGAGGCGTCTGACGTTGAGGCTGCTAATTCTTCACTGTGGTGTCTGAATATAATTGCCTAGAGTCTTGATGGAGATGATCTGTTGATGTAGAAGGGTTATGTGTCAATTGTGGTATTATTTCTTTCGGCAATTCAGGAAACGCTGCCAAATTTAGAAGTTTAGGTGCCTGTACCAGAGTACGATTCTTCGGTTCTTTTTTTTAATGTTATATTATAAGTTCTTGGCTTATATAGCTTCTTACAGATAATGCAGCCCCGATAACTTACAGGGTGGTCCTCACCACAAAGGCCACATTTTGGTGGTTCATTTAACAGTTTCTAGCAGATGTCAGAGGCGTGAGGCCCGGCGCATTTGACACAATGCGCCGAGTGATGGCAGTAAGCCTTTGTATGCCCTAAGTTTTGACACTTGGTGCATTGCACGACTATAGGTTTCTGCTTCAGCTCTTCAAATTTTATAATAGAATACAGCAATCTTTTAACATCGAAGATTTTGGAATTATTCCAGGCTGGTTCTAAATCGATGAAAAATAATGGCAGTGGGTATTTATCAATTGGATGTAAAACAGAAGATATATGTCTTACATTATGACCGATATCTTCCAGATCTTTTTTTATAGCGGTAGTGGGTGTGGTAGAGTAAAGACCTCTCAAAACCACCCTATATGTTTTGTCTTCTTTTAGTTGATAGCAGTGGAAGTCGTGATTGAGTGCTGTCAAGTGATTTATAAGTTTTTTATAATCATCTTTAGTATTGGTGTTAATCTTTATATCATTGACGCGAGAAAAACACCGGAAGTTGGTCGGTCCGATCAGATTAGCTATTTCTTGACCGAACTGAATGAAATTGTCAATCTTGCTCACATATATCGGAGGTGGCTCTGGTTCGGTGAAAGTCATTGAGTGATTGCTTTGTTTTAGTGGATTTTTTTTTATTAGGTGAGGAACTGGTGGTTAAGTTTCTATGGCACTTTTGGAGAGTTCGCCTTGTTAAATATTGAGAATCCGTCTCACAGATTTTGGAGAAAGGAGTCTCTTCATCTGATTCGTCATAAGAAATGTTCTTATCAGATTCCTTGAATATACCTTGAAATAATAATATTACAAAAAGAAGAGAAAAAAAAGTATCATTAATAAGAAAAATTACAAAACAAATACTTAATAACTAATCTATATACAAATATTAAAAAAAACATTTTCTGCAAATAAATAAAATAGTCTCAGTAAAAAAAATAAAATAAAATAATGAATTAAGAAATAAAAACAGGAAAAAAAAAAAAAAATACACTGTCTTAGGTATGAACTCGAGATATTCTGAACGTAATATGAAGCGACATGACCATGAACTTGAATGATAAGACCCGCTTGAGGGGAATTATCTGCCACGTAAGCTATCTCTAGCAATCAAGCACCAATTTAATGTAGCTAATTGCTAATAAAAAGTCACTCACCTCGCTGATTGTAATGTAAAAATGTTAAATTGTTTATAAACTCATTGTTTACAAAGTCTGAGAAGAGGATTTGAGATAATAAGCACATAACAAACGAGCAAAGACAGAACGATGCGAATATTGAACTTCAGTTGCGGCCATGACACTTGATAAGAAATAAATTAAGTAAAAATAAATGAAATATAAATAGTGGAAAGAAATCAACTGAATGAATAATACAAAAAAAAAATTAATTATTTATACACTTCGGTTTACATCTTATATCTCTGCAATGTTCAATTTCTTTTTCATTACTGTACAAATCTAGGACAGTTTTAATATCAAAGAAAATTAACGCCATATATCAGTTGCTTCTGTTTTTTAAAAAGAAGAGAAAGACTAAAATATTTATCAAATAAATCTATAGAGCATAGTAAAAGTAAAACTTACTGTTTTAGCTAGTTGTACAACTTCTGTAAGTTTATCATGAACATTCTGAGCAAATTTAGGATCTTTCTTGGCCCATGTCATAAGGAACTGAGAGTATCTGGGACATAGCTTTGATGAGAGATCTGGATTTGAAATTTGAAGGCCAATTGCTAGGCGTAAGTTTCTTTCAGCTACTTTGCATTCATCTGTACATTCAAGCCTGGAAAATATTTTGAACTATTCAGGATCTAAGGAATATTTTTTTAATAGCTTTTTTTATTTGCTATTATTTATAAAATTTACAACTGCACAAATTAATATACATTCAGCAAATGTGATACAGAGAAACAAATGACATGACAAGGGTTATAGAGAATCTATCCATTGGTAGCACTCTAATAAAGTATCTAAATTAGGAGATTACGAGGCCATCTTCTTTTCAGACGTCTAGGAGGGTTATCAGGGATCGAGGAGGAAGCAAGGTTAGAAACAAGAGGATTAGGATGGTTCTGAAGTTTATGATGGAAGGATAGGTTTCTGGATTGTACCAAATCAGAATTATATGGAACATTCAGGTCATTATGGATTATTTTATTTGTTACAAAGTAAGGAGCATCAAGGATTTTGGATTGTAAAGATTGGATATAAGAGGAACTAAGAGGTTAGACGTTTGTCCAGGTGGAATCCTAGGTATCGAGTTTGTTCAACAGGGATAAGTGGGGTATTATTAAAGGACAGGAAGTCATAGGTTTATGATGAAGGGTAAAGGTAATTAAATGGGATTTTTTGGAATTTATTTTAATTATTCAGTTTTGACACCATTCTTCAAGGTTTGTGATGAGGGATTGAAGAGTTTGGGATGCAATCCTTGGGTCATTATTAACTGATAGGACACATATGTCATTAGCTTAAGTTGTAATAACGGTGTTTGGATGGGTCGGGATGTCAGCTATATAGACTGTAAACAATAGGACCTATGATACTATATTGAGGAACAACAGCAAATTGGGAAAAGAGGGGTGAATAGGCATTGTTGTGATTTACTTCGAAGTATCTATTAGTAAGGTAGGAACAAATAATGAGGATTTATGTAGACGGTAGGAATTTACGGAGTTTGTACAGCAGTCCCGGGTGCTAGACTCTATCAAACATGTGCTCAATGTCGAGAAAGACTTCCGTGTAGTATATTCTATGCTTAAATGCACAGGAGACTACATCTACCATATTGCTGGATAGTGGAATGGGAAGTATGGAATTCAAATTGGTGATCAAGGATTATATGATTAGAATCTAGGATGGAGTACATGCATTTTAGGATGTTTTTTCCCCCAGGATTTTGACCATGATAGGTAATAAAGAGATAGGACGGTAAGAGGATGGGTGTTGGGTGGCTTTTTGGGTTTATGTATCATTTTAACAGAAGATAATTTCCAGGGGTCAGGAAAATATGTGGATCAGAGTACAGCATTATATATGTAGGTAAGGAACAGGATGGCTTTGAGCGGAAGCAGTTTTAAGATCTGGGATATGATTATGTCGTGATTAGGAGCTTTGTGGGAGGATAATCTGTGAATGATATTGGCTACTGGGATAATTTCAATGAATGAAATTGGCTGAAGGATAAAATGCTTTAGGTGGAGGAGTCAGTTGGAGAGGAATATCCAATTCTGCTTCAATACACTCAAGGTAATTTGGATTAAAGATATCAGGGTGTGTATTGAAGGTTTTGAAGAAATGTTGGGCAAATATGAGAGATTTCTCTTTGCCAGATTTGAGCTTCAATAAGAAGTGGATGATTCAAGTTTTTAAACATCAGGAGTTTTTTAATGGTCGTCCATAGTGATTTGTCAATAGTTGTAAGATTTTCAGTTAGGTTAAGTAATTTTTGAGTTTTGAATTTTCTGATTTCTACTTTGAATTTGTTAGTCAATTTGTTATAGCAAGTTTTATCTGTAGAATATCTAGTCCTGTGTCACTTTGATCTTGCTCTCCGTTTTTCCCTTAATAAGATTTGAATATGTTGTAACAAGTAAATATGTCGTGTGTTTTTGTTTTTATTGGTGAATGTATTATCATTTATACTGATTGCTATTGATGTGTCAAGTTTTTCTATGGCTTTGTCAATGTTTTGTCTGGTCTTAAGTAAAATTTTTATGTCCAGTTTGTTTTCCAAATCATCACGAAAGTTGTCTCAGTCTACTCGTACTGTAATAAAAGTAGGAGAGGGGGAGGGCTTAGGAGCGAAGGTTGAGTTTAATGAAAGCAGAACTGGACTATGATCTGAAGAAAGGTCATCCAGGGATTTGATTGTAACATGGGAAGAAGAAAACTGGGAGGTGACAAATATGTCCAGGACATCAGGATGTTTTTTGAGGGATGTTGGCCAATAGGTAGGATTTATGGGCAAGAGGATAGCATACCTATTGAAAGATGAGACACAAGATAGGATGTTGACTTGGGAGGTTGGATGTTCGACAACCCCATCATTGGTGTTTTGCATTATAGTCTCCTACAGCAATAAACCGCAGTCCGAGGGATTGGAATAATGAATTAAGAAGGTTATAGGAGAGGGAATTACCAGGATATTATACAGCTGAGGATGTGAGGTGGAGAAAGGGTAAGTTGAAGAGGTTAACTGAATGGTGTGAGTTGGAGTGGAAGGAATTGGGGAATGGGATAAGGATGCAAGATTATAGATCTGATATTATATTTAAATAATTAGGTATCAACGTTTATTCCAAAAAATTGTCATATAACTTTCTAGAAAATTAAATTAGTGAATGGTTTGGTGAATTTTCCCTTTGTGAAATCCCAACATTATCTTGTCTTCTTCTAAAGTACCTTTAATTTGGCTTATTATAAATGATAACAATTTATCATTGTTAGGAGTTATAGAAAAATGCTAAATATAAATTTTGGAAGAATTTGATAATTAAATAAAGGAGAAAAAAAGAAAAAATACTTATCCAGGTTGAAAATGAATAATCGAAAATAATAATCAGAAAGTATACGTATAATATATCATTGGATAGCGGAGAAATAAAAAAATTAAAAACAAAAGTTGTAGAAGATGTTTTCAAGGAAATTAAATGAAATTTTCTTACTAAATGTAAACTTTTATATTTTTTTATTAAGTTTAAAAAAGTATTTAAAACCAATAGATTCAAGGCAATGACATTGTTTACGATACTGTTTCATTGTACTTGTGTGAAAGAAGAAGTGAAATATAAAAATCAGGTGCGCGCAACACACAACTTTCACATACTGCTCAACTTTGAATAGAAATTATTTTCTGGCAATGTCGGGCTATTATAAAATTTTTGATTTGCATTTTTAACCAAGCTAAATCTAAAAGCTTATTGGAAGTGGATACTGTTGGAATATCACAAAGATAAAATTCATCAAATTATTCACTAATTTAATTTTCCAAAAGGTTACATGGTGATTTTTTTGGAAAAACCGACGATAGATACCTAATTATTTAAATATAATATCAGATCTAGAGTTATTCGAGAACCCTAACAAAATACAGTAAATATATTTAAGGTTATAAACATAACCATGAAATATTATTATATTTCACTTCTTCTTTCACACAAGTACAATGAAATAGTACTCTTAAATAGTGCCAACATTGCCTTGAATCCGTGGGTTTTAAATACTTTTTCAAACTTAAAAAAAAATATAAAAGTTTACATTTCTTACAGCGATCTATACAGGTCACTGTAAGTTAAATAATCATATGTTCAATCTCCGAGTAATGACGAATCCGCTAAGCAGATTCTGTCAGAAGGAGAATGAAACAGCTTTTCACATCATATGCAGATGTGACAGGTTTTTAAGGCTGAGACTGGTGGTATTTGGGGAGGAACAGATGGATCTCCCCAGAAGATATGAGTCAGTCAATCCAACCAGCCTACTTAGATACGCGGAAGCGACAGGACTAACGTTTTAAACAAAACGACTTACTGAAATTGGCGCACAATGGACCCAGTAGGAGTCGACGTGCTTAAAGCCAACAAATATAAAAAAAAAAAAAAAAGTTTACATTTAGTAAGAAAATTTCATTTGATTTCCTTGAAAACACATGATTTAATTATTTAATTCTACTTGTTTAATTAAGTATTAATTTGACCGCACCCCCTGATCAACTCCTCATATTATATCAATGGTCAACCATCTCTACATCATTACGTTAAATAATGTTTAGTTTTTAGAAATTATTATTTATATTTTTTTCGCCACTCTCCGTTACCTTCTACAATTTTCTATATTAGATATTGTTTTTTTTTTCAATCCTCCACTTTGCAACGATATATTATACGTATACTTTCTGACAATTATTACTGGCCTAACTATGTATTTTTCTCCTATATTTAATTATCAAATTCATTCAAAAGTTATATTTAGCATTTTTTCATAACTCCCAACAATGAGAAATAGTTAAAATTTATAATAAACCAAATTTAAGGTACTTTAGAGGAAGACACAATAATTTTGGGATTTCACAAGGGGAAAATTCATCAAATTATTCACTAATTTAATTTTCTAGAAAGTTATATGACAATTTTTTGGAATAAACGCTGATACCTAATTATTTAAATATAATATCAGATCTACAATCTTTAAACTACAGTAAATGTATTTAAAGTTATAAACATATGCTTTATACATCCATGAAATGACTTGATATTTCACTTCTTTCTTCACACAAATATAATGGAATAGTTTTTTTAACAAAGGTATTGCCTTGTTTAGGTGGATTTTAAATACTTCTTCAAACTTAAAAATATTCTAAAAGTTTACATTTAGTTAATAAATTTCATTTAATTTCCTTGATAACATGTGATTAACATTAAATAATATTAATTTTCAAAAATTATATTTATAATTTTGTCTCCTTCATTTTCGAGATAGTGTTCACATACACACAGACCATTTTTCGGGACTTGGTTATTTGGACTCAGTGTACCTCAAAACGTGTATTCCCGTTGAAAACTTAGACTCGAAAGTTTTCAAGATCGCAATACTTACCCTAACTTTATATTACATATATAGGTAAGTGAAAGTAAAAATTAGAGTGAAAAAAAAATTAAAATAATATTTATAGTCTAACTAAATAAAAATTAAAAATTAAACTCTACGAATTAAATTCTTCAAATTTAAGCTATTTACAAAGATTAAATAAAACATTCTTAATATACATAAATAAAAATAAAAGTATCTAAGAAAAAAAGAAATCGTATGTACTTAGGTTAGAACTCGAGAACAACTGAATAAAAGAATGTTTATACACAGAGCGCCCTGGCCATGAATCTTACATAGATTAAGGCAAAACGCACAAGGGAATTACCGATCAGCTGTGCTATCTCTATAAAACTGGTATCAGTTTATATCTAGTTAATAGATAATAAAGGTCACTCACCTCACTATTTTAATGTTAAAGTGTTCAAATGTTCACAACTCACTGTTAATAACTTAAAGCAGCAGTTTTTATATAAATAAGTAGATGACAGGGCAACAAAGACAGAGCGATGCAAGCATTGAAATGTAGTTGCGGCCATGACACTTGGAACTCTCTTCTTTTTTTTAAAAAAAGAAAAGAAATGAAAAAAAAGTTTGTATGAAAAACTGGCAAGGAGATAACTAAGATTTTAATATGAGAAAGAAATCAATCCATTGAAAACAGAATTACACAACTGTAAATTATAAACCCAAGAGTTTGGGGAATCATATCAACAAGTAAGTATAAAATGTGAAGTGCTGCTGTTTCTTTAATGCTTTAGGCCATCACTATTTTTGGAAATGTTGCAACAATCTCTTTACATGTTTGTCAAATCATTCAGAAAATGGAAACATGCTCGTATTTATGCCCAAATAACTCATTGTCATTCTTTTATCAGATCAGATTATTTACTTTATTATTTATTTACCAAGTATGTTAATATGAAACCGGAATTCATCCACTGATGGCTCTATGGATGTAATTAATGTTAAACCGCATTACTAGTGCAATTTTGTTTCTTTGCAATCTGGCAAAGATTTAAATCTCACAATATTAATTTCAAATAATAGCATTATTTTAATAGTGTCAAACATATCTAGTTTTGTGCCTATAAACTATGATTTACGGACAGCGTTAGTATTCTGTTACCATTAAAAGAAAACTGCTGCAGAATCGCATCAACAAATGGTTGTTTGAAGTTTATGGTCATCATGCTCTTGGTAAATCGCAATCCTTTGAATAGTTAAAAAAATTCAGAAGTGGTGATTTAGACATTAGAAATGAACAACGTGGACGTGGTTATGATCTGTTCTAGCTACTAAAACCTGGCAAAATAATTAAAACTGAACACTATCAACAACAAATGATCAAATTTGAATCAATGAAAAGCAAATCAGTGAAGAAAATAGCAAACCAGCCGTTCAGTTGAGAAATATTAGAGTATGCGGTTTACTCACCAGACTTAACGCCATCCGACTACTATTTATTTATATTGGTGGGGCAAATATTTGCTCATTAACACCACTCCTTATGAAAATGGCTAGGTAACTGATTCTCCACAAAAGAGCAACAATTTTTTTGGTATGGCATTCATAAATTTCCAGAGAGATGGGTAAAAATGTATAGATAGCAATAGATAATATTTTAAAATATTTATATGTAATATATATTTTCTTAATGAAAATTCTGTTATCTTTTTTACACACCTTGTATATCATTGATTTATTGCAAAAAGTCACGAAGTGCATTTTAGATAAAGATTACCTTTCAAAATATTTCGGTTTATTATTTTCAATAATGAATCATTGCAATCGAACAAAAAATTCATAAACTTAACCCCCTCTTAAAATTTGAGGTTTTACGTTTGAGGATACATAGAATTTGAAAAAAGAATACATTTTTTTTGTCCGTTCTACGTCCACGGATTATCTCCGAAACTACTGGACCGATTTTTTTTCAAATTAGGATTTAAAGTCAGTGGTCAAGGATGATCCTCCTTTATTGACATTACTATTGCCTTTTCCTTTCAAGATGGCAGACGAAAAACCTGTGTTGCTATAGACTGCAGCACCTTAACGAATATAACAATTTCAATGAAACTGGGCTAAAGTCTTCTTCTCGATGCCCTTTAAATTTATCTATATAACATTCATTAACGAAAAGAAGCAGGAAAAAAGTTACGAGAGGTGGTAAAATTAGATTCCAAATAACTCAAAAAGTATACACTTCTTTGTGGATATTGTATATGGTTATTTATAAGTTGATGAAATTTCCTTAAAAAAAAAAATCATTAAAATCGGACCATTTGGAGCAAAGATATGCTCTCTAGATGTTTTTCATATGCTCTACTACAAAGTTTATATCCTTTGTTATGGATTTTTATTTTTTAATGTGTTACTAACTGAAGTAATGCTGTTTTTTTTTTTGGCAAATTACTAATGATGAAAAAAAAATGTTTAGGTAAATAATTGGAATCACCTTTTATTTTTTATTTTCTTTATCAATAGGAAGGTAATGTTACTTTAAATGTTTAATTGTTAGGAAATAATAAACCATAGTGAAATAATTTGCAGCATTTTTTTTTTTAATCTCGACTTTATTTAATAAAAACACAATAAGGTCATCGAAATAAAACAAACCTTTCTATATACCAAATATAGTTACAAAAAGAGCACGATTTTTTGATTTCATAAAGGGAAAATTCTTTAAAGTTCTTAATTATTTAAGGTTGTGAAATGTCACTTAATGAAATTTTCCAATAAACCGATGATATACAGATTCGTAGAACTTAAATAAATTAAATATAAATATTTAAATTATATATAATTTTATAAAAGTAGAACTTAAATAAATTAAATATAAATGTTTAAATTAAATATAATTTTATAATAGTAACTATAAAAAATTAAAGACCAATCATACTTATAGACTGGCTTTGAAGAAGATCTCAGGTCAACTGTCTTTCCAAGACGAACGTCAGCCATTTGAGATGCTAACTGAGCAGTAGCTAAGCGCTGATACTCGGAACTATTTTCTGAGCAACTTTTTTTTACAATTCTTCTTCCACATTCACATCGAACCTCAACCTGAAAAACATTGAAGAATAAGAATTTATTTTAAGTTAATCTATTAGATTAGATTAGATAAGTAAGATAGATTATAAGTAAATTATTCTATTATAATATAGAGTCAAGATATTAAATATAATCAGAATTATATATTATATTATAACATATATTTATATTGTATAAGATTGTTACAATAAATAATGAAAATAAATTGACAAGAAGGCCTATATACAATTAAGAAGAAAAGGAAAGGAAAAAGTGTAACTGAAAAATTGGTTTTAATGTCAAAATTAACCATAAATAAATATCATGCTTTAAAAGAAGTTACGGCCAGTACTAGGGCCATTTTCAAGCCTTATTTTCTTATCTGTAGTCCTTCACATATCACTATTTATTTCTTAGTTATAGCTAACAAAAACAAAATTAAAATTGTTATGTTGGGTCTACCCTCATCGTATCTAGCATTACATGGAGGCATTTGTCTCTCCATGTACTTCAAAAATTTCCAGGCCTATTACAAAAATGTTACAAATACATACATGCCCAAAGGCATCTGATAAACTTAATTAGATAACTTTAACACCTTAAAATTGAGGTCAGAGATTAATATAGAAAACAAAAGGACTACGCCAAAAAAAAGAATTAAAATAAATGTCTGGCTGCTAAATTAATATAGCTTCCTTCTAAGGAAAAACAAAATAACCCTTTTAATTAAATACATAAACATGCTTTGGAAAATTCATTCCCCTCTCTAACACCTTTAGCTTTACCATTCCAACCATTTAGTAAAACTATCTGTCATACATTTTTATCCATCACTTGTCTGTATTTAACAGGAACTTATTTATAAAAAAAAAGATACATACTCATACACTTCATTATTCTAATAACGAAAGTCTAATAAAATATATCGCATTCCGTATGTTTAATAGCTGTAACTTCCCATAACCATTATATTCATAAAAAATCACATTAATTTTATTAGCTAAATGAAATAGGATGAAAGTAATACTGGACCATTTTTACACTATTGCTTTAATTGCCTCTAAGGACCAAATTAAATGAGCTGTTTTTAAATATAAGTGTATCAAGGAAAATACTTTTATGCATTTTGCATCCAAAAACAAAAGTAGTGGATGGAATTAAATAAAATAGATAGAGCACCATTTTTTTACTAATCCTTAAACTGTAAGCCAAATCAAACGAGCTTCTATGAAGCATGCCTAAGAAAATATAATTGTGCATGTGTTAGTAGAAGTAGGAAATGAAAATTAGGCAAGGGCAACTTAGATCCAAGGGACCACCCAAGTCCTTACCCACATAATCATTGAAAATTTCTTATCTAAATTGGATCAACAGAGGAGATGGAGGAGATCTAAATTGGATCAACAGAGGAGATGGTTTGCCCCTGCCATGGATTTGACTCCATGCAGGCACACAATTAAGTTTTTTTCTTGATGTCGGTAATATAAAAGCGGTTTTTGTTTCATATTATTTTTTTTTATTATGGCTTAATAATCAACTAGACTTGAAAATTATTTTTTTAACATCTAGATTAAAAATCTATTGGATCCACTATCTTCATTTTCAGATAATGGATTAGAGAAAGAAAACAATTCTAAAAACTACTATTCTGAACCTCGAAATACAGTTTAATAATAAATGAAACACTTTAGACTGCTTGATTGTATTATTTTTCGTTGGTTTGATTTATCAAAAAGATTACCTTTGACTGACATGGCTGGGGATTACAAGGCTGTCCAGGGTGACAGGGGGCAGCACACTCGTGACCGCAGGTCGGTCTTGGCACAGTGCACGGCTGTACACATCTTGTTCCCTCTGGTGTACAAGGTCCTGAATGGCATATTTTAATACAGCAATGACCACAGTCTAATTTTTTGTTACAAGCACGTCCACAGGAAAATTCTCCAATATGACAAGGAACTGTTTTCCTTAACTGCAAAATAAGATTAAATAATAAGTGTGTATGTTCAACTGTATGAAATAGATATGTTTTTTCTGACCTGCTCTCAGACCATCTCTTTCACATAACATTAATTTCGAATAGTATAAACGGATCATCACATATTGAAAATATTAATAATCCAACTATTAGGTTGTCCGGAAAATAATGGAGGATTTTGGTTTAAAAAAAAATAAAAAAAAAATTTACAACTGTTTGTTTAATCAAAATAGTCTCCATTACTATCAATATATTCCTGCCAACGTGTTGCCAAATTTTTCATTCTCTCCGAATGGAATTTCCTATCTTTAGAATTGATAAACTCCAAAAACGGATTTTCTATTTCCCTTAGTTTATTAAATTTTTTGTCACGTAAGTAGTAGTCCAGGTGCCTTAAAAAAAAAAAAATGATAATCCATAGGCGAGAGGTCCGGAGAGTAGGGAGGATGTGCCAGAGTTTTATATCTAAGCTCCAAGCTTCATATCCAAATTTTTGTGATGTCACACGTGAGACATGTGGACGGGCGTTGTCATGTTATTAAATGGGCCCCTTCCAATTGACCAAAGATGGCTTCATTATTGCCAATTTCTGATGTATTGCATTAATTTGGTTACAATATGATATGCATTGATGGTTTCTCCAGGATTTAAGAAGCTGTAGTGTATCAAACCAAATGAAGCCCACCAAACAGTAACTATCATTTTTTTTTTTTGATGAGTTGGAGGCTTTAGAAATGTTCTGCTGCTTCTCCTTTGTCGAGCCACTGTCCAGAACGTCTACTGTTATTGTAAAGTATCCACTTTTCATCATAATTAACAATTCTGTGCAGAAAATTGTGTGTGCAGAAGCCAACTTTCAAGCTTTTTACCTTTCAAATCGCCTTGAGGTGGTCATCGACAGTTGATTTGCTAAGGTTAAGTTTTCCTGCAAGTTCTTGGACAGTTGTTCTTGCGTTTTCTTCCACCAAAGCCTGCAGAAAATCGTCATCAAGAGAAGTCCTTCCATGACATTCTTTATTTACAAGGCTGAAGTCTCCCTCCCAAAAATTTTTTAACCACTGTTGAACAGTGCACTCATTAATGCTGCTCTCGCACCAGACTTGATTGATGTTTCTGGCTGTCTGGGCCCATTCTGGCCGAGTTTAAACTCGTAAAACAAAATTATACAAAAATCATGTGTTGGCATCTTAGTAAAGACTGAATTATTTCTAAGCAGCGAAATGCTTCAGAGGAAAAACAAACATTATCGTTTGGGAGAAGATTAATAACAGTGGACATTCAAACAAATGAATAATCCAGTAAGCGTAAACAGTTTGCTATACAGAGGGGAGTAATACAATATTTTAAAGAAAACTCAAAATAACTAAAAATTATTATTAAATAAAAATAAGAAAGCTTTCTGAATTATTTTTTGGACAACCTAATAATTTAAAGAGGCATTTAAGTTAACCTTAACTTTAAACCAGTAATTAAATGTTTAAAGTTTTTTGAGCAAGATTCAGATGCATGCCTACTTTTTGTTTTATTATTTTAGCTTCATAAAAATATTGATTAGTACACAAAGGGTTAGCCCAAACACTTATAGATTATTGCAAAAGAAAACATTTATTTTCACAATCTAAAAACATGTTAAAGCAACCCAAATTAATGGCTACATAGAAGAAAAAATGTAAAAATAGGACCAAATAAAATTGAGAAAAAATTATATTAAAAAACTAAATCTTTTTAAACCCAGTATATACTATACTTAATTCTTTCCAGATGGCCTAGAGAAGTCCATTATCATTCAAATTTGAAAAGAAAAGCTAAATATCTCACATTTGAAAAACAATAAGTATATTAACCCTGAGGTAAAACTGTGTCCTTCAACAACTAGACTGTGCGATTTTTAATCTTTTTCAATACAATTTTTCTTATGGTCATTTTAGAAAATGCAAATGCAAATTTGAAATCTAATACATATAAAAAAGATAAAACCAGAAAAAAAAAGCTAAATTTGATTCTTTGACAATTTTTAAAGGAAATGAACGGTTGACGGGAAATGAATTTAAAGGACGAGTAAAATGATGAAACAGAGATGACTACATTATTAAATATAAAATTATACTTCATACATTAATTACCTCATGTGCTCCAAAACAATATTTAGTAGTCAGAACTGAACAGGGAGGACAATCACTGAGAGAGTGGCAATGATGGGTCGGAGGATGGCCACAGGGATGATCACGAGAGCAAGGAGCCTTGCATTCTGGAGGTCTAGTTCCACAAGGGACCGGAGGATAGAGAACAGCTTTTCCGCACTCACAGCTTAACTCAGTAAAACCTATGTATACATATAAATAGTGTAGATATCTGTCAAGGATTGCTTCATAATTACTTGCACACCAGAAAGAACATCTAAGTGTTAATTAGATAAATAATTTTTCTTTAATAACTAAAACACATTGGGATATAATATGAGTTCAAATTAGCTTTCATTTGTGAGATTTAAGCCTGGTGCTCGAGCCATAAACTATTATGGTCTCTAATTTTCCACGGGATAACTATTTCAAGACTAACATGTATTGCTAATCCAGATTAGCCTTGGAATAAACTACCTTATCCATGAGCAAGTTTGTTTTGGGACTAACAGATAAGTTCGGATAAATCTAATAACTAGCTCTTAATTTTTATTTGATTTGATATATTACATGATCAGACGTGTTCGGCAGAATACTGCAGTTCATTGAAAACGATAGCAACAAATATGTTGCGGTGTGCATATTGTACAACTTTCACTTAATTTAACAACCATTAGAATGATGTGATTACAAATATGTATTTTCATATAAAGGAAAGAGAAACTAAAATTATAGATGGTGCAAAATTTATATTTCAAACAATTATCACATGTTTTTCACAAACAACTAATCTGTCAAATTTACATGTTATTGTTCATTTCCTTCGACTACTGTACCATTTTAATTATTTAATTGAATATAAGGTTGTCAAACATTATTTTTTAGTCCAGCAAGAGTGTTGTGAAATTTTTGAAGCCCAATAGGAGTGTCGTGGCAAAAAAAAAGAGCCGAGAATTGTAATACAGCACATTTTTTGTTGTTTTTTTAATCAATGAAGATCTTTTTATCAGGTAGATATTCAAATTTTAGTTTTCATATTGCCATAATTTATAGAACTAAATTTTAATTAACATCAGAGCTATCATTTATAAAAGCTGTAGATATACTATAAATGTCCCAGTACTCCTTGTCTATGATAAAGCATATTATGCACATTCAGCAGTAACTGTAAAATTTCAATCATGCTCGAGTGTTCTCAGTAATTTTCTAAACACTCTTTGTTAATTCTCAGTCCCCTCCTAATAACTCTTATTTAACTCTGATATCAATTAATTATCAAATTTTTCATACTTTATACATAACCACTTTTTATTACCCGTGACAATGTAAAATAATTAATAATGTTAAATTAACAAAATTAAAAGTACTTTAGAGGAGAATATTTTGAGAACTCGACATTTAAGCTGAGTCAGATTATTTCAATGAGGATAATATCTATCTCATTACTAATTATTAAGATCGCTCAAATTTATTTTATATAAGTTTAATAAAAATGGTTAGAATCCTTTTGAGAAGATTATATAAATTTTTTCGATATGAAATGCCACTTTGGGTTAGTCAATTTTGGTGAAAAAGTTGCTACATAATTTGAGTTTCATACAACTTTTCATTTTTGAGCTACGGTGTTTCAAATATACTTCTAATAGTATTTTATTAATCATTTATAAAAACAACTATTTTACAAAAGTGTTATTTGTATTATTTATCTTTTTTCATCCCACCACCAAGCCTGTTAGCCACTTCCTCAACTGATTTGTCATTAACAGCACTCTTTTCTAGAAGATATTTTTTGCTGTGTATTATTGGATCTAAATATTACATTGACGTCACAGATTATTATATTTATATTTTGTTATTTACTTATCACTCTAGGGTAAAATAAAACTCAGACTGAATAAAGATCCCATAAATACATATATAAAAAATAAAATAAAATTAATACCAGCAAAATGAATTCACAGTCACATAGTAAAAGCCTGTAACAAATTTGGTTTTGGAGATTAAATGGTAAATCTTGACCTCAGACAGATTTAGTTATCAAATCACCAAAAAAGTTACTTAAAACATTTCATTATTGTCTTAAGTATGCAATAAAAATTGTGCAGAAATTCTAAAATCATAAAACAAAAAATAAAAATTTTTTTCTCTATCTATTGAATATTTTTAGTTTTCGCATTAATAGGCTACTGCAACCTGGCATCGTAATGTCTTTCTGTCATTTAGTTATGCTATACTCAAAGAAACGTACTTGCAGCAAGGCAGGGTCGACAATTGCCTCGATGGCAAAGTTCCTGGCAGCGATGTCTTCCACAGCTCAACATTTTGTTGCAAGGAAGAGGACAAAAGTGATCAATCTCTATACAACAAGCCTGATTGCATTTATGTTTTCCACAACTTCTCTTCTGTAATTATAACATGAAAGATATAAAACAATGCAAAGATTCTTTAAACCATCAATTTTCATTATATCATGGGTGATAAAAGGTCAAATGTCAAAAATACTAGCTTTACAGAGGAACAGATTAAATGTTTGGTACCTCATGATAAATCATCAATATTCTCAATTTCTTTACATGAGATTTAAAGGATTGATATATTTTTAGCATTTAACATTTATCAAGTTTCCTCCCTGTTCCTTTATATAAAATTTAAAGATCATCTACTTCCTTTAAATTTCATATAAAAAAATCAGGAAAAAAGATGATTTATCGTGACCTACTTAACATTGAATCGGTACTAAAATAATGACAGTTGACAATTTTACCCCTGTCGACATATCTAATGCTTTTAACATATAAATAAACTAAGCAAAACATAGAAAGAGCATTAAGTTCAACTGCCTTAGACCAAAATATAATTTTTATAAATGTTTATTTCAACTAAACATTAATAGAGAGTATTTTTTACCCTTTATTAATGTTAATTAAGCCTTAAACATCAATAATTTTTTTCTGCTGTATAATAAAATATCATTATTATTCTGAATGAAAGATATGGAAAAATTTCTATTTCTTAACAAATAATTAATTACGTGTAATTAGATATACATACTTTTGTACAACGTTTAGAACAACGGGCATCATCTGGACGCGAATCTAGGCCAGCACAGGGAACTTCTTTTGCCATAGCTCCGCACCGGCACATAACTGATGTAGTTTCAGGACATGGAGGGCAATCACCGCTGTGGCATAATACAGCACAAGTATGTTTCCTTCCTGTCAAAATTCAAAATAAATAACATTTTAATTTTCTATATTTACAGATAAAAGCATTTTTTTTTTGCCTACTGTAACATGCATTCATATATGTATGTATGTATATGTATATGTGTACGTATAATATAATATATATATATATATATATATATATATATATATATATATAAGTTATGGTTAGAGGTAAGACAATATAACAGTTAATCCTATTTATGAAGTGTAAACAAAGTGCCAGGTATATATGGATGATCTCCTGGTCTTCAGTAAAAATGAAACGGAACACATTGATCATTTGCCGCGTCTTTGACAGAGTGAAGCAGTTGGGGTTAAAATTGTCTGCTGAAAAGTCGATTCTGGGGCAGGATGAGATCAATTTTCTGGGACATTCGATTTCGAGGGAAGGGATCAAGCCTGATAAGCAGAAGGTAGAGGCGATACAAAAGATGGCGATGCCCAGAGATGTCAAGGGGATCCGGAGATTATTGGGGACGTTGAATTATTATCGTCGGTTTGTCCCGGAGATGGCGGAATATCTAGCACCTCTTAATAATCTCCTAAAGAAAGGCCGGAAGATCGCAATAACACCAGCGATAGAGAACAACGTGCGGAAGTGCATGGCAAGGTTGCAAGAAAAGCCGGTACTTGCTTTTCCCGATTTTAACAAGGGTTTTATTATCACCACTGACGCAAGTGAGTATGCGTTGGGAGCAGTACTTGCGCAGGAAGGAACGGACGGGGAACAGCCAATAGCGTATGCGAGTCGGCGACTCACAGAAGCGGAAACAAGGTATAGCGCCCTGGAAAGGGAACTCTTGGGAATAGTATGGGCGGTCGGCCATTTTAGACCGTATATTTTTGGTCGGAAGTTTAAAGTGCATACCGATCACAAACCGTTGCAGTGGGTGGGCAACCTGAAGGAATCATCGGCAAGGGTCACGCGATGGAAGCAGTTCCTAAGTCAATATAACATGGAGGTCAGGTATAAGCCAGGCAAGGAGAATATAGTAGCGGACTGGTTGTCCAGAGCCGTAATGGTAAATGCCATTGAGGAGGAAGAAGGGGAGTCGTCGCGGGACGTGCGGCAGTTTTTGAGAGCATGGACACCGGAAGGTGAAGGGGAACCTGGGGATGCGAGAACAGAGGAATCGAGAGGAGAAGAGAGCTCGGTGGATGAAAGGCCTACCGACATGTAGGAATGTGATGAGATCATTAATGATAAGCGACGACAAGTGATTTGGAAGACCAGAACGTCGGGGCTTATGAAGATCGACTTCACTAAATATGGGAAGAAGAAAGTTAATACCATTTGGTTCCAACCAGGGGTGAAAGAGGAACAGATTTGCAAGGCTTTGCACGACGCCTCGGAGCCGGGGAAAATTCACCATCTGTATGTAGGCAATGCAACCATTTGGGAAAAGATCAAGAAACTCTGGTGGGCAGAGAAAATAGGTGTCGAAAGATCATTTATTAAATGTAAATACTTAGTTGAAACATTAATGGACAAGGAGCAGCAAAGGGAGGTAACACTGGCACATCACCAGGGCAAGACGAACCATCGGGGGGTACAGGAAACATTCCACGCACTACGCAGGAGATATTATTGGGATGGTATGCGGAAAACGATCTCGGAAGTCATTGGAATGTGCGAAGTGTGCGCGCGCACTAAGTATGACAGACGACCACCTCAAGGAGTACAAGAAGAAACCCCTACAGGAGATACGCCGTTGAAAGATGTGCAAATCGACACATTCACGTGGAGAGGCTTTAAATGGGTCACCATGATAGACCTCTTTAGCAAAATGGCAATGGCACATCGGGTACAGGATAGGTCGGCGGAGGCTGTCGTGGGAGCTCTCCAAACGTGGGTTCAGTTCTATGGAGTGCTAGATCGCATAACGTCGGACGGAGGCAGGGAGTTCGACAGCAGTACCATCCGAGAAGAAGCGAAGCGCTTGGATATAGTTTGGCACTTCAATACGCCGGGACATCCAAAGGGCAGGGGAAGTATCGAGAGGTTGCATAGCACCCTAAGTGATCACCTACGTATATATCAGGGGGAGCAGGGATTAGAAGCGGACGTAGCAATGCAGAGGGCGGTAGCGGCCTACAACCATTCAATCCACTCCGTTTCAGGGTTTTCCCCAGTCGAGGTACTGTTCGGAATAAATATACGGCGTCGAGATTGGAAGGAAACAGTCACGAGCGAGGACCACGCTCAACAGATAACGTGTAACAGAGCGCAAATAAGGAAAGTGTGGGATAAAACGAAAGGGAGAATAGAGAAAGAGAAGCGGAAAAGGGTTGAAAAGGTTAATTTGAACCTCAGAGATAGAATGGGTGCATTAAAAATAGGGACGGTCGTCTTTCGTAGGGTCGGATCCAATAGGGGGAAGAAATTGGCGCGCTACGAAGGACCATTCAAGGTAATTATACTTAGAGAGCACAACGTTTGTACGATCCAAAGTCTCAAGGATCCCAGAAAAAGGAGAACCGTTCACATAGAACAGTTAAAACTCCCGATAGAGACGGAATCACTACAGTAGTGGGATATCCTCTTTTCTGTCCCCTACAAGCTAGGGACTGACACTAAAAGGTTAATTTGATTTTGTTGTTCACTTTTGGCTGTAAGATAACAGTGTCTTTTAATTTCATTTTTATTGTTTTTTTTATTATTACTTTGGCTGTTCTAGGTACTCCAACGGCGATTATACCTTTCATTTTTGTTTGTTTGTAGTTGTTGTATTTTGGTTATGTATTACGTCAGTTACCCTGCATTAGTTTATGAGGAATGTTCATAAACTGGCGGGGGGAGTTATGGTTAGAGGTAAGACAATATAACAGTTAATCCTATTTATGAAGTGTAAAAAAAGTGTAATACTATATATATGGCATTACTAAGGCAATAAAGTCAGTATTATTTGAGTAACCACGTGCTTCATTTCGGATCCTTTTTCCCTTTTTTTTTTATTATTTCTTGTTCGAACTGACGTAAGTTATATATATATATAGAATGTTTCGTAATTGCATGGCACTATTTTAGATATGTGTTCACTAACATAAAATAAACAAAAAAGTTCATATTAACATATATCTCAAACTCATTTATTAAACAGATATCAAAGGTTAAAGATTTATTATTTATCACTAGCTTTACCCGGCCATGCGCTGCTGTGGCTCAGTCTGGCAAAATGGAAAAGAAAGAAAATAGAAAGCACATATGAGTGGATTAGTAAAGGACATGTCATTTTTAAAAAGTTGGGAAACAAATTTATCAGTAAAACGGCTTTAATTTTAGTTAATTTTAATGATTTTTTTTTATGATTCAACTTGAACATTCTTAATCATCAGAGTGAATATGCCGTCATTCTTAATCATCAGAAACAGTCTGAGTTGAACTTATAAAACTAAAATTGACTTTATCTCCACTTTCTGAAAATGACTGAGATCCGTCTTTGATATGTAGCCACTCATATATTTTCTTGTTTAATTTTATTATTTTTTTTTTAAATATTTAATGTATTGTTTAATGTTCAACTTTGTGTTGATCATTTTATGGCAAGTAAAAATGTAAATGTTTGTTTATTCAAACTCTTAAATCTCGGAAAGTTCTCCACCCATTGCCTTGTAATTTTGGTTTAATGTTGCATTTGAATACAGGCGTGGTTTAATGTGTCTGATATTATAAAATATAAGGTGAAACTATACATATTTATTAAAAATGCACCATCAGTTGGATATAAAAGCAAACACAAGCGGTTCAAAATATTTTACGATACTGTTTCAAAGTTAAAGATTTTCAAATATCAATGCATTGAAATTGCGCTATGCCATTTATCATACTGTTCATTTCGTGTACATTAGAGCTACCAACCACCTTCCTCAAAAGATTTCGCATACTTATCTTAAGATAGTTGATTGCTTGCATTTTCTTAATAACAACTTGATTAAATATAGAGTTATAAAAATTGTAGTGGAAAAATAAACCTTACTCATGAAAGAAACCCTACGGTAAAGGACACATCCTTATTCCAACGTAATGTTAGAGAAAATAATTTATTATAACATAAAATAAACTGAAATCAATAAAAAAACTGATTTATAAAAGGAACATAAACGGTGACAATAATTACTCAAGAGTTAAATATTGCTTCCTCACTGCCGAAGGTAGAGAAGCATTGTATTCGTGCGAGAGGTTAAAAATAATTTTGTGCTCAGAATCGAAAATTTTCAATCATATTTTACATTTCAGGTGTCAAGGATCAAATTTGGTTCGGTGTCTGTCTGTGTGTAGTCAAATCCATGTAACTGCATTGTCGATATTGTTATAATCTTGTGGTAACAAATCTTGCCTACTCGATACGTGAAATGGACAAAATTGTTGTTCACGTAAAGTTCACCATACGCTGGTAGAGCAAACACCGAAACGGCGTGACAATCTTCTGGTACTAGTAGTAGGAGATAGTACCGTGAAATTACGAAACATTCTGTGTGTGTGTGTGTGTGTTAGCTCCAATAATCCATTTTATGCGACATTATCTGAAAGTTATATTTTTTACTGAAACTAATGTCCTAAAATGTCAATGTTGAATGGGTTTAAGGAAATTGACAAAAAATATTTTTTTCACATAACATGGGAGCTCTGTTCATTTTGCAGGTAATGCTTCAAAAATAAAATTAACGAACATGGCTAACTGAATTCATGATACCCTGAACAGAGAACAGTTGAGTTATATCACACTGTAATGTGCTCAGACATCACAGCCTCTACTGAGCACTAAGTGTATAATATACCATTAATTTATAATATATTAATTGCATGATGAAGTAATAAAAATATGGCTAACCTGCTGCACCGCACATTAAGACCTTTCCACAAACAGCTCCACAGAGTGGCACAGGATCCTTGCAAGATTTCCTCGAGCCAGGAGGCAATGGTTTCTTACCACAAGGGCACGTTAACACTACTTCTGGAGATAACACACACGCAGAGCAGCAATCAGGGTGACAGGTTTTAGTACATTTATGCTGCCCGCAAGCCAAAAGTTTATCGCATAACTTGTCACAGCTATAGAAAGGTTCAATGTCGGCATGATCACAAGGTACATCTCTTTCTTCATGTCCGCAATGACATCCTAATAGAATATTTACTTAATATTAATAAAATTTTAATGAATTATTAAAAGTTTATAAAGAAAATTATCATTCTGAAAACACTGCCTTTACTATTTTATTATCAAAGATAATCCATTTGTTGATATAAAGCCAAAATTTATTGTAGAGATTATAAAAATAAAATAAATAACCTTTACCACTATAACCCATGGAGGGTCTTGGGTTCAGTACTATTTAGGGAAAGCACTGTTTCTTGGTCAACAGTTGTGCAAGGAGGTGATTTGGCTGAGATCACGCTCAACCACCATGTTTTCTCTCATAATTAATTATTTAATTAACTGTACCCACTTTTATATAGGCTGGGTGTGCTCTCCCGACCCTAGGGTCTATCCACGGCTAATGAAACAGAATAAATAATTTATCTTCCATAAGCCGGGATTCGATCCTGAGACCGTGAGCATTGGAAACTTAGCACCATTTTAGAGATTATACTATGATTAATTAATTTATATTAAGTCATAGAACAACCTATACATTAATGAGCACTCACTTTGATGAACGGTCTTGTCACAAGCCTCACAGGCACCATTATGACATCCTTTTGTACAACGATGAACTTTACAGTTAAGCAACTTTTCACAAACCGAATCGCAAGTTAACTCTACTCTTGAAGAGCACTGGACAACCTGCTTTGTTCTGTTACAACCACAGTACCTATAATTAAAAAAAGTAATTAAATAAGTTTGTTTCAACTAACTTATTTATTAATTTTTAAAATATTAAACATAAATCATAAAAGTATTAAGCAACTAAGTCTAAAAATCAATAAGAATAGAATAATTGTAGATAATATAAATTCAAAACTAAAATAGTAAAAGAATGTTCAGTTGTCCATCCACCGCTCCTGAGCTGCAAATGGATCGTTACGGCGAAAAACTATCTTATTATATTATAAAGATAGATTTTTTATAATGGTGAAAACCGAGAAAATTGTAAAAATAGCATAAACGGAATAAATGGCAAAAACCTAGAAAATTCTGATATCCCGATAATGTCGAAAATCGTAAAAAGAGACAAAAATTATGGAAACTTTCAAACTACTGAATATATTCCTATCTTTTTTTTTTTTTTTTATATGGTAATAATTAGTTCATTCTCAATGTTTTGTCATAACTCGGATGAAAATAACGAAAAATTCGAAACCTTGAAAATGTATAATTCTAGAAAAGAAACATCTTTATACGGCCACAAAAATTCTGGTTGTTTTTTTTTGGAAAATTCCTGTACATTTCCTGTTTTGTTTTTCTAGTTTGAGAAATTCCTGTACAATACCTGGTTTTCGTGCATTTCATGGTCACTGTATTAAACTCAAACCAAATGGCTGAGAATAATATACAATTATACTTTAGAAAACCTTTTTCTACTTACAACTTAATCTGGAGTCTAGGAAATCACTTTTCTTTTACAGGTAGCATTTTTTTTAGAAGCAAAAATATATATTTACTTATAATTTAAGTATATATAATATTTCCGTTGACAAATGGAATATATTGTAGGGTTACGTTCCCTTTGACAAGTAAACAAAACAGTTTCTTAATCAAATAATATTTATTTTACACAATAATTAATTCCCAGGTTGGGTCTAGACAACAAACACATATCCTCAATTATACAATATAAAATCATATATTAATTATACAGCACATTTATGAATTTCCATTGTTTTGTTTGGGTCTAATATTGGCGCGCTTTCGAACTGTCCATTTTTATTTCACTCACCCAGTTCTGCAGTGAATATTCCTCGGTATTGTATCCAACTTCTATAACTTTCTCTTGTTCTATTATTTTCTTGCCTTCGTCTAGTTGTAGATACTCACTACTTGTTCTAACATTTCCTTCTCACCGATCCTCTTTACTAGCCGGCTGGCTACCTTCTCTCCTAACATCTGCGACTCTTTCCCCAACATCTACATCTGTCATTCTTTGTCCATTTTTGGCAGTAGTTGGTGATGTCACTACCTTCGTACCACTATTCAAAATCACTATATAATATTTACACTACAATATATACAATGCTGAGCTAATTTTCACTAAGCAACAGCTAACTTCAATAAATATTTATTAAACAGGCAATAATATGCAAGTAGTTTCATTACTTTTTCTTTCATAATATAACATGACACTAACCTGTCGATGTTTGCAGAGCATGGCGGACAAGGACCAGGATGGCACAGCAGTGTACAGGAATGTGGACAACCACGATCTTTTCCACAAACTTGTCCACAAGTATGAGGAGTTTCTCCACGAACCTATTAAAATAAATTATTAAAATTAAGAAAATTAGAAACAATTACAAAGCCTTTCAAATTAAAGATTGATTAGAAAGATAAATGGCTACAGGTTTAGTTCTAGGCGTGAACAAGTTCCATAACAGTCTATCAATATTAGATTTAAGAAATTTAATACATTTTCATTATTATTAATTCTTTTTATCCTTTTTAGCCTATTTTGGTCATAGAACGAGAGGCTAAACAAGATTATTTCTGCTAAAGCGGAGTAAAGATTTGTTATTTATAATCAACAAAAAATTCTGTTTGGCCTCACAACTACAACTAATCCAGATTAGTCCTGGATCTCAATCTGATCACTGAAAACCCAGATCAAACAGAATTTGTTTTCAAATGCACATGATAAATATTTTAGTGATTTATTTTTTCATAAATAAGCCTTTAAATTAGTTACTTTTTTTTTCAATAACACATAAGTACATATGTATTTAAGTCATCAACCTATGAACTACGATGGTAAAAAAACAAAACACACTTTTGTGATTTAAAGTTAAATTATTGTTCAGTATAAAAAAAACAAAATCAAAGCATAGTACATTAATGTTAAAATAGAAATTAAAGTTTTTTCATTGACTTTTTAACTAATATATTATACACCCACAACCACAATGTTTTATGAGACTTGATTATTTCAACTCAGAAGACTTCAAAACGTGTTTATCTGTTGAAAATATGCATTCAAACTTTTCGTAACCACAATACTTTCCCTTTCTCTATACAGGCACAAGAAAGTGAAACCCATGAGTAATAACTTTTAATTAAATAAAAAAAAAAAAAAGTCTAGGCATAGGGAGGTGGGATGCCCATCGCCCAGGCATAGTACTGCACCGAAGATAGCCATTGGATTTCAAGGTTGGGGAAACAGTAAACTAACAGATACTCAAATATAATAATTACAGCATGAAAAACTTGCCCTAATATTACAGACCAAAGTCAGAAACACAATCCCCCTTGAATTAAAGTTCCCCAAGTAGCCAGCCTGGATGGAGAAGGAACCTGAATTGTGGACTGTTGAGCTACTAATCCTCTACTTGTAAACAAAAAATTATTACAAAACCTCAAAGTAATCAAACTGGACTATCAAGATTGGAGAACTATCACCCAATGGCATGCAGACTGGAGGACTAGAGGAGTACAAGGTCCAATAATGGTGTCGTCAAAAGGAAATGAAGAAGTAATAGAGCAGTTATTTAAACAGAATTAATAAAGATGATCACAATAGTTTAATATTGAACAATATTATTAAATAGTAAAGTAACAAAATGGGAAAGGACTTACCCATTGCGGATTGATCACTTTTCCACACATGCACTTGTAATCTGTAGGTATCGCATCAGTAACATTTTGGCAAGCTGGGCATCTCCATCCGTTGTCTAAAACAAAACAAAAAAAAAATATACTGAATATTGCATTATCAATAGAAAAAAATATGTAAAAGATAGATAAAAAAAAATACATTCCCCATAAAATTTCAAGAAAATTAATAACCTGCTCTTGAAGATGATGCCCAACGAACAGTGCAGCGAAGATGAAGGACATGATGGCAAGCTGGACAAGACCAAACCGGATCTGCTTGTCTCATCCTTTCACAACAGACTAAGCATTCTAATGCACCAGAATACAGCTGAGATGTTAAACGATCACGCTGGCATTCCTCGTCTGAAAAACAATTCACAAGATGAATGAATGAAGAGTAAATTAATCAAGGAATATAATTATTTTGAAGAGTTGGTCAGTTAACTTTTGAGCACACAGTACTATGTAGCGTAACCATTCTTTACAGTTTCATAACAAACAGTGCTCTGCTTAATGACTTAATCCATTTAGCAACTTACTGTTCATGCAAAAAAAAAAATTTACTGACCAAATTTAGCAGGATCACTTATTGTAAGGTGTCTTTTACTAAATAAGTCGAACAGTGCAATGGTGTGAATTTTTTAAATGATTGCTTTTAAGAAGGACATGCTGTCATTAAACAAAACAGTGCTATCAAAAACAGGAAAATGTATTATTTTAATACTTACCGATGTTGTATATTTACAATTTAAATAATCTTTAATTTAGACAGAATATATAAGGATAAGAATATTCAGGAATAAGGGTATTTATTTTTATTAGTATTAAAAGATTCTAAGCTAATCCTTCAGTCTCTTAAATACCATAAATAGTTATTTCACCAATTCAAATATCATCAGAATTAAAAACCAGGAAATCATATTAATGCAAACAAACCAAATAGAGATGGCACATCACACATATAGTTCAATATGTACATAAGTAATACATAAATTGAGCTCACCCAAAGGAAAAAAATAATTTCTATACATTACACAGATGGAATAAAATTAACAAGTTCCCATTAAAGTTAAATAACTAAATTGGCTTAGAATCAAGTTATAACAAAGCAAGATAATTTATCGCCTCATTTAGAAAACTATAGGTGATAAACTAAATTTATCTTAAGCTTAAAGTTCAAACAAAAAAAAAAAAAGATCAAATATAAATTTGTACCTATCATTTAAAAAAGAATTTACATTACAACTTTGAGAGAGAAAACTATTCCGAGTAAAAGAAAGATTTTTATGAGAAAAGCTTATAGTTAATATTGTTACTCCAAAATTAACAAGCTACTTACTTCCTTTACCTTTCCCTCTAGCTCGCCAATCTTTACTGAAGTTATCACGCTTAACTGTACCGCTATCTTTTCTGAAAATAAATTTCAATTTTGATTCAATTGTATTTACATTTACTACATTGTCATTTATCAACAATTTTTATTTCATGTAAGCAACAAAAAGAGCACTCTTTTTTGCATGATCAGCATGTCAAGTGACTTTTTAAATTACAAAAGATAAATAAATGAGAACAATTTTAAGTTGAAGGTTATTTATTTGAAAATTGTTATGCTTATTATTTTATTAAATTTTCTTGGCTGAGAACCTATATCATAAAGGGGACTAATTTTTACTTATAACTGTCATTTTGAAATCTTTTTCAACCTCAATAGGACTTCTAAAATGTACTATATTTACACTCAAAGCAAATGATCAAAGAATAAAACCTAAACCGTTATGGATACAAGCTCAATTATAAATGTTATTGCCATTGCAATCCCATAATGGTCTCAGTTTAACAACTAGACCACAAAAATAGTCAGGCCTGATGTCTTGACAGCTGTAATTTTTAAAAGGCCAACCGAATAACAGGACTCTTATCTATTTAGAGAAATTCCATCAGCGATTGGAAATAATGAAAGCTACAGGTAGAGGCTAGGCAGTCACTGCTGCAAATAGACTGCTGCTTTATGGAAGTACAATAGAGTAAAATTGGTAATCTAGATTTTTTAAAAAATATTTAAATTAAATAATAATAATAATATAATGATGTTATCATGTACTTACTGGTAACCATTAAATCTGTTGGAATTCCTTTGAGCGAACCCTTTTCCACGCTTGGATGAGTTTTTTGTTTCATCTATCTTAGAATCATCACCAATAACATCACCATTTGGAACCCTAAATTGAAGAGATATATTAACTACAAAACAGCAACCAATAACGAAACCACTATTAATAGGAGGTAACAAATAAATGAATTAGCCCTGTACTTCTTTTTTCATGAAAAGAAAATATTGGTGTTTGACTAGCAGTAATATAAAAGATAATTCAACATATAATCAAGATCAAACTATTACCATTCCACTAAAATCGAAGTTATCAATTTTATTAAGATAGTGTCACCGGGAGGTGCTATAGATTTAATGAAATCCGATATCCAAAACCCACAGAAATCCCACATAACTATAAACCCAGGGTTTCAACGTTATTTCACACCTAAATATGCTTGTTGAAACCTTTATTTATCTTATTGAACCTAGTACAAAATGTAATTATATTGATTTCAATATAACTTGAAGGTTGAGTCAGATAGTTGCACGTGCTCTCAGTAAAAAAAAAAACAAATCAATATTTCAAAAGCTGATCGTGAAGTAATTATGGACATGTTTAGAAACTTAATGTTTTCTGACACTAAAGAAATAGTGAACAATCATAATACAAATATTAAGTTTCACAATGAAGCAGAAAAGAAACAACTAAGCAGAAAATTTTATTTATAAAGCACTTGAAAGACTTTTAAGTAAGTGACACTTTCATAAAAGGTTTTAAGAATATAGTCCAAAAGAGTAAAAATTTTATCTGTGACGTGACATACTTGTTATAGAAATATTTCGGGCAAGGGATTACATGATTTGGACTCACTTGACTGACCAAAAATATTCCAAGAATGTTTTTTTTAAATATTAACTTATAGGTAGCATCATACATGATATAGGAAACAAATGCAAATCATAAACATAAATCTGACTGAGAGGATGTACCAAAGTACTTCCATAAATTTTCAAATGCAAAATGCACAAGAAATGCTACTTCAACAGATCATTTGAACCTATAAGTGAAGTAGGGTTGGTTATTGGTATTTTTACTGCCTGAAAATTCTGATTTTAGTTGGTCATCATCCAGGGAATGATTTTCCATATACGATCTCAGAAAGATCTATCTACTGAGTCCATAGTTCACCAAAACTTAAAGGAACAAAAAATCAATTTCTAAACCCAGGAGTAATAAATTCACTGTTTAACTCATTGAAACAAGCCCACCCCACTCCTCTTGAAATAAGAAACAACTTTTAAACAACTTAATAAGTGGCTAAAATAATGTAATTTAGAGAACTTTTTCATGAAATAATATAAGAGAGTTATATTAAACTGAATGAAAGTACTTACGCAGCCCAATGCTGATTTTGTACACCTTTCTTAACGTTACTGTATCCACCACGCCTGAAGTTGTTGTTTTGTTGTCTAGGAACAGCTCCATGCTGGTATCGTCCTCCACCTCTTCCACCTCCTTTGCTGTTTTCATATATCTTTCTTTTACCTTGTTGTACTTGCTCTCCACCTAATAAAACAAATGTTATAAATTATAGTTCTTATATCTTTTCAGCAGCACTCAAATAAAATCTTTCAGAGATTGCATTTTAATCACAAAGGTCAAAGAGAATTTAATTATTGTCAACAGTCTAAATCTTTAAGGAAACAAAGATAGGCAATATATTTTTCTTTATGATAAACAACTTTATTAAAATGGTTTAATTATAAAGTGATCCTTATTCAATATATAATGTTACCTAATCAAATTAGATTAAAAAAAAAAAATGAAATGTGTTGTGAGAATACTGTGATCTTTTAATAACCAAAACCCAATATAATTAATATTAAAGGCAATAATTGTTGTTACTTTCACAATTAATCAACAGATTCTTTCCCTTATTTGTCAAATAGCAGGTGACAGCAGAGACAAAGAAGATTCGAGAATATTTTTTTGTGAGAAAGATTTGTGAAAATTTATTAGAATAGAAAAATAAGGTGAGAATCCAGTGTTGTATTAAACCAAATAATTGAAAATAGTGAAGGAAAAAAAAATTAAATTTTTTATTTATTTTTTTAAAGTTGACAGAATGGTATAAAAGAGACTGTGTCTGCTCGATGAAAAAGGAAACAATGGTCTAAATTGAAAATAACCAAACAGTTGAATAAACTATACATAGATTATGACATTATAAAATTTTACGTTTTGATAATTTGGTGTCTATGAAAGGTTTTAGAAAACGAAAAACTTCATTAGAGGTAAATCTGCTGAACCTACAGGTTAAATAATAATTATTATAATAAATTTAATGACAAATGGGTAGCCTCATATCAAAGATGGACATCTGTCATTTATAGAAACTAAAGAAAAAGTCAATTTCTACTTTCACTTACCTATATATGAAATATATAGTAAAGGAAGGTATTGCGATTGTGAAAATTTTTGAATCTCAATTTTCAACGAAAATACACGTTTTGAGGTCTTCTGAGCTCAAATAACCAAGTCCTACAAAATGGTCTGTGTGTGTGTTAACAGTCTAGCTCAATAACGAAATTTCATACGGAAGTGAAATTGCATATTTAAGGTTTTCATATTACTGAGATGTTACAGCAACTTTTTCGTCAAAATCGGCTAACCAGAAGTGGCATTTTATGTAATGGACTTGACACATTTTTACGATTGAAAATTTTTAGCAAGTAACACAGTGATAAGAATATACATGAAAAAACAAAACAAAGCTCTCTTTTCATTAATACCCTTAATAAGCAGTAAAAGTTTTGATTAATATTATTTTCCTTACTACTTTTCAAAAAAAGTAATTGGATGATTCTAAAATGGATTGGTCCTGCTAACATACAACTCATTAGAAACAGGAAAATTAAAATATCATATTGTATTTTATAAAAATGATTAAAATTGAATGGCTTGAATCTTAACTCTGAAAGTCAAAGGGAAAATAATCTTAAAATCATCAAAAAAGCAATAATAACTACCTGGAATGTTTTTCCCAAAAGCTGTTCAAAACGTCAATATTTTACTTTATATGGTTACCAAATAATGAATAATAAACACTAATCAATACCTTACTTTGTACATACCTGAACCAGTATTAGATGATGGAAAAACCATTGTGGGGATATTGCATCCTCGACCAAGAGAATCATAGTCTATACTTCTACTGCTATATTCAAGTTGGCTTTCTTGATGTTGCTGTTCTTGAAAGATCCTAAAAAACTCTTCTGCAGATGTTGGAGGAGTTTGGAAATTGCCTTGGTACCCATTCCTAAAGGCCTGAGATGGACCATTATAACAGGATCCATTATAGTAAGGCTGCTGATATAAGTTCCCATACAAATTTGAATTGTCAGGCTGCGACTGAGGATTGTAATAACCACCATATCCCTGATATGAGCTACCACTACTTTGAGGCCTATCCCAGTTGGACATCCTTTCTCCCCTTTATCAATATAATGTTAAAATATCTTTACCCCAAAATATAGTAGATCTGAAATATATAAGTCGATTAAAAACACGTCTTGAAACCTTTCTAGTTTATGGAGTAAAAGAGTAAAATGATAATGAAATTAGTTACTAAAATATTTTGATACTTATAACATAACCCATTGATGCATTACCTCCCAAAAGTATTTGTGACGGGGAGGTTTTTTAGTTAAAATCTTAATTCAAAGGAACTGGAACTAATGTTGGGCATAAAAATATGAAATATATGAATAAATATATGTGGATATACAATAAAACTAATAAAAAGTTTCACTTTAAATCTACATATGTGAGTTAATGCAAAAGACAAGTAACAGTTAGGTCAATGAGATAAAAATTGGCAGAAGAGGTATAACTACAGAAAGAAGAAAGTACCTCATATCACTTCTCCAAGGAACTTAATTTATTTATATTCCCTTTCATATACATACATTTTTTTGTCATTGAAAATTGTTTTTTCTATTTTGAGGCAATTTAAACTATATCATAGTTTCTATTAAGTTGAAGTTTTTAATAGGTTCAGTTATTAACAAAATTACATTGATACCTGTTTATAGATTTTTTTTTTCAAATAAGAAAACGTCAAATCTTTCCTAATGTGTATAAGTTCTTCAAGGCAGAATAACAGTATCCTTTACATTTTGACGGTGTACCTAAATAAATGTATTTACAATGAGCATAACCAAGGAAAATATTTACAATAAAAAAATATTTTTGAATGTCTCTAATTTCAAAAATTATACTTTATGAAGGACCTTTTAAGATGACGGATAGTGAGCACTGCTAATTAAAAGAGCCGTACCTTATAAATCATGAAAAAGGTCTGACATAAATTCCAACTAATACAAATACACTATAATGTCCCAAATAATTCATTAAATTTCATAGGCCATAGGAAACCATATGACAGGTGAGAATCTCTTTTGAAAGTAAATTCAGCTTTTATCGAAGTAATTGAACCAACCACTTCTTTTGCATTGCTACTAGTTTAAGTCCTCCGGCTGAATAAACAAACTTTACACGTTTTAACAATGATTAATTTTGTTGGAAGCTTTTCCCCCTCCTGCCGTGAAACGAAAGAGCATTTGTTTGTCTAGTGTTTAACTAGACTAATACGCCATAAGATACTTGCACAACCAAAGATTGTATCCTATTCCTCAAAATTTTTGGAATAAATATACAAATTAAACCGTTGCTAAGCAATATGCTATTATAAAGAATTGAAGTAGGTGGTAAGAATTAAAACTTTATTACATTTAATACACAATACCTTATAATGATCAATATTGATTTAAAATAGTATTAGATAAGACATATTTTTTAGTATTTAATAATTGTTTTTTTTTATTTAGAAGAAATAATACATTTTTACGTCTTCTTTTTAATCATACATAAACGCCAAATAATGTATGTTTTAAGAATAACTTTCGATTTGATAATTTTTTCGATCGTAAAATAAACAAGTAAATATGAGACTTACAATAATGCAATCAGACCAACTTTCGAAAAAGACCATTGTTCTTCAAAACGAAGAGCCACCCTACACACTTTAAGGCGCATGGCTGACACTGTCACCTTATCATTATAAATAATTTATTTTTTGGAATTTGGCGAACTGTCCCTCATTAAGTTTTACGCACTTGAAAATGTCTTCTTAAAATCACGTGCTAAGGAAGAAATATTTATTCATCTTATAATTCATGTTGATAGGATTTCGCTATTTAATATGCTTTCATCGCAATCAAAAATGACAGGCAGCGTTGAAGAATCACATAATTTATATTAACTAAAGTGCATTTTGGTTTTTCATTGCAGGTGCTAAGAGTAAAACTAAAACTTCCCAAACTGCTGATATTTATTATTAAATAACCATTTAAATCATAAACCACTTAAAGGAAAATATATTACACAAAAAATAAAAAAATAAGAACATGTGTTAAGTTCAATATTAGAAACATAAGGTGAGAACCACCAGGTGAATATATATTGCTGAATGATGGGCAATATATGTATGTATATTCATGTCAATATTGACTGTATATATTCATGCAGATAATTTCTACTATAATGGCAATGATGAACCTATATTTCTGTGAAATAAACTTGTAAAATACAAGTATCAGAAATGAAATAAAAGTGGCAGGAAGAAACTCCATTTGAAATTACTAGATTATTATCCATTTTTTCGACTTAACTCAAATGGGCTACAGATATAACAATAAATCAATCTCTTTCTCTCTTCTTTGAATACCCTTTCTAAAACTAACTTGATAGAGATTCCCAGTATTTAAAAAGACGAACACTTCAAAAACGTCATCGAAACACACCTCCTGGGTCGGGAGCTAATTCACCCAATAAGAAAAAAAAACAAATCAGCTAAACCTAAACAGTTAGCAGAGCAAAATAAATCTAAAAATTCAACTGAACAAAGTAAATCTACTAAAACTAAACAATCAGCCGAGCAAAATATATCACCACCTCACACCAGAAGCAAATCAATTACCATGGCATCAGAGCCAACTTCACCAACCACCACTAACACCAATAATCCTGTTTCCGTTAATAAAATATCAAGCAAGATTCCGGAGCCTCAAGAGTTTTCTGATCCCGAGCCGCCACCTATTTTCATATCTAAAATCGATAACTTCATTACATTTGGTCAAGAAATTGCCGGTCTGATTGGACAGACCAATTTCCGCTGTTTCTCCAGAGTTAATGATATCAAAATAAACACAAACTCTCGAGAAAATTACAAAACATTTATAAATTACTTTACGTCCAAAAACTATGATTTTTATTGTTACCAATTAAGACAAGAAAAGCCATACCGAGTGGTGTTGAGAGGAATACACTCAAGCACCCCAATATCTTTCATAAAAAGTGACCTAGAAGAAATAGATCACAATGTTAGGCTCATATCATGCGTACTACACCCAACGGAAAAATATCCTTTACCACTATTTTTCGTCGATTTAGAGCCTGCCAGCAATAACATCGAAATTTTTCAAGTGAAGAGGCTTATATATTCCACCATTAAATTTGAAGAGCCTAGACAAAAGCCTATAATAGTGCAATGCACTAAGTGCCAAGACTTGAGGCATACAAAGACTTATTGCCATCACCAGGCCAGGTGCGTGAAATGTGCCGGCCCACAGGCATCAGACACTTGTCAGAGACCTCGAGACCTGCCTGCGAAATGTGCCCTTTGTGGTGAAGAACATCCAGCAAACTACAAAGGATGGAAAGTTTATAAACATTTTTATAAGCAGAGAGCTCAGAACATAGCCTCGAAAAGCGTAAAACTGAACCAAGAAAGTTTCACCCATCTACTTGAAATTGATAATCCGTCAGATTTTCCAGAATTGCCAAAAACGACTTGATACAAAAAAAGAAATTGATCAACCTCAGCAGGACTTTAGAAAAACACCAATCACTACGAAAAAGCAGCAGCCTCAAATCTCCAAATGCAAACCTCAACCTCACAATCTCCAATCTCATCCTCCACGTCAGCAAATTCTCCCTCATCATATACCCTTAAGAGTCAAATTACCGCCGCAGCATCCTCAACAGTCCCATCCTAACGCCCAGAAAAAAAGTGCAGCACAAGTACCTTCCAATCTAGACCCACCTCGTGCACAACGACGGATCCCGCCCTCAGCTAATATGCCTAATCCACCACAAGAACCTATCCTGAATCCAATTCACAATCAACATCCATCTAACATAACCTCCATTCTTTCATCCTTCCTATTGGACCTCCAAAATACCATAAAACCACTTATCACTCTTCTCACCAAAATCCTGAACGAAATTCCATTAAATTTCCCACGATGAGCACAAAGCCCCTAACTATCCTTTTATGGAATGCTAACGGACTAAATAACCACCGTGACGAACTTGACTTATTTCTTTACAATAATAACATTGACATTGCTTTACTGACTGAAACTCACTTCACTAAACGAATACATTTCTACATACGTGACTACTTCACTTATAGAACTGATCACCCAGATAACACCTCCCATGCCGGTTCTTGCATCCTTATACATAAATCATTACCCCATTCCCTTATTCCTTCCACTCCAACTGATGCCATTCAATCAACTTCTGTAGTCCTTTCAACTCGCCCTTTCCATCTCACATTCTCAGCTGGATACTGTCCTCCTGGTAATTCGCTCTCCTATAACCTCCTTGATTCCTTATTCCAATCCCTCGGATCGCGCTTCATTGCTGGAGGAGACTACAATGCACCAAACACCAACGATGGGGTTGTCGAACATCCAACCCCCGCGGTAACATCCTATCACGTGTTTCAACTTCCAACAATTATTCAATCCTTTCGCCCATGAGTCCTACTTATTGACCAACATCCTCAAAAAACGTCCCGATATCCTAGATATATTTATAACTTCCCAGATCTCCTCCTCACAAACCATAATCAAATCCCTTGATGACCTTTCTTCAGACCATAGTCCAGTTCTACTTTCAGTACATTCGAGCTATGCACCTAAACCATCAACTCCTAAATTGATTACAGGACGAGTAAACTGGGACGAATTCCGTGATGATTTGGAAAATAAACTAGACTTAAAAATTCCGCTAAAGACAAAAGACGACATTAATGGTGCCATTGAAAAACTGACAGCATCAATAACAGACAATATAAATAATAATACTTTTATCAATAAGTTTAACAATTCACAAAAGACTGACTTGCCGCAGCATATTCGTATCTTATTGAAGGAAAACGCAGAGCAAGATCGAAGTGGCATAGAACCAGATATCCAATAGATAAAACTCATTATACCCAACTGACTAACAAACTAAAATCTGAAATTAAAAAATACAAAATTTACTAAATTTTACTGAAAAACTTACACCTACCGACAAATCACTATGGACGACCACTAAAAGGCTCCTGAAATTTAAAGACTGTAATCATCCACTTCTTACTGAAGCTCAAACCTGGTCCAAATCCGATGAAGAAAAATCACAAATCTTTGCTCATCACCTCTTTAAAACCTTTAATCCACACTCCGATATTCTTAACCCAAATCACCTTGAATGTATTGACCCACTCCAAATGTCTCTTCCACCTAAAGCCTTTCATCCTGAAGAATACAAATAAATTCCAATAAATCCCATCAAATCACCTTTACCCTTCGTCGTAAACCTATGTCCTCTTGTCCTACAGTATCCTTTAATAATACCCCACTTATCCCTGTTGAACAAATTCGATACCTTGGACTATTTTATTCCTTTGTTCACATTTACTGAATGTATTTTTACTTGTAATACAGTTGTAAATATCATCAATAAAAAAAAACTAAAAAAAAAAAACTTGATAGATTTGTGGCACTCGATCGTAAAACATAGTAACACAAAATTTCACAATGTTAAATTGTTTGTAGGTTCGAATGCTTAGCCTTCAACCAAGTCACTTAACATTTCTTGATACAAACTTTGTTCTTCAAAGAAACTAATGACCTACAGATTCAATCAAAAACCGATAAAATCAGACACAAGTAAATAATCCGGTGTTGAAAAGAACTACAACTTAAAAAAAAAATTCAGATACCATTTTTTACGACCAAGTGCATCATTTCCCATTCAAGATGAAACTAAAGATTCTTGCCACTAAATACTTGCCACTTTCGTTGAGTATCTTGGGTAAATCATCGAAAGTGACAGGTGTAGATTGGCGTTCATTTTTATTTCATCTAAAATATATTCGTCAAAGATGATCGATGAAAAAAGTTAAATTGAATGCCAAGAATATATTCGGACCACATTTGCACGGGCGGATCTACGGGGGGGGGGGGCTTTCGGGCTGAAGCCCCCCCCCCCAAAATAGTAAAATATAACCACGTTTTATCGAAAAATATATTAAAATATTATCTCTTAAAGTATTATTGTTCACAAAAAACATGGGCAATGGCTCTTTGTACCGTAATGGTACATTGGTTACATTTGCTGTTTCATAACCAAAAGACTTTAGTTCTTCAATAATAGCTGATTTTGGAGTTGAGTAATGTAAATTTCTTATTACTACTCGTGGACATCTATCCTCAAGTAGCTAAAATGTGTGAAAGTCAGCACCATGTTTTCTGAGAGCGTGCACTATTTCTCGATAAGAGCCTGGGTTGTCCGGATAAATACAAATGTTTCTTGCATTGGATTTTAATTTAAATGTTGCACTACATACATTTTGCAGAAATTCTATGAATGCAAGGTAATTTTCGACACCATTAACATAAATAGGCGGTGGGTTGTCAACAATCACTTTATGGTCAGCTTCTTGTGGTCGAGCTTCTTCATTGTTGCTCAATAATTAAAACCTGTTGTGTGTTGATGTAGATGCTGCAGTGGCGGTTCTCTTTAGTTTTCGTGGGTCTCTCTCCACATCAGAATGACATTTACGGCCTGTCACAGTTTTCTAGATACCTTGTTCATTTTGGGAAACTTAATTTTCTTCACTTGTAGTCTCTGTAGCCTCCATCACAATAACTTTGTCTGCATGAGAGGATGTCTAGGTCATTTTTTATTGATCCGCTAAAATTAATTCCCTTGTTTTAGTTTTATATGTACATAGGTCCTTTCCTAATCACTTTTCACTAGTTAACCAGCATTTTAAAACATAATAACACATATTAAAACACTTTATATAGTCGAAAAAAATAACTTGACGTTCGTAAATATTGCATGTAATTAAGTTTATATTAGTAGATACTCAACATTCCGCGAGAAAACCTTTTTATAAAGTTATGGAAAAGTGATATTAAAACATAAATTGACGAAAGTCTTGTACAGAGGAGTATTGGGTATCTGTGAAGGGTGGGTATCGGGGAGAGGTAGGCTCTCGGCTGTTTCCGTATAGCTTCCAACACATTTTTCTCCTTAAAAAGCCCCTTCAACGGTTAATATTATTGAGTCAATATCGCGTTTCGTCAATATATTGACCGTATAAGGGCATAATATAATTGGCATCAATTATATCGAGGTCAATCAAACTGGTTCATATCAATTTTTTTTTTTTTTATTGAAGCTCCTTAAATATTATTGAAATAGTGACATTGTAATTGCCCGTGTAAGGGCTGTTTCGAGGAATATTAAACCACATATATGGATCTTGAAATCTGTGCGCGATACCAAATTTCCGATGCCCCTACTGGCAATGTTTGAGTAGGGAGAGGTGATACTTTTTTATTATTTTTTTAAGGGATGAGGAAAAGGTAACCTCTCCTCCCCCCCTTCGGTTTTTTAAAAGGTAAAACGGATATGTATTTCTGTAGGTAGGTAATACTTTGTTTTACTTTTATCATTTTTTTTTTCAGAGAGGGGGAGTTAAATGCTCCCCCTCAAAATTATTTTTTAAAGATAAAATGGTAATACGTTTGGGTAGGTGGGTGATACCTTTTATACAAAATTTAATAACATTTTTTTTTATTACTAAACTTTCTTTAAAATATTAAACAATTAGGAAACAAGAACAGAACCAATTTGAAACATAAACTAAATAAATAAATAACTAGAAACAAAATAAACATTACAAACAATCCTTTTTTTTTTAATGCTAAAGCCAAGGCAATTAAAGTAGTAGGAAATTAATTATTATTCATTACCACAAAAAAGAAAGATTATATCTTTGTAAACCTCCTTGTTTAGTGGAAGCAAGTTTCTAACTGATATAATATTGACCCGTGTGAGGCACTAGCGACCTAGGAATTAATTTTTGGGGGCGGGGAGGGGGCTTCAGCCCGGAAGCTTATTTTTTCGTATATATAACGATGATTTCTTTGGAAAAACAGAAAGATTCTAACTACCTACATGAAATGGGTGTTTAAGTGATTCTTGCAGTCATATTAAATGTAATTAAACGAGCAATAATACTTTAAGACATAATTTTTAAATATTTTTTACCATAAAACATGGTTATATTTTACCATTTTGGAGGGGGATTCAGCCCGAAAGCCTCCTCCCCCCCGTAAATCCGCCTGTGGTGTGAGGTACTGCTTCCATTTATTACCTTCAATTATATAGCTTCAATAATATTTACCGTGTAAGGGGCCCTTTAGTGACCAATCAATTTTCTTCATTTAATATATTTAAACATTTTTTATATCAGTTCTCAATGTGAAGTGGTTAATTTTTTCAAATAAAAAATATTGAAGGTACTTGAAAGGAAGAAAATTTGAAATTTAGGCAATTAAATCCTGTTAGAGAACATTAATGAGCGTAAGACCTACATTATATTTAAAAACCGCTTACATTTACTCTGATATAATGAATTTAAAATCAAAATCGTTATAACCGTTTTTAAGAAAATTGTAAAAATGTGTTAAATTCATGTTATAAAGTACCACTTCCGGTTTGCCGAAAAAGTTCAAACTATTGCTGATCACGTAAAAACTTTAACAACACAATTAAAGTTTCGTACCACTTTTCGTTTTGGACCGACGGGCCACCGAGCTGAGTCAGCTTCCAAAACCGAACCAAAGGTTTTCAATGACAGGCCGGCCACCAGAAGCTGAGCTGAGTGCAGTTCTCTCGACTAAAAGGGTCATCTCTTCTGTGTGTCGACTGAGGTTCGGTTATGGAAGCTGACTCCGCTACGCTCAGCTTCCCCCACCACACCTGCTCACTAGCACAGGCAGATCTACGGGGGAGGGGAGGGGGGCTTTCGGGCTTAAGCCCCCTCTCCCAAACTGGTAAAATATAACAATGTTTTACAGAAAAAAATGTTAAAAACTATCTCTTAAAGTATTCTTGTTCCTGTAATTACATTTAATAGAACTTCAGGAACCACTTAAACATCATTTCATATAGGTAGTTAATTTCTTTTTTTTTTTTTTTCAAATTAATTATCATTGTATATATATGAAAAAAATATCTTTCTGGCTGAAGCCCCTCTCCAAAATTAAATCCTGGATCCGCTAGTGCTCACTAGAGATGGACAGTACTCGATTACTTTCATGATACTTATATTAAGAAAAAGTATCGAGTACTTTCTGTACTTGGCCTGACAACAGTGAGTACTGACAGTACTCATGTAGCGTTAATCATGGTGTTAGTTAAGTACAGAAAGTATTCGCGTTGTTATATCGAATTACAAAAAGGACTCAGCCAAATTCCTTGGAGTACTTTTTATATTATATTTTTTTATATTAAAATATTCAGTTCATTTTTTTTTTTTTTTAATTTGATTCCATCTACTCAGGTAAGCTATTAACACTTTTCATCTGTTATACTTTCACCCAAACAAGAATAAGAAAAATAAGAACTTAGGGAGGTTCAACTGCACATTTTTTTTTTTTACTACATTTTATTATTGCTATTATATTTTTTCAATGCTAACGGATCCAGTTTTTAATTCTAAGGGGCTTCTACCCAAAAGATTTTTTTTATGTATATATTACGATAACTACTTCAGAAGAAAAAAAGAAACTAAGCACCTCTATGAAATGGGGTTTAAGTGGTTATTTAAGTCCTATTAATTGTAAGTAGATGAACAATAATACTTTAGAGATAACTTTTTTTTCATAAAACATGGTTATATTTTAACATTCTGGGGGAGGGGCTTTAGCCTGAAAGTCTCCCCTCACCTCTCTTCCTTCCCCTCTCCCATAGATCTGCCTGTGCTTTTCAATATTTAATTTAGTTTAATGTTCTGGTATTTAAAATGTTTAGTATATCTTACACTTTCTGTTTATTAGGATTACGGAGGTAAAACTGTGATATATAAATTTATGAAAAACAGAAACAAAACTTTATTAGAGTAAACAAACAAATTTACAATTTCATAAAACATTATACATCAAGATTTTTTGTTAAATAGACTTTGAATATTAAATATTACCTTACTCAAGCTTGAATGAATAATAATAAAAAAAGAAAAACAAGGCAACAATAAATAATTTATCAAAAAGAGGATTGATCAAAACAAAAATTTATTAGTTAGTGTCATTGTATCTATGACATTCTAAAGAACAGTATGACCAGCAAGAAGCACAGGCTTACTGGATCAAGGAACTGGAGTAAATAAAATTGGTAACAAAAATTATAATTTTTATATCATCAATATGAAATTATAGAATAAATAACAATGTACCACATATTCTACATCATAATAATAAAAATATATTTACAATTATACAAAGGAGTGTTTTTCTACATGTAATAATTTATATAAGATACGACAACTAAAATGTCTAAAATGGCTATTTTTCTTTGTTTAAAGCTTGGATGAATTCTTCTAATTTATCTTGTATTTGTCGAACTCTCTCTATAATAAAAAATGAATAATCGTGTTAGATAATGAAAATAAGTTTTTATTAAATTAGTATAAAATAAATAAACCATGACTCCTATGAAAAATAAAATAAAAAAGTAATTGACAAAACTTAAATAAAAAGACAAGGAACCACTATTACACTCTCAAGTCCAAAATGTGTGGGAAAGAGTATATCTCTTATCAAATAAAGTACTTTCAATGATTTTAATTCTCTGATACCTCACCCTCAAACTTCCAAACTGATGACGAAATTATGAAAAAGACTAAATTAAAAAATGGTGTAATAGACTAGGAACAACCGACCATTTCATTTAACAGAAGGACTTATAGTTAGTAACCATTTTAAATTCTAGATAAAACTCATCTGAACAAATAACTTTGGTCAGTCGGACGAAAGCCGTTGTTTTCTACACAAAGATTTAAATTAAAGTGGCGAAATTTGAAGGTTCATTTAATGGAAGAACTGACGACTGGTATTTCGATATGATGTAAAGAATATGTCAATAAAAAAGGATTCACCTTAGCTGACAATGTTACCGGTAGCGTTTTGAAAACCGATGACGTCAAAATAATCAAAATAGGCCATTTGGATGAGGAAAAATTTCAAACAGTCGGTTTCTCTTCAGTTTTTTATGTTTTTTAGGATGCTGAAGGTGAATTTGATGTTTCTGAACAAAATTTTCCATTGCGTTCCGAAATATATGCAAAAAAAACTGCGAAATTTCAGAACTTTATTCAATTTCTTGGACATGACTCCAAAACTATACATTTTATCAAAATTATTACTACATACAAAGTTAAAGAAGATAAAATTTACTATAGCTTTTTCCTGTAGAGGAAACAGATGAGGAGTTAGAGAATGTTGACTACTTATTTCACAATAAATATCTGTTTTCATCGGTTTTTTCTCCAAAACTCATAATCTATGCATCTATTGAAGAAATTCGTTATTATCAACATGAAAGATCATTAAGTTTTTTATGTACCTCATGAAGACACGTTAATGTGAGAAGATAAAGCACCTATGAAAGCAATCGAAGGCATATTTCAATCATATCTGCCACTATCAACTTAAGTGCTTTTTAACCTTTCAATGCTTTTGGTTTGGCCTATTCAACAATGTTCATAACATAACTAAAATGTAGAAAAAAATTATATAGCTTTTATATGTTCTGTAGGCATAAGAGACGTCAACATCCATATCATCAAAAAATTAAGAACCAAAATGAGCTTCAAAATCCGAGTGGTCCAACGACATTTTTCCTACTCGTATATTGCGATTCTTTAATGAAATGGAATGTGCACCAACATTTTTATTGATCTTCGATTAAAACCTAAATATACGAAAGGTTTAAAAGACATTAGAGCGGTTAGACTTTGAAGCTGATTTCAGTTCTTAAGTTTTTGATTATTATAAATTTTGATATCTCTCATACTAACAGCATATAAAATCTATGTAATTTCTTTATATATTTTGGTTCTTTTATAAATATAGTTAAATTAGCCAAATAATAATAAGTAAAAATTGGTACTTTTGTAAATATAGGTGCCTTTGATAAGACTCCTTATAAAACCATCATGGATACTCTAAGGACAAGAAAAATAGATCCACTTGTTACCAAATGGATTGGTGGATACAAGAATTCTTAAAACTGAACTAGTATACACCATAATGTGGATTAAGTTACATAGTGAGTGGTTAGTGGAGGTTATCCACAGGGAAGTGTGCTTTTCCCAATACTGTGGTGCTCGGTGATGGACTCTTTGCTCTTAAAACTAAATATTGCAGGCTTTTATGCCCAAGGATATGCGGATGACATTGCTATTTAGGTGTTACGCTGGACAATAAAATATTGTGGAATAGACATGTGGAGCACACAACTAATAAGAAAGCACTAAAATGCCTTTGGGCATGTAAGAATGCTGTTGGTAAGGCATGGGGGCTTGAACCTAGGATGGTCTATTGGCTGTATGTCACAGTGGTCAGACCTGTGATTTTATATTCAACTGTTGTATGGTGGCATAGGGAAAGAGTGGGCCACAACAGGATATAATTGGAAAAAATACATAGATTAGCATATTTAATGATAACAGATGCAATGAAAACTACTCTGACTGCAGACATGGAAGTAATGTTAGGGTCTATTACCTCTGCAATCGGAGATAGAAAAGCAGGCGTTGCAAACTTTTTACAGGCTACAAAAACTAAACTTATGCTCAAAGATAAACACCCAGGAGGGACATTGGAAAATAATTCAAAAAACTGAGGAAGACAGGGTGCTTACAAAGCATTCTGAAACTCAGACTAGAGAATTTCTTACAAAGATTTATAATGTTAAAATAGACATCTCAGGAGAACATAAACCCATTAATGGGATTAATTGTTATACTGATGGGTCACTAATGACATGCAGATCTGGCACTGCATTTTGGAGAAAGGATGCACCAGAGAAAGGCATGTCATATATGCAACAGTGTTCCAATTTGAAATACCGGCAAAAACTCACTGTGTCTCAAAACTGTTGCTTGATGGGCTAGTGGGGAAGAAAATTTCCATATATACAGACAGTCAAGCAGCTATACGAGCACTGGACAATTATAAAACTAGAGCTAAGGCTATTGAGGACTACGCAGGAACTCTCAATGATCACTCTAGATTGTTTCTGGAGGGAATGTGTCCGAAAAGAAGCAACATACTAATTAATTTGAGCAGGAGCTCATTTAAGAAAATTACAGCGGTATATACTGGACACTATAAACTGAATTATCATATGTTCAATCTCCAGCTAATGGAGCCGTCTCTTTGTAGGTACTGTGGCCAGGAGGATGAAACAGCTTATCATATCACCTGTTCAGCTAATTTTTAAGCCAAGTTTGTCGGGATTTGTGAGTTCATAGTGGATGTCAGTGTTAGTGATAAAGACTCAACTTGTAATTTTAACTGGCAGTATCTTAGCGTTTGTATATCTATATCTAAAACATTTTTTAAAATATTTTACTGTATGATTCGAAAGAGTGAATACTCGTTAATATCCGAATATTGGTAGGATTAGGAAATAAATATTTTATTAGTAATTTTTTAGGTTGTAGGTTTGTTGTTGAAAGATAATAGTCAACATGATATAGTTAGTTCTCCACGTAATGAAAGTAAATTTTAGAAATAAATTAAAACGCATCATTATTAAATTTTGCAGGGATCCGAGGAAGTACATGTGTAACAATGATACTGAGACTAACAACTGTTATTTAATTGCTCCAAAGTAATAATTAATAAGAAGAATACAATATTTAATAGTATTTCGAAATAATTTTGCGATCAACTATATCTAAGAAAAAGTGTTCTTAATAGCCTGTTCCATGAATAATACAGTGAGAGTGACAATGACAAATAATAAGGGGTTATTATTCTTGCCGACAATTCGGCATTGAAAGGGTGATTGATTCTAAGACAAACAAGCTCATCAACCCAACAAGCTTACTCCAGTTCATTGAAACTGCAGGAATTACACTCTAAAAAAATAGGAGTGACTTTAACAGAGGCTTACAATAGGCCTTCATAGCCGTGGTGCATTCATGCCACTCAGAAAAAATAAATAAATTAGCCAAATCAAAAACATTGAAAAGATAAAAAGTTGAGAGCGGCAGATACTACGAGTGACATACATCTTAGATTCTATACGCTTTAACAGCCACTTAATCTTCTTACATATTAACATGTCTACATGAGGTAAATAGAAAATTTAATGCTCTTTCAAATTGACTATCATGTATTTCTTTAAGGGATGCATTGATTGTGAGTATTAAATGAGCCAGACTTATAAGTGGAGATCAACCTGAAAAAACTTATAAGAAAAATCACTTACTTAATTCTTCTGCTAGTGTCACCCGTCTGCCGGTAAGTAAGGATATTTTTTTCTCCTGATCTTGACTATAATCTTCAAGAACTTCTTTAATAATTTTATCTAATCTCCTAGCTGTGAAAATGAGGAGAAAACACTTGTAAAGGAAAAATTATACAATTTCTAAAACTTAAATAATACATTATTTTTCCTACCTTCTCTGTTCATGACTTGTTGCCTTAAAGCAGTTGCTGTAACTTTAAGCATCTGTTCCATTCTCCAGAACAAAACAACATCATTACACTCCAACTAAAAATAAAAATAATATTTAATTCAATAATTTCAAATTTAATACAAGTAAACCTAAAATAAGTTACAAGTGGTAATTCATTAGAATACCATAAGCTGTTAATTACTTAGCATGAGAATTGTTATATATTGTTAATTAGATTTTGATAAATCGATATTTTTATTTTTTTTAAATATGATCAAAATTTATATTTTAAAACTCTCAGAGGTTTAAAATCTTTCTGTGTTCCTTCCTTCAGCTGAATATGTCCTCTAAAACCAGGAATGCCACCTAAATTATAGGTACCCAATATAGCGATATCTGTTTGTTCAAGAGCAATCAGACGAGAAAAAATAATCTACAGCTTGTGTTGGCAGATCAACAGAGTATGATTTTTCCGATTGTGAAGATGAAATCATAAATTATTCTGACCAGGAACATTGTACTGACATCAAGCAAGAAACAGATTCTAAAAGGAAACTACCTCTGAAGATGAGATGGAGAAAGATTTTTTCTATGGAAAGGATTTTGTCTGCAAGACACATTTAAAAAATGTAATAAAATGTATAAATTGTGAAAGCTAGAGTGCTATTGTCTCTGATGAAGAACTACATATAATAATGACTATATATGTCATAAAAACTTTCTTTATATTTATTAATCTTCTGTAAGCAATTTTGTTCAATAAAATAAAAAACATATTATTACTTGTACACTATAATGCCCCTAATAAAAAAAAAAAAAACCTGTACCACTACAACCCATGAAGGGTCTGGGGTTCAGCACTATTTAGGGAAAGCACTGTTTCTAGGTCAACGGTTGTGCAAAGAGGTGGTTTGACCGAGATCACGCTCAACCGCCAGGTTTTCCCCCTTTATCAATTATTTAATTAAGGGTACCCACTTTATAGAGGCTGGGTGTGCCCCAGGAGGGACATCTGACCCAAGGTCGCCCCACGGCCAATGAAACGGATAAATAAATTTTCTGCCATGAGCCGGGGTTCGAACTCGGGACCTTTGCATTGGAAGCTCAGTGCCCTACCACTGAGCTACCCCACTCCCTTAATGCCCCTAATATCATTAAAAATTGATGTTAATGTATAATAGTTTAGATTAATAGTGGATATATACTCATAAGTTAAAGAAAGCCAGAGTGGTTAACAAAGTCAACCACGCGGCCTGATAAGTGACACAAATAAGTGCACTTATTCAAGGGTTAACAATGGGTACTACTGGTGTTCTCTTTGTGGTTATCTTTTTGTTTAATGAATTTGATTATATGTTATTTTAATAAAAATATTAATTTATCAAAATCTAATTAACAATCTGTAACGGGAATTATAAACATTATGATACCCAAATTCAATTACGGAATATGTAAAATAATTTTTGATAAAGTTATAATTTGTCACTGGGTAAGCAATATGATGTATCTCAACTTTCTCAGAGTACTTTTCTAAATATCTCTAAATTATAAATATCTCTATTATTTTTAGAGAGATTAATTATCATTTTGTTAAATTAGTATTGTCTTTAGATTCAACAAGAAATTTTGAACTAAATGGCATACATTTTTTAATTTGATTAATATCTAAGATACATATGTGATATTACTATTACAGATATAAATTAAATGGAATAAATTACAGACATAAAAAAATAATGGTAAATTTGGCATTTAAATTTAAATATATTTTATAGAATTTATTGAAGGAAATTAGTAGACTATTCTACATATTATAGGTGATATCAGTCATTTTAAAAGTTTTTATTGTTGTTGCCCAAGCAGATGGGTTATCATCAGAGCACCACTAATTCTCAAAACACGCCCTGCTGATGACACATGCTTGGGATGAAATGTTGGCACCAATAAAAAACTTTAAAATTACTGCTTCCTGACTATTTATCAGCTATGTTATAGAATTTATTATTTTGGGAAGTAATGAATACAATTTTTGAAGTTATTACATTGATAATACTAAATAAACTATGAACTTACTTCTTCAAGTCCTTGATGATAGAGGTAAAATGCCTTTCTACACTCATAAGCCTTTCCAAGGCGTGCATTAAGGAAATGATTCCGATAAATTGGTGCCCAAGTGTCTCGTATGAAGTCATTGCTAATATCTATTCTTGATGAACGTTGAATATTTTTCCGAATTGTGGTCATTTCATCAGGAGTTAATGTTGGACCATGATTCTGTATTTATAAAGTATTTTTTAACATATATATATATATATATATATATATATATATATATATATATATAATATAATATTATTATATATTGATTCTAATAATAAATATAAGTTATTATTTACTTACATGTTTAATAATACTAATAACTATTAATAATTTGTAAGAAATCTAGAGCTATTTATTACCTGTATCCACTGTTTTAGAGAAATAAACAGTAATTAAGAACTAATAGATTTCATGAAGAGTGCTATTTTAAATTAAACTCACTGTTAGAAGATGAATACAAATTTTAATGAACAATATAATGGATCAAATTGTTCCTACATAAAAAAGGAAATATAAAGGAATAAAAATAGTAAAAAGCTTTTGAAAATGGATGGCTAATGCAAAATGTAAGGTGAATAAATAGTTGAGAAGTGGCATGAAGGTCTCTTAACTGAATTAAAACAGTTATAAGCTTTTGAAAATGGGTGATTAACTCCAATTGTTAAGCGAATAAATAATAGAGAGTGGTATGAAAGTCATTAAACATTGTTTCAATACTTTTATAATCAATAATTCAATGTTAGAATTTTATTTTTCCCAACATTTGACCTATAATTTAAAAAAAAATATAGGTGTTGATTTTTTAAATGTTGTCATTGATTCTTTAAATTGAGTGGCATTCAGAATAAGGTTGGTCTTCAATCAACATTTCTACATTCTTGAAATGTTAAAACCACTTGTAATTGTACTAATGTAATAAACAACATGTAAGCATGTTGTGCTTAGTGTATTATCCCCATAAGCTGTTTCAAGCATCACAAGAGTTTCTGCAGGAAACAAAGTTTCACAGCTACACATTGATCCACTTCAGTCAGTTATCTCACTTTTCAGTCATAACAGAAAAAGCCTTATTTAACTAAAAAATTCTCATGAACAAGTAAATGCACTCACTGCGACTAAACTTCGCACTCAGACTCAAGAAGAGTTCATCCACATATTCAGTTCATCCACAGAACCTTCCCAGAAAAAAAAATCAGAACCCTCTCTCACCCTCCCCACCACCGCCCCATTCCCTAAACTTATGGGACCCCCATCATATATAAAAGCTTAATATACTATTAAATTTTATGATCATTAGGTAAAGTAAGTACATGTTAATATCACAAGAAAGAGAAAAATAGAAACAATAGAATTAAAAAAAATAAACACTCACAAAGTCTGAATAAAGGAGCTTTTCAAGTTCTGATTTTACCATATTTCTTTGTTTTTGATCAGAAGTAGTTGATTTCCAATATACCCACTTTTCCCAAGTACCTGGACCAAACATTTCAGAAAGTTGCTTTTGTACGAGCTGCAAGAAATACATAACAACATATTCATAAAGATTAAAATTAATAACATATATTTGCAAGGTTATATAGGATTTCAGACAATATGTTTGAAATTATATGCTTTGATTGTACTAATTTTATTAAGAAAAACATAACAGAACCAACAAATTTCTCCAAATAAGAAATAATTAATAATATAATGAAGACTATAAACACAGATCTTATGAAAAAGGATGAAACAAACTTTTAAAAAAATCATGATAAGGATTTTAATAAATTTGGTGACGATTAAAAAAGAAAATGCTCTAAATTCTTTTTTTACTTTCCTACCTATACTATGTAAGGAAAGTATTGCAATCGGGTCAAATTTCCGATATGCTATTTTTGACGGATCTATACCTTTCAGAACCCACTGATTTCGAAAAACACATTTTAGCATGTTTTTTTTTTAAGTAATGAAATTTCCTGCAAAACAGTATAAAAATTGTGCATTTCGGACAACTATTAACGAAGTTACAGCTATTCAATTTCTAATGTAAGATTACCAGTTCATATCTTGGTGTCAGAAAGGGGTGAATGAGAGAAAAAAGATCACTAAGCGAAAACAAGAAAATCTGTTGCCCACATCACACGAGCTTCACTTCACTATTTCCTCTACTTTTAACAGAAACAGCAATATTAGAGGGTATTGAAATTTTTACACTGACCTGCCTTAAACCGGTTTACATTTCTTTAGTTTATCGATTAAATGGTACTCAAATCTTTGATAAATTTTCAGGAAAATAAATCTAATTTAATTTGTTTTTGTTTCTTGATGGACATATGTAAATATATACAAACTTTTCTGAAATAGGAAGGAAAGTCGTGTTGAGTGGACACACCAGATTTTTTATTCTTGAAACAGCCCAACATTGGAAAATGAATAAATAAAAAAACAATGAAAATTTAATCTACATAATTACATTAATAAATTTAATAATAATTCATAAACACATATTTTCAATACCTCTAATCTTTCCTTGAGGGATTTTTCTAAAAATTTAACAGCTGAATCCCACTGATGTTTGTCATTCACACATCTGTCTTCTAATGCAGTCAGTTGCAGCATTCTTAATACTTCATTCCCCTGAGTGAAAATAATGGCTGGTTAAAAAATATAATATGCAGGTTGTACTACTTATGAAATTCTAACTTTGTTATCACAAGAAATCAGAGGTAGCAAACAGGTAAAAATATATTGTATTTTTGTAAGTAAATAAATAAGAAATATATTTACCATAATATAATAATAATAATACTTTATTTATTCTTGGACAAGTCACTTTAGAATAATCCAAAAAGACAGAAATGTGGGCTAAGAAGCCTCAGAGATACATAAACAATAATCACAAAGTAAAAAAACAGCCATAATAAAAAAAGTATCAGTTACTTTCTGTCTTTAATTAAAAAAAAAAAAAAAATTGAGGAAATGTGATAATTAAGAACGATATAATAATATGGAGATGGTTGACCATGGATTCAATTTCACAAGAAATTATTCCGGGATGCGGTAAAAAAGTACTATATATTATATAATAGATAGTATATTTTATTAGATTGTCCCTGGTAATAATAATAATAAAATATACTATTATATAATATAGTATTTTTTTACCGCACCCCAACTAATTTCTTATGTAATATAATAATTTGTATACATATTCACAGTAATATTTATTTACGATTTTATGGGGACTGGATGGATAAGAAATGATTAAATAGGTGGGATTTAAAGGTAGGAAGTGTATGGGAGTGATGGATGTAGGAAAGGATGGAGTTCCAAAGGAATAAGGATGGGATAATGAACAATCTGTTGAAAGCAGCGGTTTGGTGGGCCATAGCATACACATCTGAAGACCTAGAGCAAGTACAGTGTGATTGGATGACTTGGAAGAGGAAGGATGCCAGGAAATACTTACGACAATAGAAAGGATAAAGCCACTTCTCCTCCTAATAAAAATGGGAAACAGGAATTCTGAAGATGAATCATATAAAGCAATTTACCAAACGTTTTAGTTTCACTTCGAGGTCTCCAGAGACGTCCCCATATTCCATACAGCAATAGTCTTCTTCTTCTTCTTTCTCTACCTCTCTACTTCCTTTGTGCCTTTCAGCTTGGAGATGCCTTGATCCATAATCCCTAGCATTTCGATCCTGAATTAGAGCCCTAATATCCCTTATCCACAACAATCTAATTCTTCCTCTTGGCCGCTCTCCATGAATTTTTGTGGTTCATAGTCTTCATTCATTTGATATATATGCCAAGCCATCTCATCAGCCACTTTTTTATAGAATCATTTAGTGAGACAGAGGCTAGTTCCTCTCATATTTTTTTCATTTCTGATCCGGTCTCTCCTGGTTCGGCAGGCTACCCTTCAAAGATATTTCATTTCACTAGCAGTAACGCCTTGTAGGTGTTTGGCTAATGGGACCCAGCTTTCACTCCCATACATAAGGGTATGTAGATATACCGCTTTAAAAATATGTATTTTTACATTTCTCTCTGCCTCCCCTTCCCAATCACTATATTGCATAAACTATAATACACATTGTTGGTCTTTTTAATCCTGTTAGACATTTCATGGTCGAACCTTCTATTCTTGTTTATTACTGTACCTAGATATGTGTAGTCCCCCACCATTTCCAATACCTCTTCTTTTCAATGAATTTCAGCAACCTTCGGATTCTGTCCGATATTCATTACTTTGCTCTTTCCGACATTAATTGCCATACCCTTTCTCTCTATTTTAGCCTCCCATTCGATCACCATTTGTCAGATTTTCCTTTGAGTCTGATATGAGAACGATGTCATTTGCACGGACAATCACTTGCCTTGCATCAATAACGTCCTCATGTTCCACTTTCCTAGAACTGTTCATTGTTTACAAATCTTTAAAATTTCGTCCACATATATAATAAACAGTAAGGAGCTCAAACTGCCTCCTTGTTTTATATCTTTACTCATAGCAAAAATATCAGACTCTATTCCATTTATTCTAACTATGAACTTTGAGTCCTGGTACGTGGACCTTATAGCATCAATCAATCCTCGTGGGATATCTTTGTCAATCAAGGCCCTTCCATAGGCCTTGTCTAGGGACGGAATCAAATGCAGCCTTTATGGTCAAGGATGTGAGAAATACATTTCTGTTCTGTTCCCAAGCCTTACCAATTACTGTTCTTAAACAATACATGTGGTCCTGAGTTTGACCGTGAGACCTGAAAACAGTTTGCTTCTCTTCCAAGTGTTCCCTCACTATTACTATTAGTTTATTCTGAAATATATATCTTATATACAACCTGTGAGAGACAAATAGGTCTGTAATTTCCGCATTTGTTTGTATTTCCTTTCTTATGTACAGGAACAATTACATTATATTTCCAATCCTACAAAATAACTTTTTCAGCCAATACTTTTAGAAAGATGAACTGTAGGGCTTTCATCATTTCAAACTCTCTCTATATATATAAAAATGAGTGCATGTCTGTCTGTCTGTTTGTCCTTTATGCATTACTAAACCATTTATCCGATCGCCATGAAACATTGGGAAGTTGTTGAGTACACTCCCGCAAAGGTTCCTGGCATAGTACTTCTATCTTACGATCATTTTATATATGTAAAAATATTAAAAGTGTAAATGTTTTTAAGTTCAAAGTCACTATTATCCGAAAGTTCTTCACCGATTGTTTTAAAATTTTGACACAGCATTGCAATAAAATTCAGGAGTGTTTTTTGAACATTTTATTACCATCCGGCCTTTCGTTTCAAAAAGGTGGCCGAAAAATGTGTCCATATAAACTGCAGCGCCAAAGTGGATGTAACGATTTTAATAAAACTTGTCTTCGTATTCAACTTCAACTTATTGTAATATATTTATAAAATTAAATATCGATGAGATCTAATTCAGGAGGTGATGACTGAGCCTGTTGGGGATGTGGGTCCCAAAGCGCCAGGTTATAATATTGAAAATGTTGTGGAATCAAATCTCATCTAGATCAGTTAATATTTATTTCTTGGGAAACTTGAGAAATAAATCTGGACGCTAACCCTTTTTTTTCCTCTCCTACCTCGCCTTTTTTGGCTATATGGGGATTAATGCTATAATATTAATATAATTGTAGATGCTATAATATACGATTCTTCCTGAGCTAGAGGATATTAATCCCCAGAATACAAAAAACACCTGGCACCGAGATTCCAACTCATAATCTTTTGTTTACTAGACTGAGTGGTAATGCGTCTTTTGCTCTTTCAGCCACACTGCCCCTAAACACTCCCACTTGGTAAGTAGGTGGCGGGAATTCAAAGTTAGCCATCAGGGGTTGGCAAAAAAGACCCATTTGCTGGACTAGTACCCCCACCAGCAGCAGCATATTTTTTTGGGGGCTATGTTCAAATTCCAAACAGAAAGTTTAAATTATCTTTTCTATCTGAGAACTCTTCTTAGAAAATACAAGTATTAGCAATAATACAAATATTGCCAAATGGAAATGATTCACACTTTCGGTTTATAAATAATAAATTATTGAAAGAAGTTAGTCAACTGTTCTAGATATCATGGGTGATAAATATTCAGGATGCAGTCCAGCACTAATAAAAACTTTATAATGACTGCATGCTGAAAATTTATCACCCATGATATATAAATAATAATATCATTTATTGATCCAAAATACCTTTTCCTCCCATGAATGTCTTTTCAAAGCTTCTTCCAAAACAGCACGTTTAAGAGTATCAAAAAGTTTGTCACTTTCTTTATTTGCCATAGACTTGTCAATGAAATGAGAAAATTCAGTCTTTAAGGCTTCAGAACCTGCTTCAATACTCTTATCTGCCAACTGAGACTCAGCCCATTCCTTCAAGCGTATATCAACAGTAGTATTAAAGCTTCCTGTAAGTTTTAATTATATTATAAGGATAAGATAATAAAAAAGATGAAACTCTAATAAAAATATAATGTACTAATAATTTGTTTACAATATTACTAAAAGCTTATCAAATCCACCAAACACATATAAAAATGAATAGAAATGCTGCAGTTTAATAAAAAAGCATTTGACCAGAAACTTAAAAATTAAAATTAATAATTCTTTATGAATGTGAAACATGGACTATTTACCATAAGGGAAGAGCAACGGCTTAAGGTTTAAAAAAACAAAAAAAAAAACAACAATGTCAAATATTTAGGGCAAAGGACCAATATAATATTAATAATAACAACAACTAAATAATTTGACCAAAGGATGAGTCAACCAAAGAATAGATGCTACACAACTCCGAATTGTGTAATCTAAACATTGAAAGGATGATTGAAGTACGCAGGCAGACATTAGTAGTATCTACCTACACCTTTGTGTTCACTAACCCTTTTATTATAATTATTATAACAAGCTATATAACACAAAAAATGGAGTATATTAATTTAAAACTTTTTTCCTTTAGTATCCAAGCGACCCAAAGTTACAGTATAATATTTATTATAGTACTTATTTACAAACATGGGAGTTATCCTCTAATTAATATTCATACTACTTTAGGCAATGAAAAATAAGACCACTGCACTTTACAACTGAATGCTGACAACAGTCCCAATGAATTTCTTTTTATCATTACAAAATTAAATTTGATCTTGTGATCCAATAAAAATAATCCATAATTATATAATATATCACATTTTAAGAATGCAACAAATTATTGCTAAAATTGTAGGGAGGGTGTATTGAATAAAAAAACTAACTTGAGTTACAGGTCTGAGCAGCCGGGAGATATATATTTTCAAGTACATGATGGCTGACCTTGTGCCAAAGTTTATCTAGAAGGAGAGAGTCCCATTCTTTCACAGATACCTGGCTAAGATTTATTACTTCATCAAGAATTTCACTTCTCGCTTTTTCAAAAAGTTCATCTCGATCCAATTCTCTCAGTCTAGAACATAATATATAAAGTTTAAACAGCAATAGTTTGTAAGACAAATATACTTTTATATATTTATACATTTAAAAAAATTAAATAAAAGAATTAAAAGTTTGTACCTCAATATGTACAGGTACAGGTAGTGGATGGGGGGAACTACTCCGACAAGTGGGCCTATAGTGGTCATTTTTGCCAACTCCTGACGACTACATTTGAAGGTTGCCGCAGCATATTTGCCAGAGAGGGAATGTCACGATCCATTTCCTGCCAAGAAATGAAAAGTAACCGATCCAGGTGGGAATCGAATCCATCATGTTCAGAACCGGGCACTCTGGGATCCACGTCCCAACATGCTCGGTCATCCCATCCTCTACCTCAATATTAGTAATAAAGCAGTGGAGTAATGAAAGAAGTCCTTTAAGAAACGGAGATGGGCAATATTTAATTATAATAAAATTCAAACTTCAATGGAAAATCTTTTCTTAAGAGGAAGAATAATAATATTATATATATTTATAATATTATATAGCAGGTAAGAATTTGTGATTTTACAAGGCAGATTAAAATAATTTGAGAAAGGCTAAATAAGGACCTGAAAATGCAACCTAAATCTAAACAAATATTGTCAACCGATTCAACAAATATATTGACCACAGAATGACTGCCAACATGGACAATTTATCAGAACCACCAATTTTTTTCACCAAACATTACAGCTCATGTCAATGACTTACAATGAGATAGAAATTGAGAAATTTGGACTACATGATAGTTCCTTGGATCACTGTGAGCATATTAGCTCACTTCAAAGAAACTTCCTTAGGTAATTATGATAAATAATATTCATCAAATGGTAGAAAACTAAGGTTTTCCAAGGTCATAATTACTGCTATAAAGAACAGAACAAAACATCACTAAATTTCAAACCCATATTTGTATTATATATACCAAATTGAGATGGCTTAGAGTTGATCAAAACATTTTCTTAAAAAAAATATGTAAATTATAACAATAATGTTATGTTGACCATAACAATCAGAAAATCCCAAAGTGAATTTACATATGAAGAAGGTACACATGATTATAATAAAAACATGAAGAGACTAATTTTATAATATATATTTATTATAAGGTAATTACATGAAAATACCTTGGAAATGTATTTTTCCACTCAGTTTCAAGATTGAATCTAGTTGCTTTAAAAGCATCTGCTTGTTGTTCAACTGTTTCTCTCACCATCTTCCAAAAACATTCAGACACGGCCATACTCAAGTTCCTAGTTGTTAACTGGGTTGAAGATAACATGCTGTCTCTACAAATTTTAATTGGATGAATACATTACCAAACATTGATTGGAAAAGTATTCAAATAAAATGTTGTTGGTTAAGAAAAAATACAGAGAAAATTATACCTAAAGAGCTTGGATGTCCTAAAAAAATTTTCCTCATACTGTTTAATATCATTTATAGCATCTTCTTTTCTTCCTCTACCAGTTACAACGCCAAAGTATCCTAGAGCTTTCATTGGAAACAGTTTTCCAGATAAAATCTTATTAATCTGTTCACACAATAAAAAAACACAAACTTAAAAATACTATTCATAAACCTAAATTTTGCTTATTAAATACTTGTAAAATATATATTTGTAATGAAATATAATGAAGATATAAGATGTAAAAATGAAGATGGAAGCTTCCTTACCCAAAGAGATTCTTCAGATATGAGCTAGATACTTAAAAAGAACTTTAAGCAGAGCAGAATCCACATCACAGCAAGTTGATATGGACTCTATAGAGGATGAGCCATTAAGAAGCTGACAAAGTATCCAGTGTGGACAACATTCAGACTGAGCTTCTTAGGTATAGTGGAAACAGATTCGAGAAAGTATTACACAACCTTATTCCTAAGATCTGGAAAGAGGAGTGAATCCTTTTAGAATAGTGATAGGCAATAATATTGTCCAATCCATAAAAAGGGAGATAAAACTTCAGTGTAAGAAATGCCGATGGAGCAACCTTTTTCAAAGGTTTTTTTTTTCAAACATAATATGCAAGCTTATTCTATAAGTGGGGAGAGAACTCAGTATTTACCATGCAGGCTATAAAAAGAGATAGCCTATGGTTGGTCGAATATTCTCAATAAGACTAATTCAGGAAAAGTGCAGAGTATCATATCACCTACCTCCTCTTTATAGATGTTAAAGCAGCCTATGATAATGAAGATAGAAATGAGTTATATCAAGTCCTGGAAGAGATGAGAAACCAAAAACTTCATCCATCTTGTAAAAATGACAATGAAAGAATCAAAGAGTGTCATTAAAATTGAATATAAAGAATTCAGAACAGACAAAGGGGTGAGACAAGGTGATGCCCTTGCCTGCCTACTCTTCAATCTTGCACAAGAAATAGCCATCATCAATAAGGAAGCAATATTATTAAGACAGCATGGATGCCCATAATGGACAGGTTAAAGCAAGAATGGTAATATGGTAATTGACAAGATCCTCACAGATGAAATCAATAGTATAAGAAGAGTTGGGAGACCAAACATATAGTGGGTGGATACTGTTGCAAAATATGCAAGAACCATACTCAATGTTCAAAACAGAAGAATTGTTAAACTCGAGCAAGAGCTAGCTGGTAGGCTCAGTAACAAGTTGATGAGCCATATTATTATTAATGAAACAAAATAAAAGTAATAACTATAATACTAATCAACAGAGAACCAATCTTTTTTCCAAATATTCTGTTTTTGGTTTAAAACAATAAACAATTAAATAATTATTAAAAACAATACAAAAATATATATAAATGTCAATACCCTTTGAGGATCAGCTAAACTTTCTTCTGCCATGTCAACTTTAGTAAGAACAAATATTGTTCTTTTCCCTGAGGGATCAATGCCCGCAACCAAATCAGTTACATTTGAGCGTTCAGCATCCACAGAACCATCTTGTACACATAGAATAATAGCATTTGGGTTAGACATATGGATTTGGGTCATGCGTCTTATTGCTTCTCTAGTATCTTCTGCCATTTCTTTCGTTACAGTCTACAAAAAATATAAATATCAAAAGATAAAATTAAAAAATGCATACAAAAGCTTTAAAAAATGCAATTCATATTAATATAAAATAAGGCTGCGTTTTGTTATTTCTTCACCACATTTTTTTCAATCTACATCGGCTATGTTTCGTTTAGTAAATCAGTTTATTTAATAAAGCTTATTGTACATAGTCCATAATCAGATTCATGAATATGATTATGGACTACAAGCAACAAGCATGATTAAATAAAATGGCTAACTAGCTGAAACATAGCCGATGTAGATTGAAATAAATATGGTGAAGAAATAACAAAACAGCCTTATTTTATATTATTATAAATACTTCACCTAAAACAAATAAGGACTTATGGACAATTCATATTTAGACATGAATATATATATATATATATATATATATATATATATATATATATATATATATATCATATATATAGAAATATATGAAGATTCAGTATACAGTTAATAATAATACACTTTTTAAAACTGAATTATTTTAGAAGTCACTTACACTGATTATCCCTGGAAGATCAACAAGAACCATTCTCTGCAAACCTGGTCCCTTCACGGTCATTGATATTACTTCATTACTAACACTCTTACCTCTGCCAAGGCTTCTCTTCATCCTTAATTCAACCTAAAAAGTTAGAGGTGATTCTTTAGCAATTATTGCATTTTTACTTATTAATCCATTATTTATTTATTACCTAACACTTTGGATCCCTAATTCCATGTTAATAAATTATACAACTATCTTTAATAGAGACAAAATTCCAAAACTAGTCATATAAGTCAAGGTTCATAATAAAAATACTTAACAGTAAACATTTTGGCTCAAAGCATAGACATTAATGTATGAAACTTACAAAGTAAGCGGGACAAACAAAAACATGTACTGTAATAGCAGTTAGGAGTCTGAATAATTGGAAAACTGTTTAAAGATGAGAGGAAATCTTGAGCTATATTAATTAAATATAATTTAACATTTATCTGGATATAAATAAAATAAAATTGAAAAGACGAAAAAATTCCTGACAAATTATATTTAATTTCATCCATAGAATAGTGTCATAACTATATAATCCTTCTCAATATGTATTCACTCCTGATTAACTTCTCTAAAAATCATTTCCTGTGTTACCATATAGGAATCATCCCCTTCATTTCTTTTCATCATCAATATAAATAATAATAGGTTAAGCGAACCAGAAGGTTCAATGCTAACACAATTAATCTTTGTCTACACACCTCCCTCCACCTGTCATTGTCCAAACTCAGCCCCACCAGATCAGCCTTATGCAATCTTCCCATCTTCGCTTCGGTCTACCCATAGAAGTTTATTATTTGGCACAACAAATATTAACCTTTTAGAAATTCTTTCTTTATCAAGCCTAACTATTTTAGACGCCCATTTCACTCGCCGCAACATAATCATCTCAATTATTTTAACCAGATGTAGTTCAGATAATTCAGTATTGTGTAACAGTTTTTACGGTTGACCCTTCTTTCTTCGTTCCTAATATTTTACTTAATACTTTATTTTGAAAAACCTGAAGACATTCTTCATCCTTTAATGTAAGCAGCTACATTTTGCATCCTAAACAACCATAGGTAGGTGGTTTTGTAAATTATAAGCCAACCTGCACCAATTTTTAAATTTGGTCAATTTAATGACCACAAAATCTTATTACGATGTTTCGGCTCATCGAGCCATTTTCAAGTCCATCATGTACCTGTCCATTATACTTCTTATGTGAATTACATGTGTCTTCTCATAATAACTAGTATGACGATCGTCATGTCTACCTTTAACTTATTATGTGTTAACCCACATGTTGTTTGTTCTATTGAGTGACTCAATAGAACAAACAACATGTGGGTTAACACATAATAAGTTAAAGGTAGACATGACGATCGTCATACTAGTTATTATGAGAAGACACATGTAATTCACATAAGAAGTATAATGTGCCTTGAAAGACTCATTCTAATGAACCTATGTACTGATGACTGTCAGGTATACATTTCCATTACAATCCAACAGAAGTCTTTTCTACCACCAAAAATCGTGGAGTAATGTTTAATGAAATTGGGATGCGAACTCATGATTATTTTATCAAATTATTTATGATCCAAGTTGCCAGGCAATGGCGGTGCTGTGCACCCACATTAGTCCACCTATGTCCCAAAGATCAAAATTTTTTTTGAAAAAACACAAATTTATGTTCACTAATACTCTAATCATCTGTCTTCACCCCATCCCTTTCCACTCATGTCACACACTAACACATTAATGAGTGCGGAAACTAGGCACTTTCAGAAGAAAAAGAAGATAAAAAAAATTAACTAACCTCTAGCCTCAGTTTTGATAAATCTTCTTCTTTTGACAGATCAAACTCTCTATCGCTGTCTTTAAACTGTGCAACATGGTAAGGTCCTTCACTAAGAGTTACTTTCACGGGAGCTCGAGTCATCATTTCACCAGCTCCTCTGAAAATTTACAAATAATTCAGAAACAATTTCAAATAATTCATGGTATTTATTAAAAATAAAAAAAATTAAAGAAGTTTTCAGAGCATCACAAAAAATGTATACAATCATAGAATACAGGTTATCATCAGTCAACTCTATTAGATACACATAGCATAATACACATGCCACAGTACACAAGAACTACAAAGAAAAACAGGTGTTCAGGTACAGAGAATTTATAAGTATTAATTATTTGTCTTCAATTCTAACTAGACGACACAATATAATAATGCTGAGTTTAATTTAAATTTTAAATTGAATTTAAAATCATAAAAAGGGTTTCATGAACCTGGTTACACCAATATCACCAAATAGGCTGTTGTCTACTTTTGCCGTATCAAAGAATATGATAGTTGGAAGCACTCTATTAACCCAGAAGGCTAAATGGAGATCCCTATACTCATGCTTGCAAGAAAAAATATAGGATACATTTTAGAAATCAAGAAGGAAAATATTAAAGTTGATAGGTCAGATATTTCAAATCCTTGCTAAATTAAGAAGATATGGAGATAGATGTAAACCTACACAATATTCCAGAGGATGTAGATGTCGAGCCTCCACACTTTGAGGAGGTAGCAGAAGCAATCTAATGAATAAAAAATAAACCAAGAGCTGATGGATTTAGGGCTAAAAAAATTAACCATGGTGGCCAGAAACTCCATAGGGTTAAGTACAATTTAATATTATCTAATTGGATGTCCAAGTTTTTAGCCCTCAATCCAACCCTAAGTGCAGTAATCTATCATATGCACAAAAAAAGAACCTGCTAGATAGAGTGGATGAATTATTGTTGGACCACTCCTATAAGATTTTGTCCAACTTCTTTTTAAACAAACTTATTCAATTTGCTGAGCAGAAGATACATAGTTTATTAGGAAGATTTTCAGAGAGGTAGATTGACTGTTGACAAGTTTTTACTCTTAAGACAATCCTGGAGCAAGAACACCAACCCACCACCTGTTAGTCAACCTTAGAACTGCATATGATAGCATCAAACACACCAAGCTTTACGAGTCCTTATCAGAGATCAATATTGATTGGTCTAGAGTGTGATCTGCCAAGAATTCAGACTGATGCTACAATCCAGGTGCTTGGCCATGCTGAACCTTATCAAGTAGATGACTTCATCCATAAGGCTCATCCTCTATGAAGCAAGTACCAAATATATGTGCATAGATTATAAAGGGATCCCATGTTTAGTGTCGGTCCTTAAGAGAAGATGGAGACTTAGTTAGAGTAATGGAGAGCCAAAAAATTTCTAAGAAACCAAGAAGAGGAACGCAGCAGCAAAATACAAAGGCTAATCACAAAGAATCTAAAAAAAAAAAAAATACTTTGAGAGCACAATGTGGAATAATAAGGGAAGTCTGACAGAGAGCTTTGTACTCTCAGGTAGATTTAGAGAGCTGATAAAGGTCATTTTGTGCTCAAAGAGGAAATATAACTTAAGTTAATAATATATTATTTACTTATAAAGTTAGAAATCAATTTCATCAAAAGAAAATATTAATATTTTTGAGAAACTCCATACATTTAATCAGAGATATTGTGAAGATGAATTAACAAATGTACCTTGGAAATATCCTAGCTTGAGCGATCATTTCTAGAACAGATGTTTTTCCAGATGATTGGTCACCAACAACTACTACTCTTGGTAGTTGGTCTTGAATTGAGTAAGAAGAGTCGTAGTCAGAAAGTTCATCCAGAACTTCAGAGTACATATCTATTAATGATTTCTAAAAAAAAAAAATTAGTGCAATTAAAACTAGATCCTATCATCAGTTTATTGCAGAATGTCATTAAGTGACTTAAATCATGAAGAACTTTGATAAATATTTTCTTTGTAAAATCAGAAAATAGTTATTAGCTTGTTGTAACTAAATTTTATATATAACAGCGTTTATGTCATTTTAGTCCACTTACTGTGTTTTTTATTAATAAATAAGGTCAAAATACACAAAAACATTTTTAAAAGTTCAGCTCAATCAAAAACGTACTTAATGATTTTTATCAATAAACTCACAATATGATAATTAATTATGTGTAAGTGAAAATTTTAAGAATAGAATAACTTTTTAATATTGTAAATATTAATTAATATACCTTAATTTGTTTATTCTTTGACCGAGAATGTTTATTTAGAAGTATTTGCTTTTTAAGCTCTTTATTGTCTCTTTCTAGTCGTTCAATTTCTCGTTGATATCTCAGTTGCACGTCCATCAGTTCTTGTTGTAGTGCATCAATCCTTTTATCTGCAGTGTTTTCTTTTGGTGCTAACAAGACAAATATAGATATACATAAATATTAGAAATTTCTTATGTATTCAATACAATGTCCGTTTTTATGTATATATTTTTTCTTAATTATATAGCAATGCAAATTTAGGATGGTATCTACTAAGGTAGATGTTCCAAAAGTGAGTTTCCTTCAATAGACTGACAGGCCTTAACTACTTAGAGAGAGATTAATTTGAGTATTAGTAGCTACTGCAACAGTCTGTTCAGTTATCTACCTCCAAAGAGGATTATTACAAAACAACAATGATGAAAAATAAACAAAAAACACAAGAACTATCAAAACAAATAAATAAGAAATTGGCAAAAGTCTGCAAGATAGAATAACAAAGAACTTTACTTTCTGAAGTATAGCAGGGAAACTTCATAAAGATACACAATATCATGTAAATGACATGAACATAGACAAATAGCTGTCAAAGAATATTCAGAAGAACTGAGAAAAATTTATCGGCTATGAAACTCAGCAAGTACTTTATACGAAGGGGTGTTCAATTATTACAAAGCCCAGTAAATTTGGAATCCAAAGGAGCATGGAATCTAGAAACTGGCACCAAGATCAAGAGATATATAAAATTAACCGAAAGTTGTTTTAATAGTTAGCTGCTTTGAAATCCAGATTATTTTGACAGTATTGCAAAAACATACATTGCAGGAAATTATTGGTGAAGGTAGAGGTTCTTCCAGTAAAATTCATTTGGTCATGAAATAAAATATTAACTGATCCAAGGATCAAACACAATATACCATGACGCACATTCTAGGACTTTAACCTAAATGTGCAAAGCCATCACGGGCTCTTATCAGCTTTGAGCTATACCTAGTATAAATGTTCTATTCCCTGATCCACACGACAAGAGGCTATAATGGGGCACCATCTCCATAAGCCAAATTAAATTCAAAATAATATGTCATGCAAAAGTAAAATATTAAAATATGTAATCATAAAATAATTCAAGTTCTTTATCGCATAAGTTAAAGAAGAAACAAATGATATCCAAATATATTCTAAAATATAAAAATATAAGTACCATGAGGTTGTGCACGTTCTTGTCCAAAAGACAATGCTTTCACTTGTGTCTGATTTGAAGCTCCTGAAAAAAAAAATACATAAAGATAATCAGTTTTAAAAACTAAAATTAATAAAAATTATATTAGGACTGGGGTAATTGTCTCCACTCCTACTATATTTCAAAATAAAATGTTATGGCTGATGAAAGAAGAAAAAGCATTAGGCTTCAACAACAATGAAGTGAAAAATACAAATACTTCTTTGGCCATAAATTAAAAGCCGTTCTTCCCACTTCCACCGCCTCTCTTTTCCTGTTTGTTCATTATTTTTCTGTAGAATATCAATTTATGGTTGCACTTTTCTTATGAACAAGACAGGTCTCATGTTCTACCTCAACTTTGAATGAAGGATACATATTAGATTATCTATAAAAAAAAGGGCAATCCATCAAGAAACTTAACACAGACTAACTGAGGCATAAAAGATCTACAAGGTCGGTAAAGCCAAAAAAATAAATAAAAAATGTGGATTGGTGCCATGCTGCTAAATGCCATCCAATTTAAGCCATACTATGATTATATCCAACATGTAATTTTATTTTAACATCACCATTTAAAACTGAGGCACCAACAGATAATCAACTCCTTTCTTCTACTTACAAGTACAGAAATTGAAAATTCTTAACCAGAATTAAATTCTTAAGTACAATAAAAAATTCTTTCTTTCTATTATTAGACTTGGTTTCTGATTAGGTCCAAGGAAAACAAGGTGAGAGAGGTTTGAGATTAAAATCCTCGACTCGATAATTGGAGCAGTCAGGAGTATCTTAATAATAAATTACTTAAAGGAATTCAAACACCAGCATCCAATGAAATAGAGGTAAGGAAGTGAAGTGAGCTTTTGAGCCATTTAGCTTCAAATTGCCAATCAGTGCATCTCTACATGTCAATCAATAACAATTTAGTGGCAACAGGACCTTGCAGACCAAAAGTCAGATTAATGGCAAGAGTAAATGAAGATTCCAAAGAGCAACATAAAGCAAATTGCAAAATAGTAAGGAATAGAACATCAAACCTTCACCTAAAGAAAAAAAACGAATAATTTATAATTATTGGTATATATTATATTGATAGATTTAAATTAACACTTATAAGAGATATTCAGCTAACTTAATGCATATCAAACACATTTTAAAAAATACTTCAAAAGAACTAAAAAGAAATAAATAATTTTATTTTTACAAAAGTATATTATTTAGGTAACATAGCATATTCCAAATCAACTAGAGCAGTATAATAATTTATTAATTCTTGTTATTGGTGCTAATCTGTATCTATTTATCATCATTCAATTGTTCATGTGCCAAGATTTATCTGACATAGCAGTAACATCAAACAATAATAAATTATTGTACTGTTCAAGCCGATTAGAAATAGTTACTTAATAGTACACTTTTGTAATTAAAATTCTTTATTATTTTTTTTAGTTCAAATTATTGTTTGAAGTTGGTTTTGGTTTTGAAGTTTTTATTTCTTCCTTTCTAGTGGTTCTTCTAGTGTTTAAATCGGTGGAGGAACTTGCCAAAGACAAAATTAGGTTTCAATTCATGAGCAATCATAATAAATAATATATCTTTATTTGAGACTCACGGATGGTGTACTTCTGTATTCAAAGCTCTAGTGAGTTTGGACACAGATTGCAGCCACTAATATTGAACATGACCTCAGTAACAAAAATTAGATTTCTGGTTGGAATCATAAGGCTACCTAATATAATTAAATGAAGTATTAAGATTACATCCATAAGATATTTATTTAACATCAAATAAAAACTAGTATCAATTTAAATTTCATTTATTAATTTGTTTAAGCACTTATGTTTATTAATAGAATATTGAGTGTTCCTTTGGGAGCAAAAGCATGTTATATATTTTTTTAAGAAAGTATCAAATATATTTGGAAATATATACTATAAACTAATAGCATTTTTTAATAAATAACATAGTCCCAATTAAGTGCAGGTAAATCACTTATCATAAATCACTCATTCAATAAAACATAAAAAGGAAAGTCAACCTTGTTTCTACCTGATAACCATCTACAGAATAGACATAAAGTACTTATATGATTATGATTATATCTAACAGTAATATAACCAAAACTAAACCATTAACCTAGTTATCCACAGTTCATTTTTTAAATTCTTTTCTACCTGTTCCTTATTTGTGTTAGAAACCACAAAACATACACATATAAAAAACAAAATACTTACAAAAACACAAATCTTTAATTTTTTGAGGCATGATAAAAGACTCCTCTTTCCTTCAATTATTATTATAGCCCTGGAGCCAGGGCCCAAAAATTGACCTGATCGCAGGCGAAGGTTTGATTGTAAATTACGAAAGTGTATGTTATTCTGAGTAAAAAAGACCTTGTCTGCCGTTCCGGAGCCGCTGCTTTCAAAAATGGCGGCTGATTTAAAGAATATTAGGCCAATAATTTGAGGATCGAAACGGGAAATCCATTGCGAAAAATGTGAGAACAGTTTCTATTTTTTTAACTTGTATATATGGGTTTAGAAATGTAAAAAACAAAATTTCTAACGCAGGCCACCAAGGGAAAACTTTTTACAATAAAAAAAAGTCAGATTTTTTCGATATTTTTTGGGTTTTTCATCTATAACTCCTAAACAATGCATCATAGCGAAAAATGTGTTCTTTAATAAAAATTAAAGAACATTAAATTTTGCGTCAAACGATAAACTTTAAAATTTTGTTTCCCGGTAAGGTATAAAACCATGGTCAACCAACGGTGAGTTTTACCAAGTTTGTCAAAAACTGAGACAAATTACTATAAATAGCCCTGTAACTTGGAAATGAGTTCTCTAAGAGGAAAAACCCATAGAATCAAAGTTGTAGAGCATCAAATTTTGAGTATACTGGATACTGACATTTTTATTGTTGGCCAATTATATATCTCGAATCGGGATTCGTTATTCCTTTATAAAATTCGGTATCTTTCGGCACATCGTTTACCAAAATCTTTTGCTGTTGAGAAGTGGAAAAGAGCCTTATACTGCATGTAACAGACTTTAAACAAAACTAACTTAGTAGAATAGACACCCATACTGTTGAAATATTGAAAATCACGTTTACCTTCATTACCAATTTCTAGCCATCGGGAAATTACCGATTTTGTTCGCAGCAAGTGATCTACATTAAATTAGTTGATACTGAGTATACGCGAAATTTGAGGCTCTAAAACTTTGATTCTATGGGTTTTTCCTCTTAGGGAATTCATTTCCAAGTTACAGGGCCAATTATAGTAATTTGTCCCAGTTTTTGGCAAATTTGGTAAAACTCCGAGTTGGTTGACCGTGGTTTAATACATTACCGCGAAACCAAATTTTAAAGTTTATATACTCGTTTGACGCAAAATTTAACGTTCTTTAATTTATTAAAGAACACATTTTTCACTTTGATGCATTGTTTAGGAGTTATAGATGAAAAATCCAAAAAATATCAAAATAAATCTGACTTTTTTGGTTGTAAAAAGTTTTCCCTTGGTGGCCTGCATTAGCAATTTTGTTTTTTACATGTCTAAACCTATATATACAAGTTAAAAAAATAGAAACATTTCTCACATTTTTCGCGATGAATTTCCCGTTTCGATCCTCAAATTATTGGCCTAATATTCTTTAAATCAACCGTCATTTTTGAAAGCAGCGGCTCCAGAACGGCATACAAGGTCTTTTTTACTCAGAATAACATACACTTTCATAATTTACAATCAAACCTTTGCCTGCGATCAGGTCGATTTTTGGGCCCTGGCTCCAGGGCTATTAGGTTATATATATTTTTTTTACATCTATATTAAATGTTATTACTATGAGCATACACAAAGGAGGGTAGAGGAGACATTGCTTCCTTCTAGATAATTTGAAAGAGAAGGTTGTAAAAGGTTTGCCAAACATCCAGGAAAAATCATTTTTAAAAATGATTGTTCTTAGTATATTTTGTGTTTCATATAAAAATGTTTATAAATTGTAATGGCAATAAATTACTTAGTCTACTTGAGATTTTTATTAATTAAATCTTGCAATCTGAAAATACCAATACCAATATGAAAACTGCGTATACCCTTAGTACTTATATATTTTTCAATTCATTGTACTGGTAACATTATTTCAAAATGCAAGTTTTTCTTTAAAATAAATTCATAGTTTTCCCCACTTTAAAGCTTTAGTAGTTGATAAATAAACATTTGAAGGGATTCGATAGAGAAAAGTGTGTAATTAACATTCTTTGATGGTATATGCATTAAACTTTATTACAAGCATCTAATATAAATAAATATGAGTGGAATCATTAACAAATAGTTAATTTGATTCAAGAGTCTTCTAAAAAAATCAAATTTATATAAAATATATATATATATATATATTACACATTCAGAAATATAATAAGATATCTATCAGAATTTATAATAGATTTGATAAGTAATGCAATGAATTACTGGGTAAGTATAAATTTTATGAAATTCTTATAAAAGTTACTTTTACGAAGTTCATATAACAATTAGAACTTTTTTTTTATTGAATATATAGTAGTTGACCGTTGTGTATTTTAGAGGAAGGCGATGGTCCAGGGTGGCGGTTATAAATAGACTGAAATAGTGGAAAAATTATTTTATTTCAAGCCAACATTTCGTCCCGACTTTGGACTTAGCAGGTCTTCTTCAGAGCTAGAAAGGACAAGATGCAAAAGGCTATAGAAAATTGTGGAAGTTACATAATATTTAGATAAAAATTATAAAGAAGGTGAATAAACTTATTCACCTATTTAATGACAATAGGGAATCAGGTATTGAGCGGTTTGTTCTGAAGCCGAACTGTTGTGGAGAAAGGGTATTTAACTACTTCATGTATTATTTCTTTACTAAACCTTTTAAGTTTAGTAGACAGTCTATCTCTTCTAGTTCTTTAATTTATTTCCAACAGATACTTAATTATCGGAAGCATATCATCATTAGCATATTATAATGTGTTTTCCAACTTTTAAAAGAATGAGGATACTTACAAAGTGCAACCAGTTAACACAATTAATTGTTTATTCACAGATATGAGCGAAGAATAAATCATAGAAATAATCTATCCATAAATATAAGTAGAGGTAAGAATAATCAATAAGTTAAAAGAAATGAAAAAAACGCACTGCAGGGTGGTAACAAGACAATTAAAGTAAAATTCTCTGACCTTTCCTATTTAATGATATTAATAATAGTTTTCCCTGATCAATATGTCTGGGGACACAAATATTAATAATGTATAATTTATAACTAAATTTATTTATTATACATGAAAGAAAATTGACTAAAAAATTACTTGAATAAAAAAAGAAAATAAATCGGCCTTTTTAAATAACACATATAATATTTTAGAGGAAGCATTTTTTAATCTTGATTAGGATTTTTTATTTTAGAAAACTAAACTTTTAGTAACTTATTTTTATCATTTTTTTATTTTATTTTAATTTTCCCTGACTTTTACCATTTTTCCAGGTTGGTCACCACCCTGAACAATTACATATTCTCTAAATTTATATTATTATATTTACATACAGATTATTATATTTCCTACCAAACTAATGAAAGTAACAAAATAATTACTTAATTATCCTTAAACATGCATAACATTAATAAGATGGAACCTGAAATTACAAAATTAATTTAGTTAGGATGTAGGAGAGGAGACAAACTGTGAATATCCAATTAATAAACAAATAAACAAAAAATTAATTGTACCTTTAATAATATTTTCAAAAGACTCCAAAAACAGTTTCTGATAACCTATAAAACAAAACAAATTTAAATATTGGTCTAATGCGATCAATATCATTCCTTTTCTACTGTCTCTAGTATTCTCAACAAATCCATTTCATAATATCGTAGATAAATCCTTAAACCATCATTTCTTATTTATTTATTTATTTTTATTTATATCAGAATGACAACATATAAACTAACCATTAATTTGATATTTTATCCAAAATTAACAGTAAATAAAGAAGAATCATAGGTCTCTAACAGACATAATATGCATTAGGATAAGATATTTTGATTATAAATATTTTTACAATTAAATCAAAATTTCTTACATTTAGCTAAAGGATTCTTTTCACAATGACTCTTACATGTACAAGCAATACATAATTAACACACGTACATTTGTACATTTTTTAATTTTTTTTCACTTCCCATCAACAAAAAAAATTCCGGAGATAGGGAATTCTGAGATTTTTATAGGAATATAAACAGGAGCCTTAAACTCAACTCTAATGACTCTTACATGTGTAACGGCCATGAGGGGAATCTGTTTCCTGACAAGCAGAGAGCCCTGTCCCAGTGGAGGCGGCACTTCAATGATCTCAATAAGCGACCCTTGGAACACGATGAGGAATTAGGGAGAGAAGACCAGGACCACAGGGAGAAAGAAACAGATGAAGAGCTACCTTTTGAAGATGAGATCCTCGATGCCATCAACCGATTAAAATGTAACAAAGCTCTGGGTGCTGATGGATTCTCCACAGAACTCATCAAGTGCGGTGGAAACGAACTGCTTAATGATATGCAGGATCCCCTCATCACAGTTTGGACAGATGAAGTTTTACCAGACCCATAGACCAAGTCACTCATCTGTCCTATATTTGAGAAGGGTGATCGACTAAAGTGCTCTAACTACAGAGTGATCTCCCTCCTGTCTGCCGGATACAAAGTCATGTCAAACATCCTCTTCAAGTGTTTGCTGCCCCATGCGGAGAGGGTGCTCGACCAATACCAGTGCGGATTCACTAAAGGCAGGTCCACAGCTGATCAAATATTCTGCCTCAGGATGATTCTTGAGCGAAGAAGGAAATTCAAGATTAAAACTCACCATCTCTTCATCGATTTTAGAGCAGCTTATGATAGCGTGAATAGAGAAAAATTGAACGAGGTTCTAAAGTATTTTAAGATCTCTAGCAAGCTCATAAGTCTCGTGAGGCTTACAATAACCAATGTAAGCTGCATGGTTCAGATTGGTGGAGAGAGATTGGAGTAATTCCCAGTAATAAAGGGATTGCGACAGGGAAATGCCTTAGTCAGCTTTCTCTTTGATTTTTCACTCGAGAAAGCAGTGAGAGATGCTGGGATACAGACCAATTACAACATCTTTAATAGATCTGTACAGCTCCTTGCATATGCGGATGATATAGATATAATAGGACATTCCTTTCAGGTTGTATCGGACGATTTCCTTGCTCTGGTGGGTCCTGTGAGAAGACTTGGCTTGGAAGTCAACGCTGAAAAAACAAAATATATGGTTAAGGGAAAGAAGACTAGGTCTGGAGAGGAGGTGACTTTCGGGGAGTACCAATTCAATAAGACTAATGTTTTTGTATAACTTGGCTCATTGGTAACTCAAAACAACGCACCTGCACAAGAGATTCAGCATAGGATCATAGCAGCAAATTGGTACTATTTTTCCATGGCAAGGCAGTTCTGGAGTAGAGCTCTTTCCAAAAAATCGAAGCTGTATGGTCCAATCTTGCTGTATGGTTGTGAGACTTGGGCTACCTCCAGGGCTTGTGAACAGGAACTCCTAGTCTTTGAAAGAAGAATCCTCAGACGCATATATGATGGTGTTCTCATCGGAGGATAGTGGAAAAGGAGGAAAAACCAGAAGCTGTACACCATGTTTAAGGATTCCAGTATAATTCGAGTGATGAAAATTGCAAGACTGAGATGGGCAGGACACGACATTAGGATGGGCCATAAGGATCCACCAAGACAATTACTGATGGAGCCACTCCATAGTATCAGGAGAAGAGGAAGACCAAAGCTGCGATGGGCTGAGGGTGTTGCTGCTGATGCAACAAATATGCTGTGGCTTCGGAATTAGATGGCGGCTGCAGGGGACCGAGACGATTGATGGAAGCTGCTGGAGGAGGCCAGGATTCGACACCGCATTGTAGAGCCACACTAATAATAATAATAATAAAAAAAAAAATCATAGGTCTAAATTATAAAATTATTTAATTCAGGAGCTTCACCGAAGTTTGATTTTATTAGTAGTAATAGGATTAATTATATGACATATCAGGGATATTTTTATACATATTGTTACTTTGTTACTTATTGTTCAACAAAAAAAATCATAAATGTATTTGTTGATATGATTTGAGCCATCAAACTTGAAAATCAATAACAGTTTTATGATTAAAGACTGGCTTTAATTGCAAAATAAGTAATTCAAAAACCTTTGAAATGTGCCTTTAAAAGCATATTCAGTATAACATGCTATCAAAAGTATGATAATACCCAACCAAATAGTTAAAGAAGGTATTAAATTAAAGATCTAACAATGAACCACAAAATCTTAATTTAAAAAACGATTTCCCAATAAAAGGATGATTTTACAATTTACATTTTTCATATATACAATTTTTATATTATTTTAAAAGTTATTATAACTTTAAATAGCGACTTTCCTAATAGGAACTCCATTAGGTTTTTGGTTTTATTTTGTCTTACTTAAATGTTAATTTTAATACAAAAATAATATATACCTACATTTTATCAGACAAGAAGAAATGTTTTAATAAAAAAGTTAAATATTTTTATTTTTTAGGAGGCCTAAAAAATTACTATGCCTAGGTAAATGGTCTTATTACACTACTAAAGAGGCCCAAATATTTAGCTTCTAAAGAAAGAAGTTAAGTCTTAAAAATTTGTTATGATTGTAATATTTTTTGTTTATGAGCGAAACTATAGAAAATATTTTAGTTGTGTTCTACACTCTTGGGTCATTCCAAGAAGTACTTCTATAATATTTTTTATCCATTAAAATGGTTCAAAAATATAAAAATAAATTGAGTAAAGAAAAATATGCAAAATATATACCTTTGGATGCTAAATATGTACAATAGCCAAATTTTGCCCAGATTTTAAAGAATATGCAACATAAAAATTTGCCAAAAGATTTAGAAAGGCTTGTTCCAAGAAGGTAAAGACTCGTATTATAAAAAAATGTAAAATGCTAAAACTATGTATTTGCATTTAAATTCAGACCTTAATTATCATTTTGCAATATTTAGGCTTCTTTTTTTCAAAAATAGTCGCGTAAATAAGTAAACTATTTTTATTACAGTTTATATAATTTTTGAAGTAATAAGAATTGAAGCATTTTCGAATGTTGTCCTAATCAATAGATTAGATTTTTAGATTGTTAGAAAAAAAAACTAAATATCATGAGTATAAATCACAGTATAGATGAAAAAAAGAATAAATATTCAAAAATAAAAATTATATTTCTATGACTACTGAATACTTTACAACATTAAAATTTATTTCCATTTTATAAAACCAAATATTTTTTGGGAAGATATTAATTTAGAAATAAAAATTTATTTAATTTAATGAAAAGGCAAATAAGTACAATAAATAATTATTTTTAAAAAATATATAAAGGAATCTATAAAATAAAAATACTAAGTTTTAAAATAAAAAAAGGTTATTGTAAACACATTTGAACTTGGAAGCAAAATTACAATAAGCTATGTTTTGCTTATTGTATATTAATATAATTTTTATACTTACCAAAACTTAGCGTTTATCAAAAATCATCTGAACTAATGATATTTTTAAAGGAATTGATAATGTTTGTCAATGGATTTACAACTCATTCATCATATGACAGAAGAAATTTTACAACCACTAAATAGCAATAGTATCATATAGATAATTATATATTAAAATGGAAAATACTCACTCTCTATTTCACTTTGCTTAGCTGCTTCATATGCTTCATCAATCCGTTTATTAAGCCATTCTTGCAAGTCACGCCACTTTGTTTCTCCTACAGACATTAGCTTAGGATCTGGAAAATTAATTAAATACAGGAAAACTTTATGAATTACCATAAAATAAATTTGACCATTAAAAACCCTTCCTACCTATTTCAATATCTTTTACACGCTCAGTGAGTGAAATCATTGATTCCCTAAAAGAGTCAACTGTTTTTGTTGAAGGTAAGTATGTGTCCAACCATGACATATCAGGAAGCGAATCTTTCCAAGCTTGATATTTCTAAAATATAACTCTTTTTAATAAAAAATAATCAATATTTGTCAAACATAAAAGTTTAGTATCACTAACTATTACCTACATGATACAATTAATAAATAATAATAATTTTATGACGCTATTGGTGAAAAAAAAAAAGACTGATTTCTAGTTTGCTGGATGGAGCTGTGCAACATCTTTGTTTATTTTATATTAGCATCCCACATAATTTAGCATTGTCAACTACTGAGGCATTGTTGGATAGAATTTCCTTCTTTACCTTTATACCTTTATGGTTCCTTTACTCCATGTGTTACTACTCAGATACCAAATTGCTCCTGCTATCGTACAGAGAATTCTCTCAAATGATTCAATACTTCTTTCTCGGGTTTCTGGTTAGTCAAACCCGTTTAGTGTTCAGAACAGGCTATATCATAGCATTATAAACCCTTAATTTCAGATGTCTAATGATTTTTCTCGATTTCCATAGTTACAACGAGGAAAGAAACTCTGTTTGCTCTTGTAATGCTCTGGTTTATTTTCCATGGTTAGTCATTCATTGGATTTATTGTTGAGCCAAGATATTTGAATTTATCAATTCTTGAAAACAATTTTATTATATGCAGACCCTGTTGTTGAAATAGAATACTAATACTAGTAGGCCAATTTTAATAGGATTTTATTCAATATTTTATTATTAGAATCATATCCATAAGAAAAAAATATATTGAAAACACTTAACAGACAGAAATCAATTTCACAGTAATTAATTTAACATCTTCAGTCACTATGATATTGGTGTACCACAATTATTTTGTTTTCTTGAACAAAGTTCAGCACAAAAAATCACATTGTTCTTAGTTAAATAAAGCTTAATTTTGATAAATAACCTTTGTAAAACATTTAATTAAATACATATGTAATTTTTAAAATAGCTTACGTTTTGTAATGTCATGCCACCACCTACAGCTCCTCCCAATACAAGATAACGAAGTTTCAAAGCTCCTTTCAGAAACCTAGCAACAAACATTCCAAATCCCCGTCTGTGGACATGTATAACTTTAGATCCTTGTAAAAGTTTAGGATGTTTGGAAAAATTACTATAGTTCTTGTTACTCCTATGAAGTAGACTGTGTTTAGCTTTTAAAACTGAGAGGATAGGGACATTCCTTCCTCTATGAACAATAATGAACCTAACAAAAAGAATTAATTTAATATCATGCAAACTTTTTGGAAAGTATGCATCGCAAATAATAAAAATAAACTTACCCAAATCTGCCCTTAAAATTGTACATTTTAAAAATATTAAATTCAACTCCTTTTTTAATAAAAATTAATTGTATCAAACAATTATAACATAAACTAAGAAATCAATAATTTTTTCTGTTGATGAACAAATACACTTTAAATATATAACATTCATACATAATTTCAACATAAATAATTCCAGCACAATTAAGCAGAAATAACTCCTAACCGGCCAGACAATAACCTACCCATTCATTATCACTTTAGACAAGAACTTTGGTAACGTTCTTGAGCTACTAAGTCAAAGAGGTAGGTTGCAAAGAGGTTTTCTATTCCATAAATGAATGCTAATTCAACTTTTCTAAAAGAATTCTTTCCTGTCTAATCTAACTTAAATATGAAAGTAGAATAGTTAATGAGATCAAAGTTTTCTTCTGTAAACTTTAAAATCACGGGCATATCGGTTGCCTCCTACAAAAAAATTAATTGATTTCCCTAGCAACATTATATATAGAATAATTGAGGCAGTCGGAAGTAAAACGTGGTAAGTGACAAAATGAAAACTTTTATAATGTTAAATAGCCTCAATTGTCCACCTTCAATTATAAATCACATTTAATAACTTAATGCTATAATTATGCTTTTAAAAAACAAATTAGCTAAAAATGTTATCAATAACCAATGAAATCATTCATAAGGAATCCAGTTTTGTCAAAAACTTCACAAGAAATGTTAGATACCATGTCTTACCACCGAATGCTTCTTACCACAGCAAAAGGATCGCTTAAGTACTAAACGAAGCAGTTTGCCGAGTGATGTCTCAGCGCAAATGGTGGTATGAGCATTGATTCTTTGGACTTGCTAAGCTTTTTGTCATTATTATTGATATGAACTTGTGGGTTTTCCTTGATTTCTAATGACAAAAAAAATCTATCGATTTCAAAAATTCATTTTCTACCTATACTAAGTAAGGAAAGTATTGCGATCGAGTCAAATTTACGACATGGGGTTTTCGACGGATCTATACGTTTCATTGTTTGCACAATAATAAACAGTTAAAAAAAAACACACACACACAGTGAAATCCCCTACAAAAATTGTTAGTTAAAAATCGTTCATTTCGGACAGCTATTTGATTTCTTATGTAAGATTATCAGTTCAAATTCCGGTGCTATAAAAGGACAGAGAAAAAAGAAAAGTAAGTGAAATTAAAAAAAATCTACTGCCCACATCACATAAGTTTCACTATTTCCTCTACTTTTAATAGAAATGATTGTCTGAGACGAAATTGGGCTATGGCAAAAATATATTTTTTTTATTTATTTCTTAATGATATTTACAACTGTATTAAAGAAATACATTTAATAAATTTGAACAAATGCATATTACAACGTGAAAACACTTATTGGGAAATTACCTAATGGTAGCACTCTAATAATATGTCTACATTAGATAACGGGGTCATCTTCTTTTCAGACACCATTACGGCCAGGTCGTCAACATAGGCCGTGACAGGGAACCGCTTCTCTTCGAATACCCACAGCCACTGGCGAATCCAGGATTTAATATTTTTTTTCGGTTGGGGCTTCAGTCTGGAAGCTTGTTTATATATTTAACTATAATTAGTTCGGGAATAAAAGAAATAAACTAACTACCTACATGAAATGGTATTTAAGTGATTTTTGAAGTCCTATTAAATGTAATTACACAACCAATAATACCTTAAGATATACTTTTTTAATTCTTGATAGAGCATGGTTATATTTTACCTTTTTTTTAGGAGGGTTTCACCGCGAATCTCCTCCGTAGATCCGCCTGTGCCTACAGCTACTCATCGAAAATTAATTTCCAAAGGGCAGGTTCAAGGACAGAGTTCTGCGGACATCCCCTTTCCACTCTTTCTTCGACTTCCTAGAAGTTGCCTCGTATCGTTACTCTTCGACCTTCTAGATAATTCTTCATTAAGGCATACAAACTGCTAGGGGTCTCGAACTTTTGTAGAATTTGCAACACAATCGGCCACCAAATGCTATCAAAGGCGGAGGATATGACCACCAAAAGTAAAATGACATACTTCTCCGTCTTCTCATCAACATCGTGACGTCCTTGGTGCAAGACATCAGCAGTTCCCTTACTTCGGTGAATTCATATTACCGTTTATGACTAGCTTTACCTAGTGACGATCCTTGACTGGTTAGTATTAGGTACTCCAGGACCTTACTCATCACAGGGAGGAGACAGATTGGTCTGTTTGTATGATTTAGCGACTTGTAGACCACTCTTAAATCTGCAGTCTTCAACTCTCTCGGAAATTACCCCCTAACTAAACAGTTATTGAAGATTTTCAAAAGCCTTTCCTCAATGTAGGGGGCACTGTTCTTCAAGATCGCTGCATCAATACCGTGTAGTCCTTGAGCGCGACCAATTTTCTGTCTATTCACGGCACATCTACGATCATGGATGTCCCATGGTGGGCATAAGTCCGTTCCAGGTGGATATACCGTAGCGCGCCTTATGAATGTTTCATCTCCATTGTCAATGGATAGGTCACCTTAATGAATATTTTTGCAGTCTTTTCAGGAGTGTTTGATTGGTAACCTCAATGTTTAAAAGCTACATTAGTTATGGGAGTCGTTTTCTCCAGCCACTCTGTACGGAATATCCTAGGGATTCTTTTAATCCTTGTCAATACCGAGGGAACAGCCTGTATTCTACAATGAGGTTTACTAATGTCGAAACCAGCGTTACATCTATCCAACTTTGGCCCATAGGCCCTGAGTATGTTGGTGTGTCAAAGGAATCATTAATTACAACTAACTGATACATTCTTATATTTAGTAGCCGAAGTACACAATAATTTAAAAAAGGAAATATTATAATTGTTTAGGTATTACTTCTTTATGATTACTTCTTTAATCCATGGTGGACATGATTAGCGGTCGATATTTAAAATGAATTGACTTTAAGAACGTCCATAACATCTCTTTAAATTGAATTCATATACTTATTGATAATTTTCAATTTTTTGATAAAAAATAAATTAAAAAATAACTTGTTTTAAGAAGTAACTAATGTGAGTATGTATTATGAACATAACTGTAGATACATCATTTTGAAAACAAATAATATAATTATTTTGTCTATTAGAATATGGGATTCGTTAACCCCAAATGAAAAGTATTTCATTTTATTTATTGTGGATAAATAATCACGTTATGATACATTATTTCTCCTTTAGTTATTATCAAATTCTTTCATATTTTATACCAGAGTTCAATGTGAAATGGTTAATTATTTCAAATAAAATAAATTAAATGTACTTTAAAGGAAGAAATATTGAAATTAGACTTTTAAGTCCTGCTAAAGACCAATGGAAATAAAATCTACATTATATTTAAAACTGTTTAATGAATACTGATATAACGAATTTAATCAAAATTGTTATTTTATTGTTACTTTATTTATTTCTTCCACCCTCCCATGCCACAATGGCAATACGGGTGTTTGCGATAGTGTGTTTTAGGCATGAATACTTAATAACACACTACTACTAGATGTGCACACAGTTCTTCTGTTCTATCTTCTTCCTTCTTCTTTCGGCCTAGCTTCCAGAATCTGTAGGTCTTCCTGGCGCTTGTCCTCTTCTTCTGCGGGCACCAATACGGAAGTGAGCGGGCCCTACCATCGTCTTCTATCCGTATATGAAGTCCTTGAACCACAGGGAATTTTCCTCGCTGACTAACTGAGGAAACTCATTTTCAGTGAAGACATAGATTCCCGCGGCTCTTGTCATTGTCGCTCTTAACGTTTCAAATGCGGTGCAGCTCGTGATCACGTGCTCTACAGTTTCCGGAACACTACAGATTGGGCATAGAGGATCTACATCAATGACCAGACAGTGAAGTTTAGCTCGAAATCCTCCATGCCCTGTGAGGAACTGGGAAATCCAGTAGTCCGGGAGGACCCACTTTGCCTGAAGCCTCGACTGTACTGTGGGAAAGTACTTCCTTTAGGGGTTGTTACCCACCGCCGGTTCCATGTTTCAATTGTATCCTCCCGGAGTATCTTCTTCCATCTATTAGGCGCTTCCATAATCCTCACCTGTAGATTATCCGAAAGTACTGTAGAGCCTTGTAACAATATTTCGTCACTTCTTCCAGTAGGAGGAGGTCGAGAGGCACCACCCCCGCTAGGATCTGCACCGCTTCATGCGAAGTTGTCCTATATGCTCTGGTGACCCGCAGCAGAGCTGTCCTCTGAGTCGAGGCTAGCCTTTTTTTTTGTCGTAGTGTGAGGTTACGGAACCAAAAGGGAGACGCATACCTCAGGATACCCTCCACAACACCTTTATATATCTATATATACAACACCTTTATTGTTACTTTAATGAAAATCGAAAAAATATGTTAAATCGATTGTATAAAGCGCCACTTCTGGTTAGCCGATTCGGGCTGAAGCCCTCTTCCTCCCCTCATAAAAAATGGTAAAATATAACCATTTTTTATGAATAATATACCTCAAAAAGTATTATTGTTCGTCTAATTAAAGTTAATTAAGACTTAAAGAATCACTTAAACACCATTTCATGTAGGTACTTAGTTTCTTTCTATCTTCAAGTAATTATCATAATATATACATACAAACAAATTTTTTCAGGGCTGAAGTCCCCCCTCCAAAATTAAATCCTGGATCCGTTATTGCCTGCTCCCCCATATTTTACAAAAATCTGGTGTGCGCAACACACAACTTTCACTCACTGCTCAACTTTGAATAGAAATTATTTTCTGGCCATGTTGGGCTGTTATAAATTTTTTGAATTGCATTTTTAACTGAGCTAAAGCTAAAAGATTACTGCTAACAAATCATAAATACTATTGAAATAAAAAAAGTCCTATTTATTATATCACCCGTTAATTATGGAGTGTACGATCCGTTGATTATGGCTTGTACGAATATTAGTTATTAAACTGTTATTTTCCATTGCAAAGTTTACTAAAATGGAATTAAGAGATTTGCATTGTCCATACCAATTGTTGTCCACGCAGTGGAATTGTGGACAACAATTGGGAAGTGGAATTTGAGAACTGTTCTCATACAAAGCCTTCTATACGCGGATGACATAGTCCTAATAGCC